TGAGTAATACTGATGCCACAGTAGTGGGTTCAGAAAGACAGAACAGTGCACACCCTGTTTACCTGGAGTTTACCTGGAGAGAGTTCCGGGGGTCAACGCCCCCCGCGGCCCGGTCTGTGACCAGGCCTTTTGGTCAGTAACAACAATACGCCACTGATATTATGTCTCCTGGACCGTGTTCTGTCCCTGTGTCAGTAACAACAATACGCCACTGATATTATGTCTCCTGGACCGTGTTCTGTCCCTGTGTCAGTAACAACAATACGCCACTGATATTATGTCTCCTGGACCGTGTTCTGTCCCTGTGTCAGTAACAACAATACGCCACTGATATTATGTCTCCTGGACCGTGTTCTGTCCCCAATTTCGATACACTGAAGACCCATCAAAAACAAGGGGACCTGAAGAAATGTAACCATCCATTCTACAAGACAAACCAGAATCACTGCCTCAACTACTGACTAAGATCTACAAGTCAATAGGTACGAGATAATTGCCAGAGGAGTGAATGTAGACCCATTGAACCGCCCGGGGACAGAAGCTGCAGACCTCACTCAAGGAGGAGGGCCTAGGGGTGAGCATACTGACGAACATATTACCAGAGGATCACATCTACCGTTGCAGGTAATGCTCACATGGCAAATCAGGAATCTCAAGTCTCTCAGGGCCCAATATATGACGTGCGTCAGGCCCATCCTCGAGTATGCAGCACCATCATGGAACCCTCGCCTGATAAAGTTTAAAAGCAGGAAAAATATAGGAGGTATACTGGTCCCAGATCCACGGGGTATGAGGTATGAGCTACAAGGTATGAGCCACGAGGTATGAACTAAGTCATTATAAAATACAAGAACCAGGGGAGACATGATAACAACATACAAAATCCTCAAAGGACTTGACAGTGGACAGAGATAGGTGGTTCGAGAGGCGGGAAACGAGTACACAGGGGCACAGCTGGAGGTTAAAGATGCAGATGATCCACAGGGATGTCAAGAAGTATTTCTTCAGCCACGAAGTGGTCAGGAAGTGGAATTATATCCGGAACAAGTAGGCAGGTTCTACGCAAGGTTTTAAGGCTGGGTACGACAGGTCCAACGAGGTTTCGAGAGAGTATATCCGGCAGTTTCAAGAGGCGGGGCCAGGAGCTTGGGATCGACCCTGGCAAACACAAATAGGTAAACATATGACTGAGTTACAGTTTTCAACTGAATTATCCTCACAACCTACAGCCACTTGTCTCTCTCTCTCTCTCTCTCTCTCTCTCTCTCTCTCTCTCTCTCTCTCTCTCTCTCTCTCTCTCTCTCTCTCTCTAGTACACAGGGTTTTACAAGACTAGGTTAAGGATTCTTAACTTACAAGCTCACTCTTTCTCACTCACTCTCTCCCTCTCTCACTCTCTCCCACAGAGTTATCATCGAACTTGCTTCAATTGCAAGGCTTGTCGCAAGCCTCTCGACTCCGTAGTTCACTGTGATGGACCTGACAAGGAAGTTTATTGTAAAGGTAAGTTTATCTATCTTATCTTGTGCTATCTTTACCATATTCACCCTCTCTCATTCTCTCTCTCTCTCTCTCTCCCTCTCTGACTTGTATCTGACACGTGTATTTTTAAGAGAGGTATCGGGTATCAGGTACGTGTACCGGGATGTAATGTTACCATGGTATCCTCTCTTACCATCCCACGTCACTAGTGCCGCATGCGACCAGTGCCAGCCAAGGTGCCAAACTCAGGCACTCTCCCTATCCCCATCCCCCCTATCCTTCCTTATAACCTGATACCCTCCCTCTATCCTTCGTTGTAACCTGATACTATCCTCCTGCAGGTCTACCTATCCATAAGCATTACTTTCTCTCACCTCTTACCCCTATCTCTCTCTCTCTCTCTCTCTCTCTCTCTCTCTCTAATCCCTATCCTGACAGATGAGATTCTGGAAAACAACCACGGGGAGAGTTGAATGATAGCTCTAGGCCTTTCGTGTTGCAATCAACACATCACTAGGAGCCTGCAATGTTGCAGAAAAGAGGACGAGGTCTCAGCAGATAGGTTCAGGGGAACTAGGTACCACCGTTCCCCCTGAACGAATCTATCAAGACTTCCTACTCATTCCTGTAACATTGCAAGCTCCTGATGATGTGTTGATTGCAGCACGAAAGGCCTAGAGATATCATTCAACTCCCCCCGTGGATGTTTTGTATGTATTCTTATATACGTGATATATTATGTGGCCACAACAGGTTAATGTGGCCACAACAAGTTAATGTGGACACAACAGGTTAATGTGGCCACAACAGGTTAATGTGGATACAAAAGGTTAATGTGGCCACAACAGGTTAATGTGGACACAACAGATTAATGTGACCACAACAGGTTAATGTGGCTACAACAGGTTAATGTGGCCACAAGTTAATGTGGCCACAACAGGTTAATGTGGCCATAACAGGTTAATGTGGCCACAACAGGTTAATGTGGACACAACAGGTTAATGTGGCCACAAGTTAATGTGGCCACAACAGGTTAATGTGGCCACAACAGGTTAACATGGCCGCATTAACCTGCTCAACACTTACAAGTTTGGGTAAATTAACTTAGTTACCCCGTGAAAAGGCGGAAGTTTTAGCATAGTTAACCCTAGTTATTCCTTCACAGGCAAATATAACAGCCTAGTTACCCCTTGAAACCTCCGAAAAATACAAAATAATAATCCATATACTATTTTTATTTATAGAAAACGATTGCAAAAAAATTAATTGGGTCACTGCTCTAAAAAAACACAAAATAATCCATATAAATTTATATATATTTTATCAAAAACGACTGCAACAAAAATTCATATATTGTATTTTCCCGTCCTGAAGAACGCTATTATATCAAAATAACTTTTTTTTAATTTTGAATTAGGCAGTGGGGGGGGGGGGGGGGACCCATGGTGGGTCTCGTGCCCAAAACCCATGAAATTTTGGAAAAAAAAAGTATATGTAACTGAGATTTTGGGAGAGATGATGGTGATTTTCTGGTAGAAATATTTCTTTTTTCTTCTTGAGTTCCCCATTCCGAGGGTGCTGCACGACCCATGCTTGTTTAGAGCTTCCCAGAGCAGGTGAGGGTCATTGACCTAGCAGGTGAGGGACACTGACCTAGCAGGTGAAGGTCATTGACCTAGCAGGTGAGGGTCATTGACCTAGCAGGTGAGGGTCATTGACCTAGCAGGTGAGGGACACTGACCTAGCAGGTGAGGGACACTGACCTAGCAGGTTAGGGTCATTGACCTAGCAGGTGAGGGACACTGACCTAGCAGGTGAGGGTCATTGACCTAGCAGGTGAGGGACACTGACCTAGCAGGTTAGGGTCATTGACCTAGCAAGTTAGGATCACTGACCTAGCAGGTGAGGGTCATTGACCTAGCAGGTGAGGGTCATTGACCTAGCAGGTGAGGGGCACTGACCTAGCAGGTGAGGGTTATTGACCTAGCAAGTTAGGGTCACTGACCTAGCAGGTGAGGATCATTGACCTAGCAGGTGAGGGTCATTGACCTAGCAGGTGAGGGGCACTGACCTAGCAGGTGAGGGTCATTGACCTAGCAAGTTAGGGTCACTGACCTAGCAGGTGAGGGTCATTGACCTAGCAGGTCAGGGACACTGACCTAGCAGGTGAGGGTTATTGACATAGCAGGCGAGGGTCATTGACCTAGCAGATGAGGGGTATTGACCTAGCAAATGAGGATCATTGACCTAGCAGGTGAGGGTCACTGACTTAGTAGGTATGTTGACCCAGGCTCACCCGGCACCCTGACTGTTAAGACACACAGGTGTGTCAGTGTCGTATGACAGTGTCGTATGAGTGTCGCGTGACAGTGTCGTGTGTCAGTGTCGTGTGTCAGTGTCGTGTGACAGAGTCGTGTGACAGTGTCGTGTGACAGTGTCGTGTGTCAGTGTCGTGTGTCAGTGTCGTGTGACAGTGTCGTGTGCCAGTGTCGTGTGTCAGTGTCGTGTGAGTGTCGTGTGTCAGTGTAGTGTGTCAGTGTCGTGTGTCAGTGTCGTGTGAGTGTCGTGTGTCAGTGTATCTCACTATCAAAGCATTTTCTCCAAGAAAGACTTCATCAATTCGCTTGAATTGATAAAGTCTCAGATGGGCGAAACGTCTTCACAATAAAATGCCATAGCCAACACTGTATGTCATCTCGAGTCGAGTCCACCGCTAAAGTTACTTTGGAGTCCTTGACAGTGACGCTCCTTCCTTCGGAGTGTGAAGGAAACTCATTAACATGGATGATTTGATGCTCTTTTATTTTTACCACGGCACGGGAGCAAAGAGAGAGGTGGTAGTCATCTAAGAAACCTCCGTATTTCCAGTGCTGAATTACTCGAGGGCTAGTACACTTGCATTAAGTCTTCTCACGTCAGTATTTCCCCTCCCTTCTCATATAAGACTGTTGATGCAGTCCCTCAAGACAAAGCTCAAAAGAATCTCCGTGTGATTCCCTACCATCTTACATACACTAGTCTGCTAGCCTGAGTACCTTCCCCAAGAGATACAAAGTAGAAACACCTAAATCTCTTTTGCCAAAGGTAGCAGCCCACACCAGCCAGCAGCTCCACTGACTAAACACCTCACATCACCAAAGAACCATCGGCAAAGAGGATCTAAGACTCTCTGGGGACCTCACCAACAGGATCAATTAGAGATAAACCGCGGAATGGGTGGATTTAGAACCCATGGCGAGTGGTTTGCTTGCAATCGTGTTATTGAGGTTTCGTGAGTCGATTAGACATCGGCTTCTAACCCCGGGACACTGACGGCAGATTCAGCCTTGCTCTCCATGCAAATGAGACGCATATCTTCGATAATTACATCGTTTTCGGTGAAGTCCGGGAACAAACAGTTCCTTGGTAGGACCACAGACTCACACATCTCGGTATCATCATACCATTTCTTAATAGAGAGTATGCATAAACGGGGAGAAATCAGAGTGGAGACGCGTCACAGACGGTGTTCCACAGGGGTCAGTGTTGGGCCCTTTGTTGTCCACAATTTACGTGGAGTCGTGGCCAGCTTGTAGACAAAGCATCTGGAGGAGTGATTAAAACATCGTATCAAAATATCTGATATATATGGGGAGAAAATATACATTTGTTGAAGAATAGAAATGCACAATACCGTGGCTGGAACATTTCAAAATCCTGCACTTGGAAGAAGACTCTAACGGTAACGTTTTGCTCCCTCCTGGACCACTGACTTGACAATGGTCCAGGGAGGACCGAAACGTCGTTATAAGATTTCTTAAGTGTGGGGTTTTGGTAAATATGTTTCCAAAACAATTTTTATGCTACCTAGGCCTGTGTCTCACTGGCACTTATCTTACTATATTGTAAGATCTGCACTAAAGGTGTACTGGAAGATGTGTCCTCGTTACTCACCTAACTGTGACTCTTGGTCCCGCCAGCTTCAGATATACACGTCTCTGTAACTGACCAGATCACGCTCGTGGTTGGTGCAAGAAAGAACACAGATGTAATGACATGAAATGTAAACAAACCAGGGAACGGGTGGGGGTTGAACCCAAAGCGAGTTCTAAAACTCACAGTCCAGTGTGTTAACCACTGGATCAGTAGGCTACAATAAGATTCATCCGACCAGTTACATTTATACACCATAGGGAGATTAGCATGGGCCACTACTGTGACCACAAATCACACATGTTTAACAAAAACACTAATATTCCTAATGTTCTTGTACTACCATCCACAGGATGGATAGGTGACCACGATAAACCAGCCACATCCGCTACAAAATCTAAACCACACCTAACCACTCAAGGTGAGTGGTTAGGTGTGGTTTATGAACACCAGACCGAAATAGGTACGGTAAACACTAAGAAAGAAGAGAAAGTTTACAATAACCACTACAAGCTACAAGGAGAAAAACACAAACCTAGCCAACAGATGGCGTTAAAATTTGCTACTGGCATGCTAAACAGCGGCCCAAGACTGCCAGAAATCCCCTGACGTTCGTAAAATGAACTTAAAATTATATTTACATACCTTTTTGCACTCTTAAGCTGTAAGTTTATTTAGGCACAGGTACACATAAGTACAATTATCATACATAGTGTAAATTACCCAGGATAAACCCCAGAAAAGTCAAATAAGGTGATTTATTTCCATTGGGGTCCTTCAATTTACAATGGGGATCCTTGAATTTCTACTGGGGGTCCTTAAATTTCTATTGGGGGTCCTTGAATTTTCAATGGAATCATGAAATTTCCATTGGGGTCCTTGAATTCCATTGGGGTCCATGAATTTCCATTGGTGTAATTAAATTTCCATTGGGGTCCTTGAATTTTCATTGGGGTCCTTGAATTCCATTGGTGTCCTTGAGTTTCCATTGGTGTCCTTGAATTTCCCGAACGTGTCAGTACCTAAGTTTAGGCACAGGTACACACATAATTACAATTATCATACACAGTGTAAATCATCTAGAATAACCCATAAAAGCCAGACAAAGTGGCTTATTTTCACTGGGGTCCTTTTCTTACATAATCTCCACAGCTTACTCTCCAGAGAGCTTTTGTGCCAAAATCCAAAGTGCGAGAATCCCCTCTCCCCCCCCCACCCATCTTAACCCAGACAAGTATCCATATCTATTCCCTTTTAAGGCTGAAAGTCAATGAGACGTAGACTAGTCTTGGAGAGGTGTAGCTAGTGCTGCTACCACTGCCCTAGATGATTGTGTAACTCCCCGTCACTGCCACACATGGCATTCCTGTCACTGAAATGACCTCATGCTGATATGTGACATACATCCGTAGATATATATAAACCTCTTTCACACCTGCATGTTGTCATATAATAATAATAATAATAATAAATAATAATAATAATAATAATAATAATAATAATAATAATAATAATAATAATAATAATAATAATTAATAATATAATAATAATAATAATAATAATAATAATAATAATAATAATAATAATATTATAATAATAATAATAATAATAATAATAATAATTTAATAATAATAATAATAATAATAATAATAATAATAATAATAATAATAATAATAATAATAATAATAATAATAATTATATTATTATTATTATTATTATTATTATTATTATTATTATTATTATTTATTATTATTATTATTATTATTATTATTATCACCAATATTATTTGGGTGGTAAACCCAGAGGGGTCAGAGAGCATAGGAGTGCCTGGGAGAGCGTGTAAGCCAGAGATACCACGGTGGGTGGATCAGACTTCCGTATTCTGCCATGAGTGCCGTGTGAAGGCTGGCATCAGTGCCAGCCTTCGCAAGAAGTGCCTCTTAGTGCCTGCCCCACACCAGTGCCACCACAGTCCTGAGTATTTATAGTTGCTGGGACTCGTCTCCATCCACCTGCACTCTCTCTCTCTCTCTCTCTCTCTCTCTCTCTCTCTCTCTCTCTCTCTCTCTCTCTCTCTCTCTCTCTCTCTCTCTCTCTCTCTCTCTCTCTCTCTCTCTCACTGGCTGCTAATAATCTGATTTTTTTATTTAGTGATCTAATATTAGCTTTTGTGTGCACACACCTAACTGTACTCACCTAGTTGTGGTTGCAGGGGTCGATTCATAGCTCCTGGTCCTGCCTCTTCACTGGTCGCTACTAGATCCACTCTCTCTTTACTCCATGGGCTTTATCATACCTCGTTTTAAAGCTATGTATGGTACCTTCCTCTACTACATCACTCTCCAGACTGTTCCACTTTCTGACAACTCTATGACTGAAGAAGTACTTTCTAACATCCCTTTGACTCATTGGAGTCTTCAGGCCCGGTGGCCTGGTGGCCAAAGCTCCCGCTTCACACACGGAGGTCCCGGGTTCGATTCCCGGCGGGTGGAAACATTTCGACACGTTTCCTTACACCTGTTGTCCTGTTCACCTAGCAGCAAATAGGTACCTGGGTGTTAGTCGACTGGTGTGGGTCGCATCCTGGGGGACAAGATTAAGGACCCCAATGGAAATAAGTTAGACAGTCCTCGATGACGCACTGACTTTCTTGGGTTATCCTGGGTGGCTAACCCTCCGGGGTTAAAAATCCGAACGAAATCTTATCTTATCTTAACATCTAGTTGTGTCCCCTTGTTGTTGTGTCCCATCTCTTGAACAACCTGTCCCTATCCACCTTGTCAATTCCTCTCAGTATTTTGTTGTTATCATGTCCCCCCCCCCTCTGTCTCTCCTGTCCTCCAGTGTTGTCACGTTAATTTTCCTTAACCTCTCCTCGTAGGACATACCCCTTAGCTCCGAGACTAGTTCTGTTGCAAACCTTTGCACTTTCTCTAATTTCTTGACGTGCTTGACCAGGTGGTGGTGGTGATGGAGGTGAGGGTTCCATACTGGTGCTGCATACTCCAATATGGGCCTGACGTACACAGTGTACAGTATCTTGAATGTTTCCTTAGTGAGGTGTCGGAACGCTATTCTTAGATTTGCCAGGCGCCCATATGCTGCAGTAGTTATTTGGTTGATGTGTGCCTCAGATGTGTTCGGTATTATACTCACCCCAAGATCCTTTGCCTTCAGTGAGGTTTGCAGTTTTTGGCCACCTTAACCTGTACTCTGTCTGCGGTTTTCTTTGCCCTTCCTAATCTTCATGACTCTGCACTTGGTGGGGTTAAACTCCAGGAGCCAGTTGCTGGACTAGGCTTGCAGCCTGTTCAGATCCGTTGTAGTCCTGCCTGTGTGTGTGTGTGTGTGTGTGTGTGTGTGTGTGTGTGTGTGTGTGTGTGTGTGTGTGTGTGTATGTATGTATGTGTGTCTTTGTGTTGGTTAATAGGTACCTGCGCTGGCAGTGAATTTGGATCTTTGACTGGTACTGCGGCGGCACCAGACCTTCCAATCTCAAAACACACACACACACACACACACACACACACACACACACACACACACACACACACACACACACACACACACACACACACACACACACTATTAACTTCCGCTTCACTATAGAGAGTTATAGAAAGTTTTCTAATCACGTTTAGGAATACAGGTGCCATGACCCTCGTAGGGGCTTACCCTTGTCACTCATGACTCCTCTCAGTCATAAAACTCTCTGCCAGACATGAATAACCCATTTATATCCCTACTTTTCCGTTTTTCTTCGTGTTTTTTCTTACAGGCTAAGTGTCACCCATGGAAGTATCGTGACGACATTGATGATGTGACCTTCCCAACACCTAGGTTCTCTCTCTCTCTCTCTCTCTCTCTCTCTCTCTCTCTCTCTCTCTCTCTCTCACAGAACATTGATGGTGTAACCTCCCCAACACCCAGGTTCTCTCTCTCTCTCTCACACACAGAACATTGATGGTGTAACCTCCCCAACACCCAGGTTCTCTCTCTCTCCCTCTCTCACACAGAACATTGATCAAGGAACTACTTTCATAGTTCCTTGATAATGTGAGTAGTCACGAAAGCGCTTGGAATTTCTCTATTCTTTCACAGTGGTTGTTTTGCATATATATATATATATATATATATATATATATATATATATATATATATATATATATATATATATATATATATATATATATATATATTTTTTTATTATTCTATGTGAACATTTATTAATAAACAAAATACATTTACAGAATAAAACATAAACATGAATACAATGGCACAATGTATCAAAGATGATGAATTTCCTCCAGCTCCTCCGAGGCTGGACGTGAGCCAAGTATGCAGCAAGCATTTCCCCTCTGGATGGCGACGCTGAGGCGCTGGAACATGAAAGTGGCTGCCCTTGGGTCCCTGGTGGTGTCGATGAGTCTGGAACCCAATTCTTTAAGGAAACGTGTGGCATTTTTTCCCCATGATCCCAAGGTCTCCGATCCCACTGGGACAAATTGATACTGTTGGCTAATGTCCCTGTACTTGCTGATCTTGTACTCCTCCCTGTGGTCAGCAGCTCCTCCCTGTCGCCCCACACTGTGATGGATATAGGTGTCAGCCAGTGTGGACACACAGGTATAGTCCCATGCTAAGAGCTTGCCATTCTTCCAAGGATAGATGGTGATCCCGTCGGGGCGGTTTGCTGGGTTGTGGGTATTGTTTGCTGCAAGTGATCGTGGCTCCCTCTCGGCAGGGCATCCAGCTGTAGCAAGGGTTCTCTTAATGATGTCGTTGACCTCGTTGTGTCTTGCATGCCAGCCCTTGGTTTTGGAACAGTTAAGACCATGTAGACCGTATTGGTCTGCTTGCACTTCGCCGCAAATACACATATATTCTGTGTGAATTGGGGCAGCAAGGCGCAGAGCCACTGCAATACGGAGGGTCTTAGGGTCGAGTCGCGTTCCCATTGCCGATATGGGAACTGTTTGGAGGAAGTCCCCGGAGTGAGGTGCACTCACAGCCTGGAGACGGGCAATCTCCCTATCTGATGTTGCAGCCCTGAGCATGTTGGCAAGCACCTTTTCAGCAATTGGGCTATCCCAGCTTGACTGTTTGTGAGCCAGTGCTGCACTAGGGTTTGGTGCTGGAGCAGCAAGAGTCTCCCATTCGGTGATGGCACTGACATAGCTAGGGTCTTCTATTCCTGCTGAGTCACTGAGGGTGTCAGGAAGAATTTGTCTTATCAACTCGTTTGATGCAATGGAAGAGGATAGGAAAGCTGGTAGAGCAATCTGGGAGGATCTGCGTACTCCTAGCCCTCCAAGCCTGACCGGAAGTGAGGCTTGCAACCACTGTCCATCGTCAAGGGAAAGATTCAATACACTCTCTAGCATGGCCTTCAGGAGAGAGTCATATTCCTTGAGTTTTGGACTGCTGAAGGCTGGGGAGCATCTCAGAAAATAGATAAGTTTTGGCGTTGACAGGCACCTGGTGAGTAGGTAAAAGGCATCGTGTGTGTCAATGTCTTTCATCCTGCTTTCCATCGTCCGGAGGTTTACAATTTAAAATAAAATACTCTTTGTCTGTGCAAACTCAGGTGATGGTCAGTTAGGTTTTCCAGAGGTCATGGAGTGTAAAGTGACTTTGTCAATGGTCCAAGTCGGACCGAAACGTCGTCGTAAGCTTCTGTCTTTTATGTGCGGGTTATTTGTGTATCGTTCCAGTCACGGTATTGTGCCTTTTTGTTATTTAGGTAGAATTCCTTCAGTAATAAGTAGATCTTTATCTCAGGTCAGCAGACATGGCAGGACGTACCTGACGATGACGGGTCAACCAGACTGACCTGGGCTAAACGTGTATTGAACGTGTTAATAACATGTAACTCTGGTTTCACTCAGGTTCACAGTGGAGGACTCCCTGTAAACAACATTTCGCTCAAGGGGAAGGGGGAGGGATGATATCATTCTCCTTGAGCGAAACTCTACCTTCCAAAGGTGCTCATAACTGACATGTAACATTCTTTGCCTCCCAGTGTGCTATGGAAAGAACTTTGGACCCAAAGGTTACGGCTTTGGATCAGGTGCAGGAACGCTTACCTGTGGCTACGATGAAATGTAAGTGCCTTTGCCTCAGGCTTACCCTCCAGGGGCTAGCAGGCTGCCTTAGTCCTACCCTCCAGGGGCTAGCAGGTTGCCTTAGTCCTACCCTCCAGGGGCTAGCAGGCTGCCTTAATCCTACCCTCCAGGGGCTAGCAGGCTGCCTTAGTCCTACCCTCCAGGGGCTAGCAGGCTGCCTTAGTCCTACCCTCCAGGGGCTAGCAGGCTGCCTTAGTCCTACCCTCCAGGGGCTAGCAGGTTGCCTTAGTCCTACCCTCCAGGGGCTAGCAGGCTGCCTTAATCCTACCCTCCAGGGGCTAGCAGGCTGCCTTAGTCCTACCCTCCAGGGGCTAGCAGGCTGCCTTAGTCCTACCCTCCAGGGGCTAGCAGGTTGCCTTAGTCCTACCCTCCAGGGGCTAGCAGGCTGCCTTAGTCCTACCCTCCAGGGGCTAGCAGGCTGCCTTAGTCCTACCCTCCAGGGGCTAGCAGGCTGCCTTAGTCCTACCCTCCAGGGGCTAGCAGGCTGCCTTAGTCCTACCCTCCAGGGGCTAGCAGGCTGCCTTAGTCCTACCCTCCAGGGGCTAGCAGGCTGCCTTAGTCCTACCCTCCAGGGGCTAGCAGGCTGCCTTAGTCCTACCCTCCAGGGGCTAGCAGGCTGCCTTAGTCCTACCCTCCAGGGGCTAGCAGGCTGCCTTAGTCCTACCCTCCAGGGGCTAGCAGGTTGCCTTAGTCCTACCCTCCAGGGGCTAGCAGGCTGCCTTAGTCCTACCCTCCAGGGGCTAGCAGGCTGCCTTAGTCCTACCCTCCAGGGGCTAGCAGGCTGCCTTAGTCCTACCCTCCAGGGGCTAGCAGGCTGCCTTAGTCCTACCCTCCAGGGGCTAGCAGGCTGCCTTAGTCCTACCCTCCAGGGGCTAGCAGGTTGCCTTAGTCCTACCCTCCAGGGGCTAGCAGGCTGCCTTAGTCCTACCCTCCAGGGGCTAGCAGGCTGCCTTAGTCCTACCCTCCAGGGCTAGCAGGCTGCCTTAGTCCTACCCTCCAGGGGCTAGCAGGCTGCCTTAGTCCTACCCTCCAGGGGCTAGCAGGCTGCCTTAATCCTACCCTCCAGGGCTAGCAGGCTGCCTTAGTCCTACCCTCCAGGGGCTAGCAGGCTGCCTTAGTCCTACCCTCCAGGGCTAGCAGGCTGCCTTAATCCTACCCTCCAGGGGCTAGCAGGCTGCCTTAGTCCTACCCTCCAGGGGCTAGCAGGCTGCCTTAGTCCTACCCTCCAGGGGCTAGCAGGCTGCCTTAATCCTACCCTCCAGGGGCTAGCAGGCTGCCTTAGTCCTACCCTCCAGGGGCTAGCAAGCTGCCTTAATCCTACCCTCCAGGGGCTAGCAGGCTGCCTTAGTCCTACCCTCCAGGGACTAGCAGGTTGCCTTAGTCCTTCCTTCCAAGGGCTTACAGGCTTCCTGAGGCCTACCTTCCAGGGGCTGGTAGGCTAAGGCCTACCATCTCAAAGGCTTGCAAACTGTGGCCAACAGTACTGATACGGCTGGTGTGATTCAGAGAGGAGAAATCAATACTAACTACCTCTCTAGTAGTGACTGACGTCCTCACTGCTAGTTACATACATCATGCCAACGCTTACCGCTATAAATATTATTTTTCGCTATTTTTATTTATTTACTTCAGGGTTATGTAAAAGAACTTATTTTCTTATATGTGCCGATTTAGTTTTTATTTCCCAATACGTATATAACGCTAAGCTTATCACTGTTTATTAATATCTACGAACGAGAGTGCAAAAGCTTTTTTTAAAGCTGAAACAAAGCTTAATCAACATATTGTCACTTCACAGGTTGATAAGTAAGACACATATGCAACAGTTAGGTATCTTTATTCCGAAATATCCCGCCTACACAGCAGGCTTCTTCAGTCGATTACAGAAGACGTAGTTTTGAGGTGATCAGTCCCTCAGCCTGGAGAACAGTGCAACAATGTGTCATACTCATCACCCTGTCAATATTGAACACAGTTTTCATATTCACCTCACAGGAAGATGAGCTGGAGGCCTAACATACGCTAATGCAGATGTTTCACGTGTGTCTGCGTGTGTTTAATGCAGTGTTTTTCTGGTGTTTTTTAAGTGGGTAGTGGCTAACACACAGCACTTCTGACTTCCCCGCAGTTTGCTACGGCAAGAAGTTCGGCCCTAAGGGATACGGCTTTGGCTGCGGTCAAGGAACTTTGCAATGTGATCCAGACTCGTAGGTTGACCGCTTGTTGTTGTTGTCATGGCAACAAGCCTGTGTTCCCACCTTACTTCCCCTCACTCTTGTTGCCTAGGCAACAACAAGTCTGTGTTCCCACCTTATTTCCCCTTACTCTTGTTGTCATGGCAACAACAAGCCTGTGTTCCCACCTTACTTCCCCTCACTCTTGTTGTCTAGGCAACAATAAGTCTGTGTTCCCACCATACTTCCCCTCACTCTTGTTGTCTAGGCAACAACAAGTCTGTGTTCCCACCATACTTCCCCTCACTCTTGTTGTCTAGGCAACAACAAGTCTGTGTTCCCACCATACTTCCCCTCACTCTTGTTGTCTAGGCAACAATAAGTCTGTGTTCCCACCTTATTTCCCCTCACTCTTGTTGTCTAGGCAACAACAAGCCTGTGTTCCCGCCTTCCCCTCACTCTTGTTGTCTAGGCAACGAATGTTGTTGCTAGGCAACCAGTGTTGTTGCTAGGCAACCAGTGTTGTTGCTAGGCAACCAGTGTTGTTGCTAGGCAACCAGTGTTCTTGCTAGGCAACCAGTGTTGCTACTAGGCAACCAGTGTTGTTGCTAGGCAACCAGTGCTGTTGCTAGGCAACCAGTGTTGCTACTAGGCAACCAGTGTTGTTGCTAGGCAACCAGTGTTGTTGCTAGGCAACTAGTGTTGTTGCTAGGCAACCAGTGTTGCTACTAGGCAACCAGTGTTGTTGCTAGGCAACCAGTGCTGTTGCTAGGCAACCAGTGTTGCTACTAGGCAACCAGTGTTGTTGCTAGGCAACCAGTGTTGTTGCTAGGCAACTAGTGTTGTTGCTAGGCAACCAGTGTTGTTGCTAGGCAACCAGTGTTGCTACTAGGCAACAAATGCTGTTGCTAGACAACCAGTGTTGCTGCTAGGCAACAACATTTATCTTTTTTTCGAGTCCATCTGTTGCCAGTGTAACTGTTGTCTAACTCTCTGTTGCCAGTGTAACTGTTGTCTAACTCTCTGTTGCCAGTGTAACTGTTGTCTAACTCTCTGTTGCCAGTGTAACTGATGTCTAACTCTCTGTTGCCAGTGTAACTGTTGTCTAACTCTCTGTTGCCAGTGTAGCTGTTGTCTAACTCTCTGTTGCCAGTGTAACTGTTGTCTAACTCTATGTTGCCAGTGTAACTGTTGTCTAACTCTCTGTTGCCAGTGTAGCTGTTGTCTAACTCTCTGTTTCCAGTGTAACTGTTGTCTAACTCTCTGTTGCCAGTGTAACTGTTGTCTAACTCTCTGTTACCAGTGTAAATGTTGTCTAACTCTCTGTTGCCAGAGTGACTGTTTTTATAGTAATTATTCTGTTGCCATAGTGACTATTTGCTGCCATACGAACTATCTGTTGCCATAGTGACCATGCTGAGAATGTTACACTCACAAGGTAAGTGCTGTCAGCACTGACAACTGCACCTATCACACAAGGTAAGTGCTGTCAGCACTGACAACTGCACTTATTACACAAGGTAAGTGCTGTCAGTGTCAGTCCTCTAGGTTATTCAGTACTGTTGGTAACCCTCTTTAAGTTTCAAGGTTCCAAATTCTCTGCATAATATTCCCAGCACACAGTGCTCCTGCTCCCCGCTGCAACGTTGACAACCCATGCTTCACACCCATGTGACAGTGCTGGTACTACTGTACGCTGGCACTTTCCGTTTATTGCCTCTAGATTATTATGATTATAATCGTAGCCTAGCGGTAAACCCACAAGGGTCATACAGTATTGACTCCAGAGATATATTTTCCTCAACAGATGTATCAGCACATCACACACCTGTTGATTCTTATTTGTTTACACACCTGCTGTCTGTCATTCACCCACACACCTGCTGTCTCACATTCACTCACACACCTGCTGTCTCTCATTCACTCACATGCTGTCTCTCATTCACTCACACACCTGCTGTCTCCCATTCACTCACACACCTGCTGTCTCCCATTCACTCACACACCTGCTGTCTGTCATTCACTCACACACCTGCTGTCTGTCATTCACTCACACACCTGCTGTCTCTCATTCACTCACACACCTGCTGTCTCCCATTCACTCACACACCTGCTGTCTGTCATTCACTCACACACCTGCTGGCTGTCATTCACTCACACACCTGCTGTCTCTCATTCACTTACACACCTGCTGTCTTTCATTCACTCACACATCTGATGTCTCTCAGTCACTCACACACCTGCTGTCTCACATTCACTCACACACCTGCTGTCTCTCATTCACTCACACACCTGCTGTCTCACATTCACTCACACACCTGCTGTCTCACATTCACCCACACACCTGCTGTCTCACATTCACTCACACACCTGCTGTCTCATTCACTCACACACCTGCTGTCTCTCATTCACTCACACACCTGCTGTCTCACATTCACTCACACACCTGCTGTCTCACATTCACCCACACACCTGCTGTCTCACATTCACCCACACACCTGCTGTCTCACATTCACTCACACACCTGCTGTCTCTCATTCACTCACACACCTGCTGTCTCATTCACTCACACACCTGCTGTCTCTCATTCACTCACACACCTGCTGTCTCACATTCACTCACACACCCTGCTGTCTCACATTCACCCACACACCTGCTGTCTCACATTCACCCACACACCTGCTGTCTCACATTCACTCACACACCTGCTGTCCTCACATTCACCCCACACACCTGCTGTCTCACATTCACCCACACACCTGCTGTCTCACATTCACTCACACACCTGCTGTCTCTCATTCACTCACACACCTGCTGTCTCATTCACTCACACACCTGCTGTCTCTCATTCACTCACACACCTGCTGTCTCTCATTCACTCACACACCTGCTGTCTCTCATTCACTCACACACCTGCTGTCTCACATTCACTCACACACCTGCTGTCTCTCATTCAGTCACACACCTGCTGTCTCACATTTACTCACACACCTGCTGTCTCACATTCACTCACACACCTGCTGTCTCACATTCACTCACACACCTGCTGTCTCACATTCACTCACACACCTGCTGTCTCATTCACTCACACACCTGCTGTCTCTCATTCACTCACACACCTGCTGTCTCACATTCACTCACACACCTGCTGTCTCACATTTACTCACACACCTGCTGTCTCTTATTATCCTATGCCTCATCTCTTTTCATAGACCCATCCACCCACATGTTTACTCCCAGATATTTGAAGGTTAGGTCATGTTAGGTCATGTTAGGTCATGTTAGGTTAGGTTAGGTAAGGTTTGTCAGGAAACAGGACAAGTGTTTCCTGACGCGGGTCTTAGTTATATGATGACCCACAGTTGGAGCTTCTGGTCATCTGACCGAGGCCTTCTACTGGCTTACCTCTCCACTCTATTCATTATTATATCCTGTCTTTCATTATCTATTTTGTTTTCTTGTCAATTTTATCGCCTCGTTCTTTATTGCCTTCAGTTTTATTGACTTTCTTAGAGAAAGTTAGTCGTAGTGGTGGTGGTGGGTCGTTACTACCACTACCATCATCACTACTACTACTACTACTACTACTACTACTACTACCACCTCTATCATCACCACTTCTATTACTACCACAATCACCACCACAACTACCACCATCACCACTGCTACAATTACCACCATCACCACCACTACCACTACTACTGCTATCACCTTCACCACCATTACTACTACTACTACTACCACCATCACTAGTACCACTACTACCACTACTACCACCACTACCACCCCTACACCCCCAACAACCACCACTACCAATATCCTGGTATCATCCACAGCGCTCCGCTGGTACGGCCTCATGGTAACCCCGACGCCATCTTGCCGGTCATGGAGGGCGAAACAGCGTGCCCGCGCTGCGGCGGTCGCGTCTTCAGCGCAGAGATGATGCTAGCCAAGAACAAGGTCAGTGCTAGCCAGGCTCTGGATCCAAGGAAATTCAAACCACACTCTCCCATTCCTCAGATCAAGAAACTATATCCTCCCTATTACCCTGGCGCTGTACGACCCCCCGTACGGGTTTGGCGCTTTCAACATTAATGTTAATATTATTATTATCATAAAAATTGTTATAATAATAGTTATAACAATTGTTATAGTAACTGCTACAGTAACAGTTACAATAACAGGTATTAGTAACAGTAAGTTACAGTAACAGTTACAATAACAGGTATGAGTAACAGTAACAGTTACAATAACAGGTTTGAGTAACAGCAACAGCATAAAGTGAGTGTACTTGTTGTTGTCAGCCATTCCACAAGAAGTGCTTCAAGTGCAGAGTGTGTAAACGACCTCTAGACTCCATGACTCACTGTGATGGCGCCGACGGTGACATCTACTGTAAGCTCTGCTACGCTAAGAAGTACGGTCCTAAGGGCTACGGCTTCGCTGCTGGCGGTGGCGGCGTCCTGGTGGCTGAGAACATCCCGTAAGTCTTAACTTATACCTTCCGGTGACTAGTCTTAATGCGCGGAGAATCATTCACCCTTAACCAGACAAATCTTAACTTATACCTTCCGGTGACTAGTCTTAATGCGCGGAGAATCATTCACCCTTAACCAGACAAATCACGGAACGGCCGAGTGGTTCGCTGGCCTTTGAGTTTGACGACTCACTTGCCATGGGTTTTAACCCTCTCATTCCCTGATTAGACTACAGTCATATTATGGAATCTGTGTAAGGGGTACGCCTGGTGGAGCTTGTTATAACACTGGAAAAATAACATTTCATTCCAGGTCAAATATAGCTATTCTTGGGTCTTACTAAAAATGGTCCTTTCAGTCAAGTTTTGGTCTTTTTATTGGACTGGGACCTACCACTGGTTTACCGGTCCAGCCGTGATACAACAATATATGTCACATCGATGAGTTGAAGATTGAGACACTTATGCAACATATGGGAATCTTTATTCGGGAAACGTTTCGCCACACAGTGGCTTCATCAGTCCAGTACACAGTGGACTGATGAAGCCACTGTGTGGTGAAACGTTTCCCGAATAAAGATTCCCATATGTTGCATAAGTGTCTCAATCTTCAACTTGTCGGTTTTTCAAACCATTCATCACAACTGTCAGACACTGCAACATCATGGGATCTTGTTACAAAGAATTCTTCAACACTTATCCAACCTTTGGACGAAGACCTACTTCGACTAGTGGATGGTACCACTATGACCCCACCTCCTCCTGCTTCACGTCACCTCACTACAGTATATAAGCCACGTCTACGGCCCTATGCTGTACTTTCTACAAGATTGATGGACTGAACACATCGACTCCAGGCTGAGGGACTGATTACCTCAAACTCCTCCTCTCCTTACACCTTTCTTCTTTGTACTGGACTGATGAAGCCACTGTGTGGCGAAACGTTTCCCGATAAGGATTCCCATATGTTGCATAAGTGTCTCAATCTTCAACTCGTCGGTTTTTCAAACCATTCATCACAACACACATATGTCACATCAGATGATATCCAACATGTTTTTAATGTCAACACACAACACAGGAGTTGTAAAGATGTGTTGCCACAGGTTCCTGTGTTACGTCACTTTGTTGTTGGTCTGTCTTTTGATGGTGGTGTTACGGTGGCTCTACATGGTGTTGCTAATGGAAATTGTTGCACTACAGGGGAGGTGAGGCCATGCCAGGGGTCAACCCTGGCTCTGCAGTGCTGGACGTGAGCAAGATCAAGGCGGAAGAGGGCCAGGGTTGCCCACGTTGTGGTGGCAAGGTATTCATGGCAGAGGAGATCAACGCTCGTGGCAGGGTGAGTATTTCCCAACGCTCGTGGCAGGGTGAGTACTTCCCAACGCTCGTGGCAGGGTGAGTATTTCCCAACGCTCGTGGCAGGGTGAGTACTTCCCAACGCTCGTGGCAGGGTGAGTATTTCCCAACGCTCGTGGCAGGGTGAGTACTTCCCAACGCTCGTGGCAGGGTGAGTACTTCCCAACGCTCGTGGCAGGGTGAGTACTTCCCAACCTCCTGTTACTCCCGGGATAATTCTCACGATATACAGCAATATAATTACGATATACAGTGTATATATAGCAATGGTATTATCATACAACATTAGGAATAATAATAATGGAATACTGTAGTAGGAGAGATAACAACAGGTGGCAGTGGGACGCTGCAACTATGGTATTTGTTGTAAATATAGGGAACTGAATAGCCTGCAGTGAAGAATTAGTCACGTGCTACGTCTGGGTATCTTTATTTGTAGACGTTTTGTAGTCCAGTGGCTTTATCAGTACAGTACAAGGATGTAATGTGAAGACTGTAGAGTTATATACAAAAGATGGGGTAATCAGTCCCTCAGCCTTGGAGTCGATGAACACATCGACTCCAGGATGAGGAACTGATTACCTCACAGTCCTTCTCATCTTCTACCGTTTCTCTGCATTGGACTGAAGAACCCACTGCATGGCGAAACGTTTCCAGAATACAGATTCCCAGATGTTGCACAACTGTCTCATTAACTCGTAAGTTTTGAAAACCATTTATTTACATTCAGAGAATGACTGTCAGTAACGTTACCTTGGTCTTCCTCCACACACATGACAGTCCTTCCACAAACGGTGTTACAACTGCTGTCACTGCCACCGTCCTCTCGACTCCATGACGGGTTGTGACTCTCCCGACGGTGAGGTCTATTGTAAACTCTGCTACGCTAAGAAGTACGGACCTAAGGGCTACGGCTTCGCTGCCGGCGGTGGCGGCGTCCTGGTGGCTGAAAACATTTCGTAAGTCTTATGACACAAATGTAAACAAACCAGGGTACGGGTGGGGTTTGAACTCATGACGAGTCGTAAAACACCAGGCTAGTGCGTAAGCCACTGGGCCAGCTGGCTACAATATGATGGATCTAGCCAGCTGGCCCAGTGGCTGATGCACTGGCCTGGAGTCTTACAACTTACTCACCATCTGTTCAACTCTCACTCGTACACTGGTTTGTCTCTCGTGTTTTTACACTTGTTAAACCTAGATAAGGTTTACGTTTATCTTGATGATCAAGACACGTTTACAGCCCTTTACTGTCAATATAACCTTGATCTTACTTGATGATTAAGACACACGTGTGACTGTTGGGTATCTTTATTGATGAAATGTTTGGCCTACACAGTAGGTTTCTTCAGTCAAATATAGAGGCAGAAAGGTGTAGTAGTGAAATGATGATGATATAATCAGTCCCTCAGCCTTGGAGAACAATCAGCTTCAGGGTCTTTATGGTCTCCGTGGAGCTGAGGGACTGACCACCTCAAATACTATTTCTTCAAGTTTGAGGGACTGATTACATCATCTTCATTCCACTACTACACCTGATGTCTCTGTATTTGACTGAAGAAGTCTACTGTGTAGGTGAAACGATTCAACAATAAGATACCCAACTCTTGTACATGTGTCATAATGATCAACTTGTGGGTATTTTATACCATTTTCAGGTCCTTAATCACTGTACACAGTAGAAATAATTCTGAGGTGATCAGTCCCTCAGCCTTGACATGAAGTGGTCAGTCCCTGAGAGACTGACCACCTCAGAATTACAAGTATCCTATTCATCAGCTTGTCGGTACCACATACCATGAATAATATTATATTTTAAGTTTGTGAATACCACGAATCAGTGGGTGGAAACACTTGTTGATCTAATATTACGATTTTCAGTGGCGGTGATGCACATACAACCCTGGCCAAGAAGGCAGATGCTGGCCGCTTGAACGTAAGTAAAATCAGGGCAGACGAGGGGCAGGGCTGCCCTCGTTGTGGTGGCAAGGTCTTCATGGCAGAGGAGATCCACGTCCGTGCCCGCAGTTGGCACAAGTTCTGTTACACTTGTTGTCACTGCCACCGTCCTCTCGACTCCATGGTGGGATGCGATGCCCCTGACGGGGAAGTCTACTGTAAACTTTGTTACGCCAAGAAGTACGGCCCCAAGGGCTATGGCTTCGCGGCAGGCAGCGGCGGCGTCCTGGTAGCTGAGAACATCCCGTAAGTTACAGTAAATAGTTTTATCTTCGACAGCCATCAAGACCAAGATACAAATTAACAAAAAAAAAGTATTTTACCGGATCAGCGCTGTAGTTGTGCTGAAAGAGGAGGATCCAAGACCGTGGTAACCCACGTCTTAGCTCATTCCCTCAACGCCGTAACAAAACATAACTGATCCCCCCCAAAAACGAGAGTATAAATGACATGACACAATCATAATGTGGTACATAGGACTGAAGTTGCTCTCCAATCCTCTCTTATAAGATTACATTAACTACTATCACCTCTCAACACCCAGCTCTTTCCATGTGTAGAGCTTCATCAAGACTTGAAGCTCTATACAAAGCCTAAACACTGCAACTTGTATCTTGGTCTTCATTCTGTAAGTTTTTCACCGATGAATCACAACATTATTAATCTTAAAATAAAGTTTAAGAGGCACGTAAGTTCCCCCGTCTTCTAATAACTTGTTCATTTTTCCACTATAATCTACCTTGTCCATAATTATTATCACATTTCTTTTGTCTGTTTCGTAAGGTGAAGTCCAGGATCTTTCCTTAATTCCTGGTACAGTATAACTTAACTTGTGCTCAGACCTCTATGACACAGTTGTCCTCTTATTCTTCAACTTCTCAGTTTTCTGAGCCATTACGTCACAATTATATTTTTTACAATGATGTGCAACGTCTGAGATAAGTGTTGACGGTGTGTTGCAAGAGACCCATTCATAGTGTTACAGAAAGTGTCTTTCACTTGTAGCATATTTCAGGAGCAGTGTTGCAAGAACTGCAACTTATTTACGGTGTGTTGCAAGGTGTGACTATTGTACATGTTGCAGGGGCGGAGTGGCACAGTTGCCAGGCATCAGTGCAGCTACAGGAGCTATAGACACTACGTCCATACCCGCAGCCGCAGGGGAAGGATGCCCGCGCTGCGGCGGCAAGGTGTTCTCCGCAGAGGAGAGACTTTCCCGCAACAAGGCAGGTTGAGTAGTGGTTTATGTTGCAGACACGCGCTCACCCGCAGACACGCACTCACCCGCAGACACACTTAGCTGGTTTATCTTGTAAGATTTAAATAATAAGATGGAAATAAATCACTTTGTCTGACTTTTTGGGTTATCCTGGTAGGTAATTTACACATATGTTACTGTGTACGATAATTTGTGTACCTGTACCTAAATACTACACTTATGAACTCTGGTTCCTTATATAGTCAATTATATCCCAATAACATCAAGTCTCATTCACTCAATTCCACCACAAAATCCTTTAAAAGGAGTATCGATGATGCTTGGATATGGATTACTATCACTGGTGTCGGTGGGCTGGGATAAAAGTAGCCTTGGTAACGGATTCCATGGAGTCAGTGCAGAGGATTGTATGTAGGTAAGTGAATATAGATGAGTGGATATAGGTAAGTGGATATAGGTGAGTGGATATAGGTAAGTGGATATAAGTGAGTGAATATAGGTGAGTGGATATAGGTGAATGGATATAGGTAAGTGGATATAGGTGAGTGGATATACGTGAGTAGATATAGGTAAGTGGATATAGGTGAGTGGATATAGGTGAGTGGATATAGGTAAGTGGATATAGGTGAGTGGATATAGGTGAGTGGATACAGGTGAGTGGATATAGGTGAGTGGATACAGGTGAGTGGATACAGGTGAGTGGATATAGGTGAGTGGATACAGGTGAGTGGATATAGGTGAGTGGATACAGGTGAGTGGATACAGGTGAGTAGATATAGGTGAGTGGATATAGGTGAGTGGATATAGGTGCGTGGATATAGGTGAGTGGATATAGGTGAGTGGATATAGGTGAGTGGATATAGGTGAGTGGATATAGGTGAGTGGATATAGGTGAGTGGATATAGGTGAGTGGATATAGGTGAGTGGATATAGGTGAGTGGATATAGGTGAGTGGATATAGGTGAGTGGATATAGGTGAGTGGATATAGGTGAGTGGATACAGGTGAGTGGATACAGGTGAGTGGATATGGGAGAAATTAAATACAGTCATGGGTTACTTAGGTTAATATATATATTATGCACTCAATACCCATCCTGTGGGAGGTAGTCAAAAGATTACAGAGGTACATAATGGGTCCAGGGACTGGAGCCCAAAGTTATGATAACTGAACAAGTTACAAAGATAATGAACTATCTACATGTTTATATCTGGTCACAGTCATAAATAAATTACAAAGGCACTGAATTATTCACATGTGTGGGTTTGACATCTGGTTCCTCACACTGTTGCTTGTCAGGTCTGTCACTTTTACATTTATTAAATAAACTTTAGTGATTTGTGAAAGATAAAGCCAAAATGGTTTTGGTATTTTGGGTATTTTAGATAATCTAACTCCGGAACATCACAGTTTTTTTGCTATGTTTGTTGCTCTGATACCACCATCACCATCACTACCACCATCACCATCACTACCAACATCATCATCAGTATCACCTCCATCACTACTATCACATTGATCCACTATATTTCACTTCTGCCACCTCCACCACTCCTAACATGACCCATCGTCCCTGCTCAATGCCTCCCTCGTTTACAGAGGTGGCACAAGCGGTGCTACAGCTGCCGACTGTGCTACCGCCCCCTGGACTCCATGGTGCTATGCGACGCTCCTGACGGTGACATCTACTGTAAACTCTGCTACGCCAAGAAGTACGGTCCCAAGGGCTACGGCTTCGCTGCTGGCGCTGGCGGCGTCCTTGTGCCAGAAAACATCTCGTAAGTCTGTGTGTGAGAGATAAAATTCAAGATATGTGAAAAGGATTATTATTTGTGTTTGGTGTGTCTGTATCTCTATGTGTGAGCAGGAATACAGGACACGTTATCAATGTTCTGCATAACTACGGGCTTTCCCCAAGCTCAATTATCACACATCTCTGTACAAACATTGTGTCGTGGTGAAATTGTTATTGTTATTGTTAGAGAATATTAACTCAGTCATTTCCACGGGCCTCAGAGGAGAGGACGACCTGGCAACACAGTCGACTGGAGATAACCAGCTGGTGACCAGTGCTGCCTTTACCGTCCTCGATGTCACCAAGATTGCTGCCAAGGAAGGCCAGGCACGGTGCCCACGCTGCGCAGGAGCTGTCTTCCAGGCGGAGTCCATGCCATGCAGAGGCAAGGTGTGTCTAGCAACCTGTTTTTTTCAACCTGCGTCTCTCTAACCTGTTCCCTTGCTTGCCGCCCACCTGTTTCCCTAAACCTCTCTCCCACCTATTCCTCGACCTGTCTCTCTCTAGGTGTACTGGTGTCTCTCGAGATGCCACTTGAGAGACACTTTGGAGATAAAAGGTATAAAATACCGACATGATGGAAAAATAAACACAAATGCAGTATAATGTGATCCTTTATTGACAACGTTTCGCCCACACAGTGGGCTTTATCAAGTCACAAACAGATCTACCTGGGTGAAGAGTTCATGAGTATATAGGGTAGATAGTCAGGTGGAGAATGCTGGGTAGGTTGGATTTGAGGTTGATCTGTTTGTGAATTGAAAGACATTAGTTCGAATTTCTGTGTCTCACTGTTTACAAATATTCTCTGTGTCTTCGTCAGGAATGGCACAAGAGCTGCTACAACTGTTGTGAGTGCCACCGCCCTCTGGACTCCATGTTGTCTTGTGACGCCCCTGATGGTGAGATCTACTGTAAGTTGTGTTATGCCAAGCGTCACGGACCTAAGGGTTACGGTTATGGTCACTATCCTGCTCTTGTCTCCATCGGTACTGAAGACGGAGCACCCATGCCGTGAGTATTTCTCTGTGTGGGGTGGTGTTGGAGGTATGGGGTAGTGCTGGAAGTGTGGGGTGGTGCTGGAAGTGTGGAGTGGTGCTGGAGGTTTTGGGAGGTGTGGGGTGGTGTTGGAGATTCTGGGTGGTGCTGGAGGTGTGGGGTGGTGCTGGAGGTGTGGGATGGTGCTGGAGGTGTGGGGGTGGTGCTGGAGGTATGAGGTGGTACTGAAAGTGTGGGGTGGTGCTAGTGGTGTGGGTTATTGTTGACAGTGGTTCCTAGCTGGTCCTGGTTATGCTAGGAGTCATGATCCAGTATTTTTAACATTCATACCTACCAACAAACACAATTTCTCGTGAATTCCATCATCTCTGTGTATGTGTATGGGATAGTCCATCTAGAGATAATTCCCAGCTCTGTTGGAAGGAAACCATTCCGTAGCCGAAATTCTTGAGGATATATTGAAGTCTCCCAGCTCAGACTGGAAGACCTCAAGATATCATCCATCCTGTGTTATGGACTGTGAGAGAGAAACATAGCTAGCTTTTGTTCCCACGCTTATACAGCAGATTAGCTTCCAGGTTACTGTAGGGCCCCACTTGTACAGCAGGTTAGGTTCCAGTCTTCTTATACAATAAGGCAGCAGCACACTGGAAATGCATCCTATTTTCTGTAATGAAGGTCAGATGAGTCACAGTACCGTGGCTGGAGCTATTTACTAAGAGACAGTTGAGCAACATTTGGGAGTCTTTACTGAGGAAACATTTCGCCAGCCAGTGGCTTCTTCAGTCCAATGTAGAGAAAGGTGGAAGATGAGAAGGATGAGTTTGAGGTAATCAGTCCCTCAGCCTGGAGTCGATGTGTTCACTCTATCAAGGTTTTTCAAAACCATTTACGTCAAATATTCACCAATAACCCACAACCTTAGGCGTTGTTTTGTTCCATTCTGAAACACTGTCGGTCCCTGACTTTAGGGATTTGTCCAGCTCCCTGCCTTCAAGAGGAAGGTGGACAGATACCTAAAGTAAGTGCCGGACCAGCCAAGCTGTGGTTCGTACGTTGGACTACGTGCAATCAGCAGTAACAGCCTGGGGCGGGGGCGTTGACCCCCGAAACATCCCTCCAGGTAGACTCCAGCTAGACTACCGTATACTTAACAGTCCAGAATTGGTCGAAACGTGTCCTAACTTTCCCTCTTGCAGCTGTGAGTTTTCCCGAATCTGTTAAATACAAAGATGTCTTTTCTTCCTCCCTGCAGCACTGACATCCGACAGTTTGGGTTCGGTGCCAGACCTACTAAAACCTGGGCCCCACACGCTGGTCCCCAGCGGCCTGCAGCAGCCCCAGGCAGCGCCCCATGGAGAACAGGAGGTGCCGCTAACCCCCAGGTACAACTAATTATTCCCCCACCTCAGCCGGTGCCCATAGGCTCAGCTGTGCCCATACCTCGTGGGTTTGACTCGGTGAGACTAACGCTTTCTTAACTGTCTAGAATCTAAATCATCTCGTAGTATAACTGCTATAATCAGACTTGTGTTCATACTTAACTCTAGTATCTAGATCATCTCGGAGTATAACTGCAATGATCAGACTTGTGTCTATACTTCTCTAAGTACTGATTATACTGACGTCTTAAAGTAATTGCCACTAATAATGACAGAAGTCCATACTAAGTATATATATCTTTGATTAATTACTATAACTGCTCTTTCTTAATACTAGATGTAATTCTTTACATTAAAACGCTCTGTGGCACTAGTGCATTCATTGTTGACACTAACAACTGCTCTGTTGCAATGATGCAATTGAACCTGCAACACTGTATGCACTTCCAAACACACGAGAATACGTAAACAGGCTTCCAAACACACTACAATACATACACAGGCTTCCAAACACACTACATTACATACACAGGCTTCCAAACACACTACATTACATACACAGGCTTCCAAACACACTACATTACATACACAGGCTTCCAAACACACTACATTACATACACAGGCTTCCAAACACACTACATTACATACACAGGCTTCCAAACACACTACAATACATACACAGGCTTCCAAACACACTACATTACATACACAGGCTTCCAAACACACTACATTACATACACAGGCTTCCAAACACACCACAGTACATACACAGGCTTCCAAACACACCACAATACATACACAGGCTTCCAAACACACCACAATACATACACAGGCTTCCAAACACACCAGAATACATACACAGGCTTCCAAACACACCACAATACATACCCGGCTTCCAAACACACCACAATACATACACAGGCTTCCAAACACACCACAATACATACACAGGCTTCCAAACACACCACAATACATACACAGGCTTCCAAACACACCACAATACATACACAGGCTTCCAAACACACCAGAATACATACACAGGCTTCCAAACACACCAGAATACATACACAGGCTTCCAAACACACCACAATACATACACAGGCTTCCAAACACACCACAATACATACACAGGCTTTCAAACACACCACAATACATACACAGGCTTCCAAACACACCACAATACATACACAGGCTTCCAAACACACCACAATACATACACAGGCTTTCAAACACACCACAATACATACACAGGCTTCCAAACACACCACAATACATACCCGGCTTCCAAACACACCACAATACATACACAGGCTTTCAAACACACCACAATAAATACACAGGCTTCCAAACACACCACAATACATACACAGGCTTCCAAACACACCACAATACATACACAGGCTTCCAAACACACCACAATACATACACAGGCTTCCAAACACACCACAATACATACACAGGCTTCCAAACACACCACAATACATAAACAGGCTTCCAAACACACCACAATACATACACAGGCTTCCAAACACCACCACAATACATACACAGGCTTCCAAACACACCACAATACATACACAGGCTTCCAAACACACCACAATACATAAACAGGCTTCCAAACACACCACAATACATAAACAGGCTTCCAAACACACCACAATACATACACAGGCTTCCAAACACAAGAAAACATTCACATAACTACTTACATCAGTAATCATAGATTTCAACACTATAAAGAGGAATTAGAGGGACATTCAGTATTACTAAACATTCATCTTGCGATAGAAAATTCAAGAAAATCCCAGGTCACAGACGTCACCATCACAGACGTCACCACCACAGACGTCACCGCCACAGACGTCACCACCACAGACGTCACCACCACAGACGTCACCACCACAGACGTCACCGCCGCAGACGTCACCGCCACAGATGACATCAAATGCCCTGTGATATTAATTCTTGTAGCTCTCCCACTTGAACTGGAGGTCCAGGGAATGTACCTCAATATTGCAGAAACACATAATGGGTCCAGGGACTGTACCTCAACATTACAGAGGTACATAATGATCCAGGTACTGGGCCACAAAGTTTTGATAGCTGAACAATTTACAGCGGTAATGAGCTATTTACATATTTATATCTAGTTACAATCGGAATGAGTTATTTATGCAGACATAAATTAAGTCACATACACAAATATACAAAAAAATTACCATATATTTTAGCAAGGCATGTTTGAAAAAAAAAGTAAACACAAGAATATTCAATTCTTTTGCTTGGGACTGCATGGTACAAGGTTAGTTTTTATTTACATAATAACTTGCAGATGCAGGAGTCAAGCATCATCACAATGCATCGAGATAGCTGGATCTAACACCCTAACTAGCTGTAGTAAACTGACCTGAATATTCACACTAACACTCCCCAGAGGAGCACAGCACCACCTCTACCCCAGAATCCGCCTACTGGGGACATCCCCTGGGAGTACATCTCTCAGCAAGCAACACGACACATGAGAGAGACGTCTCTTCCTTCCCTGAGAATACATCTCTCATCCACCACAACACGTTACTTTCATCTCTCCCCATCTCCTGAGAGACTGACGCTTATACTGGGTTCTCACGACCAGTCGCAGGGTCCCTGGGGTGTCAGGCAGTTACAAAAGGAGGGTAGTAGCCAGGAGGTGCAGCAGGTGACCGTACAGAGCTCTTCTCAGGTGACGGTGCAGACGAGCGGCACCCAGGTGGTCGGCGAGCAAGGTGTGAAGCAGGTGAGTGTGGTGGAGCAAGAGAAGAAGTCGGGTGAGCAGCAGGTGAGGATCGTCCAGCAGGTGAGGGTCGTCCAGCAGGCTCCTACTGAGACGGTGGTTGATCAGGCGTCAGCCCAGCAGGTGTCGCAAACTATCGAACAGCAGGCGTCGCAAGTTAGCGAACAGCAGGTATCACAAGCTAGCGAGCAGCAGGTGTCACAAGCTAGCGAGCAGCAGGTGTCACAAGCTAGTGAACAGCAGGTGTCACAAGCTAGCGAGCAGCAGGTGTCACAAGCTAGTGAACAGCAGGTGTCACAAGCTAGCGAACAGCAGGTGTCTGTGAGCAGCAGCGTTCAGGAGTCTGTGAGCAGCAGTGTACAACAATCTGTGAGCAGCAGTGTACAAGAGTCTGTAAGCAGCAGTGTGCAGCAATCTGTAAGCAGCAGTGTACAGCAGTCCGTGAGCAGCAGCGTACAGCAGTCCGTGAGCACCAGCAGCAGTGTACAGCAGTCTGTAATTAGCAGCAGTAGCAGCAGCGTGAGCCAGCAGCAGGTGTCAGTAGGGGGTACGAGAATCATCACAAGAAAAGTTCGCAGAATCATCAAAAAGGTACGCAAGCAAGACACGGGCAAAAGTTACCTCAGCGAGCCTAAGACACGCCAGAATCCCTCAAAGAATTCGCAAGGACACACGTACATGTCTAGCCCCAGTTGACAGTGCCACCGCCGGAAAATTCTACGAAATCGTTCGCTAAACAATGTCCTCAATAAAATTTCAATACCCGGAGCAACTTTGGCACCTCATCACGACAGAGAGAGAGTAACCAGGATCACGTACTGGGCCTGATACAGCGGTCATTTTCTTAATAACATCGTTCTCTCTCGTAATGTTTACATTACAAACTTCGACCCTCTTCCCAGGCCGTCAAATTTCTGGATTTTCCAGCTATAAAAAGATGAATAGTGTTGTATTACGTGTAGGGGCATGCCATAACGGAGTGCCTTAACCCTGTACCACAGTCAGGGTCACTGAACATGGCACAGAATCTGACAGTCACTCAAATTAGAACGAGATCTGAAAGTATTTAGAGAATATTTTTTTCTCCTCCCGCTGCTACACTTATAATAAATCTTTATTTCTCCACTTAGAGATTACGAAATTATTCAGTCAATAAACCGCACTTCCTTTCTTAACTCTATTGACGTTCCACACTTATGTACCTCCTTGAGAGAGACCATTTTTATTAACATTTCGGTAACGTTCAGGCCTACACGGCAACCTTGATACAGAACATTGGTAGGCGAAAGAATCTTAGGTACGAGGCCTGGTCAGGGACCGGGCTGTGGGGGGCACTGACCCCCAAAACACCCTCCAGGTAGACTCCAAGTAGGATAGCAGCTCTTAGCTTGTAAAACCAGTACAGGACGTGAAAATTAAACTCCTATTGAAGCCTTCAATATAGCCAAGATAACTTCGTCAGAGAGCCAAGAAAGGTGACAGAAAAGTAGCAGCGGGAGGTGTGCCAGGCTCGCCCCTTTGACAATGGCACTCTCAGTGCCATCACTAAGCAGTGGCACCAATGAATTCACACACCAGGGTGCCACTCATACTCTTCAAGGCAATAGACTACTTGATCATATGCCACGAGAATTTTTAAAGGGGTGGAGGGGTAAGCCAGTGGAAGGCCTTAGTCGGATGACCAAAAGCTCCAGCTGTGGGTCATCATATAACTAAGACCCGCGTCAGGAAACACTTGTCCTGTTTCCTGGCAAACCTTACTTAACCTACCCTAAGTCACGAAAAGAAAAAAAAGCCTCTCTGAAAAGAACCTACATTAAAAAAACGTCATTTGGACTTAAAGAGAGAGGCGGTGAACATAACGTTAAATTCATGGCAATCACAGAGACGCGAACCACCTCGCTATTAACAATATTAAGTTTTCCCCACTTAACTTTTTAAGTTCAAAGTTGTGCTAATTATCGTAAGTCAGGTCCCTCCTCCACACGACTGACTTACCAGACGCCAAGTTTAAACTTTGTAAAAACTATAAAACAAATTATGAAAAAAAATATTTTGCCCCGGGTCTCTGTAGTAAAGAAAGAGAAAGAACATAATAATAATAATAATAATAATAATAATAATAATAATAATATAATAATAATAATAATAATAATAATAATAATAATAATAATAATAATAATCTGGTAAGGCTGGAAAATCAGTTTTTTTTATTATTTCAATAGATTTTTTCAAGTATTTTTTTATTAATTGTTCTGTAAGGAGAGAGAGAGAGAGAGAGAGAGGAGAGAGAGAGAGAGAGAGAGAGAGAGAGAGAGAGAGATAATATTTGTGTTCCATCTTTTATAATATCAATAAAACAACCGTCAGTGTTTTTCTTATAAATTTTTTATTTTTCACACAATGTATATATATATATATATTTTTCCTTCATTTAACCCAGCGACCAGAAACTGTAAATAAATCGAATGTATAATTATAACATATATATATGTATATATATATATATATATATATATATATATATATATATATATATATATATATATATATATATATATATATATATATATATTATTATATATATATATATATATATTGCTTACCGTTATTTTACTGTGTGTGTGTGTGTGTATGTGTGTGTATGTGTGTATGTGTGTGTATGTGTGTGTGTGTAGTGTGTGTATGTGTGTGTGTGTGTAACCAATAACGTAACATCTAGTAACGCTATTCTTTTTACGATTTTTTACAGGGAGGCGTCCAGCAGCCTGGCGTCACGCAAGGTAGCTATCTCTCTCTCTCTCTCTCTCTCTCTCTCTCTCGTCTCTCTATCCCTACACTCTTTTTTTCTACGTTTCCTTACTCTCTCTTCCTACTATCTCCCTTTTCCCTACCTTACCTCCCTTGTCTACCTTCCCCAAAACTACCTCCCAACCTCCGTTCCCCCTAAACTACCTCCCTTCCCCCTAAACTACCCCCCTTCCCCGTAAACTACCCCTTCCACCTAGACTACCTCCCTTTCCCCTAACTACCCCCTTCCCCCTAAACTACCTCCCTTCCCCCTAAACTACCTCCCTTCCCCTAAACTACCCCCTTCCCCCTAAACTACCTCCCTTCCCCTAAACTACCTCCCTTCCCCTAAACTACCTCCCTTCCCCCTAAACTACCTCCCTTCCCCTAAACTACCTCCCTTCCCCTAAACTACCCCCTTCCCCCTAAACTACCTCCCTTCCCCCTAAACTACCTCCCTTCCCCCTAAACTACCTCCTTTCCCCCTAAACTACCCCCCTTCCCCCTAAACTACCTCCCTTCTCCCTAAACTACCCTTTCCCCCTAACTAACTAACCCCCTTCCCCTAAACTACCCCCCTTCCCCCTAAACTACCCCCTTCACCCTAAACTTCCTCCCTTCCCTCTAAACTACCCCTTCCCTCTAAACTACCTCCCTTCCCCCTAAACTACCCTTCCCCCTAAACAACCCCCTTCCCCCTAAACTACCCCTTCCCCCTAAACTACCCCCTTCCCCCTAAACTTCCCCCTTCCCCCTAAACTACCCCCTTCCCCCTAAACTACCCCCTTCCCCCTAAACTTCCCCCTTCCCCCTAAACTACCCCTTCCCCCTTCCCCTAAACTACCCCCTTCCCCTAAACTACCCCCTTCCCCCTAAACTACCCCCTTCCCCCTAAACTACCCCCTTCCCTCTAAACTACCCCCTTCCCCCTAAACTACCCCCTTCCCCCTAAACTACCCCCTTCCCCCTAAGCTACCCCCTTCCCCCTAAACTACCCCCTTCCCCCTAAACTACCCCCACACATTTTAACTATTTTTCCAAAATCTCGTTCATTTTCCACGATCAAAATTTCAATAAGTCACCTCACTGCCTTTTTTAAAAATAACAGTTAATAGAATATATTAGAGGTTTGTTATTACGTTATTCTGGTAGAGTTACATTGGCTGCTACAGTAGTTTAGTAATTAAGGGGAATCATCATGACGAGTTGAAGAGTAAGACTATTATGCATGTTGAGGGAACGTTTCTGCAGCTAGTGGCTTCTTCAGTCCAGTACAGAGGACAGTGGAAGGTGAGGAGTTTGGGGGGATCAGTCCCTCAGACTGGAGTCGATGTGTTCAGTCCATCAAGACTGACTCCAGACTGGGGGACTGATCACCCCAAACTCCTCCTCCTCATCTTCCACCGTTCTTCTCTGTACTAGACTGAAGAAGCATATATATATATATATAATATATATATATATATATATATATATATATATATATAATATATATATATATATATATATATATATATATATATGGTTTGTGTGTTACAGTAGTGATTATACTGGAATAATTCACTACCTGTCATTAATGGCTTTGTTCAGAGTATTTTGTGTGGAGATTTAAACGTTGTGAATTATGTGTCTTGTGAAGTGTATGTGTGTGTATGTGTATTGTGTGTAGTGTGTACATTGTGTGTGTACCGTCTGTAGTGTACATATGTGTGCACCTACAGTTTTCCGTATTTGTTCATAGCTGTTTCATCTCTCTCTCTCTCTCTCTCTCTCTCTCTCTCTCTCTCTCAAGCTTGTGTCATCAGCTCATAACATTTCTCCGCTATAATAGACTTACCTGTACCTTTGTGCTCTGGCTTTTATTAATCTGCTTCTTATAATAATCTTTATCACATTTACTTTCATTTACCTTTATCCAGTACCTGTTCAGTATTCTTTATTTCTCAAGTTTTCTTCCCGTAATAAATAATAATAACCAATTGTCTTTATTTTGGTTTTATTTTCATTATTTTCAGTTTTATTTGTTTTTCTGTAACATCTTTTGCTTATTCACAGAGACACTAATATATATATATATATATATATATATATATATATATATATATATATATATATATATATATATATATATATATATATATATATATATATATATATATATATGTCTCTGGAAAAGTGTTTATTTATTTTCATTTCTGTTGTTAAATTAACTAATGCATGTTTCTTTATTGTTTTTACCTCTCCAGGACCTGAAACCCAGTTTTTCCCTGACCAGACCTTTACTGACCTGCTCCAGTCTGACCTGGGCCAGTTTGAGCTGTTCCAGGCTGATCTGGGCCAGTCTGACCTGGGACAGTCTGACCTGGGACAGTCTGACCTGGGACAGTCTGACCTGAGCCTGTCTGACCCCCCCTATGCTGGTATTCCTCCCGGTGACTTGCCCCGCAATGACCTGACGTATGTTGACGTGCCTTCAAGTGACCTCGTCTCGTCCGACTTGCTCCACTCTGACCTACCCATCACCGACCGACTGCCCTTTGCTGACCCTTTACTGACGCAGGTCAACCTGGCTGCTGACACTGCTGATGCTGATGCCACCCCAGCTAACATTCCTGCGGCAGCAGACACGGCAGCTTTCCAGTCTGCCGTGTCCATGCAACAGTCTAACATGTCTTCCGAACACCTTGCCGTGTCCTCACAGCAACAGTCTGCCGTGTCCCTGCAACAGTCTTCCGTGTCCGTTGTAACGCAGCAGGTGCAAATATCTTCTACCTATTCTTCTTCCGTGTCCGAATCTATGATGCAGACCCAATTTTCTAACCCACAAACCCTATCGGGGTCCCAGACCCAGGGAGACCATGAGACCCCCTGTGGCCCTGGTGAGACCCTGACCCACTCGCAAGATGAGGGTCTTCCTGCAGGTGAAGCTGCAATTATTCCCCCAGGTCCTGACGAGGAAGAGGAGGAGGAAGAAGAGGAAGAGGAGGAGGAGGAGGAGGAGGAAGAGGAGGAGGAGGAAGCGTAGACAGTTCTCCAGGTCCGCCATGCTGTTGATGATGACGACCGCGATGGTCATCAACCATTTGAGGGACTACAGCAGCCTCCTCATTGACGCCCATCAACCAGCTGCCTCAGCCACGCCCATCATCCAGCTGGAATACTACACCAGCTGCTTCAGCAACCACCAAAAAGAAAAAAAAGCTTTCCTTTTTCTCACCCGCTGCGTGAGGCACTACTTCGATGTCCTCAAATTGGCTTTCTCTTAGCTGGTGTATTTCGATGTTTAAAATAATAAATTGGTGTTGACAAATTTATGTACCTCCTACAACATTAGTCATTCTGTGCACTAGTGTCCGATTGTGTGTCTAAACGTCACAATAAACTAGTAGTAATTCCAATTGGCCGCTTGCAAAGCGTTAGCCTATTTCGTGGTTGCTAGCATATCAGCTTTTTTCCGCATATGATTGGTGTCCAGTTGTTATTCGGCTACTAAATGGGGCCAGAAAACAGTAGAGCGATCATCTTGTTGCATGTAGGTTAGAAGGAAATAAATAATGCACTGAATTCATTGACAGACTGACAGTCAACGAAGGTCTTCCCTGAAGATAATGTTAAGATCAGTTCCCCACCGCTGAGGATGGATTCTCCTTGTTATTCCGAAACGATTTCTTTTTCTTCGAGTCGTGTAAGAGTTAGACTATCACGCTTGTATCCCTCGACAAGAGCGCTCCCTGATCTACTATTGAGAGGGATAAGCTGTCGAACGAACGAACGATGAGGCGGAGACGGTGGGCAGAGAGCGAGAGATCCCAGTGCTGGAACACTGCTACCCTGTGATCCTCGTCTCCACCTACCCACCTCCAGCTTGCTTAGCGCTACCCTGCCTACCAATACCACTCTTAATACGCTTCATGTAACTGTGCTAGTTATAGAGACGTTGTAGTCAAGAATATTTGTTTAGTTTCACGTTAAATCAATGAGCAGGGACGATGACACAGGTTAGGAGATACGACGTGCGATCACTTGGGAAATTCAAGATCAAAGTCGTGTTCGGATAATTTAGTTTTAAATTTCCAGATGCATGTTAATGGAGGTTCTAACCTCTGAGAATTATATTCAGCTACTGCTGAAGCACAGCTGATGCAATGTAGTGGTAGCAATCATCAGGTTTCCTGAAACTGCAATGACAGACTGACAATAAGTTCGAAAAATTCCTGGAATAGCTGGAAATAACTTCAAGCACGATCAAGCTCAATAACTCTCGGGTTATGAGCACAGATATTGATGCAATAAATCTTGACTAAGCTTAAAATAGCGATATGCGAGCCATAACCTGCTTTTCGAGGCGTAACTTAAGGAGTTCGTCTCTCCGACAGGCAAAATGCTAGTTCCTTTTTTATAGTAATATAACTATATTGTATAGTCTATTATTATGATTATTGTTATTGTGAGAGAGAGCAGAGAGCTAGTTGAATCTAACTCAGCATAATGAAGTGTAGAAGCTCTCCTGGTTTGTGTCACAAAGAGAGAAAAACTCTATTGTCCTGGGTCGCTTCTTGCCAGTGAGAGGATTGACAAGCAGCGCCCCTGGGTGCAGTTTATATATGATAGAGGCGAAGTTAATATTAACCTTCCCTCTGTTTCTACCTTTAATTGTTTAACGAATGAAAAGCGAGAAGTACACAGTGAGTGTCTTCGCTAATGCAAACACATAAACGAGTAGAATTTAACTAACAGGTCCAAAGATGCGATATGTGTATCATTGACCCTGGGTGTATAGGGTTAAGAGGAAGGTTCTCCGTGCCTAGCCAGGCGAGGGGACAAGCGTTACAGCAGGGCACGAGAACTTTCTCAATCGTGTTCAATCCTACTATTTTAAGAACTTCGTTTTTATTTTAGCCTCGTACAAGAACCCCGATGCAGCTTCTCTTGAATTTATTTTCCTTGTATGGTTCAGTCTGTATGGGTGTTGTACGAGGCGTTAAAAACTGTGTGGTCCTCTCCTCCCCCGGCTAGTTAGTAAGGCATTACTCCTGACTAAATGCTTCTCAGTCACCCTCAGTAGCCGATCTTTATCCTTACTGACTTAAAATACTCGACTGACATTGTTGGAGAGGTAACAGAAGCCTGATATACCATCAACCAACACAAAGACCCCAATAGAAGCAAGTCACCTTGGGGTAATCCCGGGTAATTTACACATATGTAACTACGTATGATCATTGTACTTATGTGTACCTGTACCTAAATAGTCTTACTAACCACCGTAGTGTTGGGAGTTAGTGTCACAGCGGCTAAGACGCCTGTAACACCACTAAACACGCCACTTCTGGAGGTCAGGACACCACAGTTCCAACATTTATGTTATCATCGTCATTATTACCATAGTTTTTACAAAGGTCAACTGGTCACCCGGATTTTCAATTTGCCGAGTCCTAGTCAATTATAATGTGGTGTTTATATTAGCCTAGTGTTCTAATTTTTTTTTCTGGAGTAGATGGACATAAAAAAAATGATCGCAAATATGTATCTCACTCTTCACTTGTTTCAATTAAATATTAAATGTTTTCTCAGTTTCTTTGCTTTATTTCCACCTTCTGAATTAATAAAACTGTGCAAGAGTTTCTCTGTTGAATTAAGCTATGTTTCGCCTGTTCAGCAGGCCTCTGCTGGCGAAATGCAGAAACAGAAGAGGTTGTGTTGATGTTTACCTGGAGTTTACCTGGAGAGAGTTCTGGGGGTCAACGCCCCCGCGGCCCGGTCTGTGACCAGGCCTCATGTGAGGTGATCAGTCCCTCAGCTTGGCAGATATTGGCTTGATAAAGTCCACATTGTGGGCGAAACGTCTCTTCAATAAAGATACGCAGGTGATGCACTCTTATCTTACTCATCAAGTCGATGTGCTAAAGAAGGTGTATAGCAAGCTTGTAAAATCGTTTCACCCAAGAGTTTTATCTGGACAAAGCTCTACATAGATCGAAACGTCGACACAAAGCTTCCCATACACCTACTTCTGGAGAAAGCTATATGCAGGCTGCGCTCTCCAGGAAATAACTACGAGGCTGCTTAAGCTAAATTGGTATCAATTTATAATTGTTTCCCCCTGACATTAGTAAATTAATGTAGGTAAGAAAATAAAGACTAGTAATGTATTTTTGATGAAAAATTACAATACCGTGACTGCAACAGTTCACAACTAACCCACAATATTAGTTGGGCTTCGAAATGAGCTGAGGTTTCTCAGGTCCTCCGTCAGGTGGTTCCTCAGGTCCTCCTTCAGGTGGTTCCTCAGGTCCTTCAGGTGGTTCCTCAGGTCCTTCAGTTGGTTCCTCACGTCCTCCAGGTGGTTCCTCACGTCCTCCAGGTGGTTCCTAAGGTCCTCCTTCAGGTGGTTCCTCAGGTCCTTCAGGTGGTTCCTCATGTCCTCCTTCAGGTGGTTCCTCAGGTCCTCCTTCAGGTGGTTCCTCAGGTCCTTCAGGTGGTTCTTCAGGTCTTTCAGGTGCTTCCTCGGATTTTTCAGGTGCTTCCTCAGGTCTTTCAGGTGCTTCCTCATGTCTTTCAGGTGGTTCATGAGGTACACATCTGGAAAAGCACTGGCCACACTAGGTACCATTCATTGCTGCCTGTCATTATCACGTACTTCTTTATTTCTACACATACATGATATAACTTACACAGATCATAGCTGACATCAATGACATTATATAGAAATCACCCTGATTGTGCAAAGCATTTCGGGCAACTTAGGTTAATTTTGTCCCCAGGACTCCTGTCAGTCTTCAAGAGAGAGCTGGACAGGCACCTGTCAGTACCTGACCAGCCGGACTGTGGTTCGTACGTTGGTTTGCGAGTGTCCGCAGGTAACCGGTCCTGATCCACAGCGAGGCCTGGTCATGGACCGGGGCCGCGGGGGCGTTGACCCCCGGAATACCCGCCTGTTAGGATGCGACCAACATCAGTCGGCTAACACCCAGGTACCTACTTACTGTTACGTGAACAGGAACAGCAGGTTTAAGGTGACTAACACCTAGGTACCTACTTACTGCTAGGTAAACAGGGACAGTAAGTGCAAGGTGACTAACACCCAGGTACCTACTTACTGACAGATGCCTTGAAATTTCTGAAATAGGTAAAAGTTTACCTTTGTCCCTCGAGGGCAGTTTTACTTTTTAGGATAAGGGACCATTAAGTAGGTTCTCGGTGGTCCTCCACTGAGTCTTCAGGTTTCTAGTTTATAAAGAACAAAGGAACACAATACTGTGACTGGAATAATAAACAAATAACCTGCACATAGAAGATAGACATCGTCCCTGTCCCTATCTACTATATACAGGGTGTTTCAAAGAGGACCTAATTTCAATACATACTGCTTTGAAATTGGGTGCATCATTTTGAAACACTGTATACTAGCTCCCGCATCTTCATGTGTGAGTGTGACTTGTCAATGCTCCATGTCGGACGAAAACTCGACTTTCACTTATATGCGGGTTATATGTGTGTTTTTCTAGTCGATCTCTGAGTGGGACTTACACCCTTCCTTAAAGTGATTCTCGTTTTTAACACGATTGCAAACACACCACAGAACGGCTGGGAGTCGAACCCAGGGCAGGCAAGTCCTGAAACTCTCATACAATATTGACATAGTTGGGTCACCATGATCTAATTTAAGAAACAAATAGAATTACTCAGAAGTCTTTGTTTCTTAATTTTAAAGAAAATACTGATTGGTAGACTTCAGGATGTGCATGTTTGTAGAGGGGCAACATATATATCAGGTCAATTTTAGTTGTAGCTACAATAAGAGTAAAAGGTAGATGGGATACAAGGAGAATGGCATCAGCAACTAAGAGAGAAGTGAAATTTTATAAAATGAAGGAGGAGGCAGTTAGGGTAAGATATAAACAAATATTGGAGGATAGATGGGTTAGTGAGAGTATAGGCAATGAGGTTGAAGATGTATGGGATAGGTTTAAGAATGTAGTATTAGAGTGTTCAGCAGAAGTTTTTAGTTACAGGAAAGTGGGTGCGGGAGGGAAGAAGAGCGATTGGTGGAATGATGAGGTAGAGAGTAGTAAGAGAGGAAAAGCTAGCATATGAGAGGTTTTTACAAAGTAGAAGTGAGGCAAGGAGGGAGGAGTATATGGAGAGAAAAAGAGGTTAAGAGAATGGTGAAGGAATGTAAAAGGAGAGTAAATGAGAGAGTGAGTGAGATATTATCAACAAATTTTGCTGATAAGAAAAAGTTTGTAGTGAGATTAATAAGTTAAGAAACCCTAGGGAACGAATGGATTTGACAGTTTAAAATAGGAGAGGAGAGTTATTAGATGAAGAGTTAGAAGTATCAAGAAGATGGAGGGAATTTTTTGAGGAACTGTTAAATGTTGATGAAGATAGGGAATCTGTGATTTCATGCATGGGGCAGGGAGGTAAAACGTTTTGAAAAAGTGAGAAAGAACCAGTTGTGAGTGTGAGGGGAGGTCCGTGGGGCAGTGGATAGAATAAAAGGGGAGTAAAGCAGCTGGGATTGATGGAATAAAGACAAAAATGTTAAAAGCAGGTGAGGATATAGTTTTGGAATATTTGGTGCTTTTATTTAATAAATGTGTGGAAGAGGGGAAGGTACCTAGGGATTGGTAGAGGGCATACATAGTTCCTGTGTATAGAGGCAAAGGGGACAAAAGAGTGTAAAAAATATAGGTGAATAAGCCTGTTGAGTATACCTGGTAAAGTGAATGTGTAAGGTTAGGTAAGGTTAAGTTAGGTTAGGTTAGGCTAGGCTAGGCTAGGTTAGGTTAGGTAAGGTTATTAAGTTAGGTAAGGTTAAGTTAGGTCAGGCAAGGTTAGGTTAGGTTAAGTAAGGTTAGGTCAGGTTAGGCTAGGTAATGTAAGGTTAGGTCAGGTAGGATAACATTAGGTTAGGTAAGGTCAGGGTAGGTTAGGTTAAGTAAGGTTAGGTCAGGTTAGGTTAGGTTAAGTCAGGTAAGGTTAGGTTAGGTAAGGTTAGGTTAGGTTAGGCTAGATAAGGTAAAGTTAGGTCAGGTAAGGTTTGTTAGGAAAGAGGATAAGTGTTTCCTGACGCGGGTCTTAGTTATATAATGACCCACAGCTGGAGCTTATGATCACCTGCCCGAGGCCTTCTACTAACTTACCCTTCCACCCCTTTAAAATTATGAAAATAAACATAGATGTGTCTAGATAAGAGATAACGGGCCATTTGTATGCTACTGACGTCACTCCTTTGTATAACATGTGGCTGCAAATGTAGCTCTTCCTAAGCCATATTTGCATAATAAAACACATTTTATTGATAATTTGTTGGCTTTTGTGTGCAGAAATGTGCATAATACATTACAATACATCGTAAATAACATCTGGAAATTCATTTTCGGTAGAAGATACAAGCATAAAACATTCACAAAGTACGCAGTAGTTGGTAAAATCCTAATGGTTGCCAATTTGACGTATAAAGTTAAATAGTTGACACATTTATAGAAGTTGCTGATCATAAAATAATTTTATTGGACCAGAGTTTAAGGATGTTTACAGTTATAAAGTTTAGGCAGGTTGTGGCTGGTGGGGTGCGTCCACAACACTCGTCACTGGTTATAATTGACTTTTCATGAGTGTGGCCACGCATTTACACCACCAATTAGCACTTCAAGTTGTGGCAGGGAGTGACCGCAGCCGCAGCTGATGTGACCTCCCCCCCGGGTGCCGCAGCCTCCAGGGTAGCCGGGAAATAAGCCACATTGCCGCAGGTAGGCCTGGTGCCTCGCTATTTCCGCTTCCTTCTCCCTAGGAAAGTTTATTTCCTGGACCTGAAAGTTAGTAAGTATATTTAGGCACATGTACACATAAGTACAGTTATATTAGGTAGTGTAAATTACCTACGGTAACCCAAAGAGGTTAAAAGAGACTTATTTCCATTGGGGTTCTTGTATTTCCATTGAGGTCCATGTATTTCCATTGAGGTCCTTGTATTTCCAATGAGGGTCCTTGTATTTCCATTGAGGTCCTTGTATTTCCAATGAGGGTCCTTGTATTTCCATTGAGGTCCTTGTATTTCCATTGAGGTCCTTGTATTTCCAATGAGGGTCCTTGTATTTCCATTGAGGTCCTTGTATTTCCATTGAGGTCCTTGTATTTCCATTGAGGTCCTTGTATTTCCATTGAGGGTCCTTGTATTTCCATTGAGGTCCTTGTATTTCCATTGAGTTCCTTGTATTTCCATTGAGGTCCTTGTATTTCCATTGAGGTCCTTGTATTTCCATTGAGGTCCTTGTATTTCCATTGAGGTCCTTGTATTTCCATTGAGGTCCTTGTATTTCCATTGAGGGTCCTTGTATTTCCATTGAGGTCCTTGTATTTCCATTGAGTTCCTTGTATTTACATTGAGGTCCTTGTATTTCCAATGAGGGTCCTTGTATTTCCATTGAGGTCCTTGTATTTCCATTGAGGTCCTTGTATTTCCATTGAGGTCCTTGTATTTCCATTGAGGGTCCTTGTATTTCCATTGAGGTCCTTGTATTTCCATTGAGGTCCTTGTATTTCCATTGAGTTCCTTGTATTTCCATTGAGGTCCTTGTATTTCCATTGAGGGTCCTTGTATTTCCACTGAGGTCCTTGTATTTCCATTGAGGTCCTTGTATTTCCATTGAGGTCCTTGTATTTCCAATGAGGGTCCTTGTATTTCCAATGAGGGTCCTTGTATTTCCATTGAGGGTCCTTGTATTTCCATTGAGGGTCCTTGTATTTCCATTGAGGTCCTTGTATTTCCATTGAGTTCCTTGTATTTCCATTGAGGTCCTTGTATTTCCATTGAGGGTCCTTGTATTTCCATTGAGGTCCTTGTATTTCCATTGAGGTCCTTGTATTTCCATTGAGGTCCTTGTATTTCCATTGAGGGTCCTTGTATTTCCATTGAGAGTCCTTGTATTTCCATTGAGGTCCTTGTATTTCCATTGAGGGTCCTTGTATTTCCATTGAGGGTCCTTGTATTTCCATTGAGGTCCTTGTATTTCCATTGAGGTCCTTGTATTTCCATTGAGGTCCTTGTATTTCCATTGAGGTCTTTGTATTTCCATTGAGGGTCCTTGTATTTCCATTGGGGTCCTTGTATTTTCATTGAGGTCCTTGTATTTCCATTGAGGGTCCTTGTATTTCCATTGAGGTCCTTGTATTTCCAATGAGGGTCCTTGTATTTCCATTGAGGTCCTTGTATTTCCATTGGGGGTCCTTATATTTCCATCAGTCTTGAGAAAAGTACAGAACGTGCTCAGACCAGTAGCTTTTATACCGCAGTCAGGTGAGCGGTTGTAGTAGTTGTTTGATATAAGAAATAAAAATATTAGTTTGGCAAAAGAATGTAGACAATTGGCACAGACTGCCAAGTAGTGTCACTGTAGCTTTTAGACTAGGATACACAGATACACGAATGGGAATGATAAATTAGACACATGTGCAACACATAATGCCTAGGCATAATAGAGGCTCTCTTTGCATTGCAACCCACTATTGTAAATATAAAATCTCATTGTACTGTTTGCAAAGACTTAAAATAAATAAATAAATAAAACGTTTTGCTACACTGTGGCTTTATCAGTCCAATACAAAGAAAAATGGTGAAGGTCAGAAGGAGTTTGAGGTAATCAGTCCCTCAGCCTGGATTACCTCAACCTCTTTCTGATCTTCACTATTCTTTGTATAGGACTGATGAAGTCACTGTGTGGAGAAGCGTTTTCTCAATAAAGATACCCACGTGTTGCTCATGTGTCTAATTTATCAACATATCGCTTCTCTGAACCATTTATATACATGAATAGGAATGATTGGGTGTGAGTAGGAACAATGGTAGACATGGAATTATAGGCTGGTTGCAGTGCTCCTCTTATCTTATTATGTTTTTGTCTAGGCAGTTGAAAAAAAATAACCGAAAATAAGTACCACATGAGTGAAGGTTTTTGCTATTGCTGGCTCTAGGTAGAAATTGGTGAATTTTTTTATTAAATTGGAGTTTTCTGTTTTATCTTCAAATAAATGAAGTGTGCCGGTATTTGTGTTACTTTTTCTAAACATTATGCTATACAGCACATACTTATTTATCCCTAATTGTTATGTAACACAGTAACAAAATAAACCATCTTACTGTAGCTATATATTGCTTGACAATATTGTCACTTATGATGTCCATTATAAGATGAGATACTTTATTTCTGCATGATACAATATTTGTACAGAGGTGAATGACATTTACGTGTACATGCACTATATATTGCTCTATAGCTATACAGTGGACCCCCGGTTAACGATATTTTTTCAATCCAGAAGTATGTTCAGGTGCCAGTACTGACCGAATTTGTTCCCATAAGGAATATCGTGAAGTAGATTAGTCCATTTCAGACCCCCAAACATACACGTACAAACGCACTTACATAAATACACTTACATAATTAGTAGCATTTGGAGGTGATCGTTATGCGGGGGTCCACTGTATATTGCTTGACAGCATTGTCAAGCAGTATGTCCATTATATCTGTTATCACGTGACTAATGTGCAATATTTTCTCAGGGTGAAGGCCCTCATAAGAAGCAGCATCGCTGCCACCACCATGAAGTCTCCATCCTCCAGCTCGCAGATCACCAAGGCCTGGGTGGAGTTTATGCTCACTGAGTATGAGAGTAAAAAAATGCCACGAGCCAAAGTCACAGTAGTAACCTACAGCATAAGAAATGGTATGGCACACTCTTTGCTGCTCCTTATAAAGCTGTTCTGTTTTTTGCTTAGTACGTATTAAGATTTAAAACGGAGGTTCATAAGGCGGATTCATTTGCTTTGAGAGAAAAATTATAAATGCTTGTATGTATGGTATTGGTGCATGTGTGTGTTTGGAATGTATATGCAATGAACTATAAATAGGTAATGACATACACAAAATGGAGCTGTATTTGCATACATAAAAAATAATTATTGCTTTTATAATATTTATGAATTATGTGATGAGATACATGTATATAGGTATGCTTAACTTACCACATTTAAGTACAATACTTGAAACTGTTACTCTTGAAATTTCTTTTCATTTACAGCTACAAAACCAGGAGAAAGCTTCAATGCAGAGCTTATCCTCCTTGATGTTCAAGCTGAGCTCAGTGGTGGAGAAAGACCTGAAGAAACCCAGGAGACAAAGGAGTACAATCTCGTTGTCAAATTTTTGACCGAGGATCCGGTCTCCTGTGAGCTTATAAAGCGTTGTGGTTATCATATAAAGGAACTCATGATGTATTCTGAAGTGGTAAAGGAATTGAATGATTTCCAGGCAGTCCATGCTAATGACGAATTCCGCCTGTATCTGCCTGAATACATCTATGGCAAGTGTACTGAAAAAGAATATGTACTGGTGATGGAAAATATCAAGGTATCAGGGTATGAAACTAATCCAAAGGTAAAAGGCTTGGACTTTCAACATGCCAAGTTGGCTGTCAATCACGTAGCCAGATTACATGCAGTTTCTTATGCATATGATAAGTCTCATAATTTTTTAGAGAAGTATCCTTGCTTCCAGTTTAGTAATGCAATAAGTACGTTTTTTAAACCTGTTGTATGGGCCTCGCTTGCAAATTGTATCACGTTTTTAAAAAGTAAAAAGACATACGAAGACATGGTTCATAAACTAGAGACAGGTAAAACTACACTGCCTCTTAAGTTTGCAGCAATGTGGGATGACCAGACCAGACACAAGTTTCTTTGCCTAACACACGGAGATTTCTGGAATAGTAATCTTATGTTCAGGCACGGAACTGTAACACAGGATGGAGAGAGATCTATTGAGTCACTCAAGCTGATTGACTGGCAGATTTCTCAGTGGAACAATCCAGTATTTGATCTGCACTATTTACTCAACACTTCAACTTCATGTGAAATGAGGAGGGAACATGCTGAAGAGATTCTGAGACACTATCACAAGACTTTCACTGAAGCCACAACGAAGATGGGTACTCCTGTGCCCAATTGGAATTATGAACAATTTAAAGCAGAATTTGAAAGAACATCTCTAGTAGGGTTTCTCATGGGCATGTGCCTCATTCAAGGAACACTTAGCAAGGCTGGAGAGAATATCAACCATGCAGGTTCAACGTGTCTGAATAATGCCTGCTGTCACCCTTGTAAAGTGGTTGTGGATAAGATAAAAGCTGGAATGGCAAAAGCTATTGTATCTTTTGCTTTTAAACCTTCATTATCTTACATCATGCAAGCAAGTGTTAAGAGAATCTTAAGCCCCATTGGACAAGAATTGGTAGAGGGTAGTAATGAGGTTCTCAATGGAAGACTTCTGGACCTCCTAATAGAAGCAGATGAAAAGGGTGTGCTGGATGTCCTGACTCTATAAAAGTGATGATGACGGGCTGAAGTACACGGACCACAATGGTGGCTCTTGCCTTCTGCTTGCTGTCTTTCTTATTCAGGTGATGTTTTGCCTTTTCAGAATGTTAGCATATAAAATGCATTTCTTAATATGTAGGTGAAAAGATTCCTATTTTTATATCTTTTATCAAAAAACTGTTCCCATAAGGGTGATGTTAACAGTGATACCGTTTAATACAATTTATACTTGTAGTCGCTAGAGAGGAGTGGAAATCAGGGAATTTTAAAGATTTCCCTTTTTGTAGTTTGATATAGCATTTGGGAGTACAGTATTTTAACATAAAAGAAATGTGTTTGATTCCAGTCACGTTTATGCTTATATTTCCATGACAGGTTGTATAACACCTTCATAATTCTTATACAGTTTCTTTCCATGTGCTTCCAGTAATGATTATTCTACATAAATGAGGCCTTTACACAATTTAAAGCTATATTTTGTGATATCTTAGATTGAAATGGCTTTTAAAACTCACTTCATGGCAGCTTTTTGACAAACAGTTTCATGGCAACTATGTAACTGAAACAGTTTACAAAATTAATGTTTCATGGCAACTATGTAATTGAAACAGTTTACAAAACTAATGTTTCATGGCAACTATGTAATTGAAACAGTTTACAAAACTAATGTTTCATGGCAACTATGTAATTGAAGCAGTTTACAAAACTAATATTTCATGGCAACTATGTAATTGAAATGGCTTGTAAAACATAAATTTCTTGGCAGCTATGTGGTTGAAATGGCTTACAAAATGACATTTCATGGCCATTATTTTGTGTGTTTTTATATACACCTTTATACTAGAGTTACCCACTTGTAATTAGTTAACATTATGTAATTAAGTATCTTCCTCTTGTTATATTTAACTTTATCGCCTTTAAAATATTTTCATTAGCAGATATTCGTACATGTTAATATTGAAGTTATTTGTTTAAATGTTAAGTTTACACTTACAGTATATGCTGAATATAGCTGTATTTTTTTAATTTGTTTGTTAAAAGGGCAAACTTTCATGTTCTGTAATGGAAGCTAATGTTAAGTAATGGATTTGAGGCACTGACATTTTTAAATCCAGGTGTTACTCATTTTATGCTGTAAAACATAGGGTGCTGCTACAGCTGTATTAAGCTTGGTCTGGCCATGAACACTTAATTCCTGTGTTTTATAAATCGTGCAGCTCACATACTCAAATGCATATTGCATACACAGAATTGCTGATAGAAAAAACATAGCATAATAGCAAATCTGTGTACAGCAAGGGGAAAATCTACCTGATATTTAATATTGGATTCTGAATTTGTTTCAAAAGCTTACCATTCAGATATACGTACTGTAATACAAACCACTCATGGGTTCAAACCTGTTCTGTGGTTTGTTTCAACCATGTTATTACATTTCTAATAATATGATGTGAAATTGTATCAAAAGTTGAACATTACAGTGTTTGAAATTAATAAATACATACTCAGAAGCTGATTGGCACATTGTCTCCAGGTTTAGTATATTACTGAAATTTTAATTTGCATAGGAATAATTTTACATTTTATATTAGTATTAGTATTATAATAAAAAAGAAGCATTAAACCCGCTAGGGTCATACAGCGCTGCAGGTTTGACAGTTTACAAAATGCAACACTGCCATCATGCTGGCAACTTTCTCAAATGAATATCAGTGAAATGACCAAATATGTTTCTTTTTAACTTTTTTTATGTAAAACTATCCAATAACTATTTTAGTATGCTGTGATATCTCTATTAATTTGCGTAATTTGCCAGTAAAGCACAAGACCCCAGTTTATGTAAGTGATGAGGATATGCCAATAAGCACAAAAAGTGGCACTAATGACCTGTGGTCAAACAATTGCAGTCAGGTTATGGCAAAAATTTGCATCTGAAAAAAGGCATAATACTCGTATAGTTCGTTGTCTTCTTTTCGGTGGCAGTCTGCCCTTTTATCATCTGTATTTTTTATTCTTTTTTTTATTTGTAGTTCTTGTTTATCTTTCTTACCTAAGTTATCAGTTAGTGTTCCTTAGAATATATGAAATCTTCAGTAACTAGTGTTTCATAGTTCTTATTAAGATTTTTTGCTTAGGTAGTGATCCAGTTATGTATAAGAAAACTGTGAACATTATAACTTAGTTATGTATTTTTTTAATTATATGATTCCTTTTGTTGTTTAGGATTTTGTCGGTGTTACCGAATAAAAATTGTATTTGCTGTTTAGTAATTAGTGTGCAAATTAATTTTCTTTGTTTATTTATACATTCATAAAACAATGATGTGGTCCCATGTGTGGCCTCCTCAGTATTACATGTCTCTCAAAATACAGCAAGTCCTCGACTTACAAACACATTGGGGACCTCCTGAATTATGTATAATATTCATAATACAGAAGTCTTCAACTTATGAACACATTGGGGATCTTCTGTATTGTGTATAATTATGACATAATAATGATATTATACACATTATTGATATAATAATGTTATACTCAGTACAGGAGATTCTCAGAATATTTGTAAGTTGAGGATTTACTATACAGGTATAAACACTCAAGATCATCACCCTTGGTATTGATGGTAATATGGCTTTCAGGATTTCTCAGTTTTGTTGGGCCTACCACAGGCCTATGAGGCCTGTGGTAGGCCCCTGAATAGCCTTTGTAGTACGATTTGCTTTTTACTTTTGTAATGTTAACCATAGCAGAGGGTTCATCTGTTAATAGCTTCTCTGCAGTTCAGAGATTAGGATATGTGCTTCTCCTTGGGTGTAGTGGCCCTCAGTGCTAGAATCAAGAACAAAAAAGCACAGTACCATGACTGGAACAATACACAAATAACCTGTACATAGAAGAGTTATGACAATGTTTTGGTCCGACTTGGACCATTTACAAAGTCACACTGGTGTGACTCTGTAAATGGTCCAAGTTAGGCTAAAACATCGTTGTAACTCCCCTCTCCTATGTGTGGGTTATTTGTGTATTGCTGGAATCAAGTGTTTGAGCAGCACTGAGCCAGTTTTCTGTGAACTGCTTGTTCCACCTGTACACCTAATGTTAGATAAAAGGAAACATGTGCAATTAATATGATATTTATTGTGCCAACTTTTGGCTCTCCAGGAGTTTTGTCAGCTTGACAAACCTCCTGGAGAGTGAAACGTTGCCACAATAAAATGCCTAATATATTGTTGGTAATTCTACCAGCATTATTACAGTGTTAATGGTATTTACATCAGTGTGTATTTTTGGGGGGGGGGGCCTAATGCCATTGCACTGGAGTATTACAAACTTGAAATATGAATGTCAATCCTATCTCTGTTTACTCTTCCTTGTTCACACAAGGCTATCAACTTACACAAGAATGTAAAGAATTAACACTGAACTCCAGCTTTACAATAGACAGAGAATGATATTACCCGATTATACTGCTAGCTATGGTCTGTCTGTAGGCCTATTTAAAAATTGTCACATTTTTACCTAGTGGACTGATGGGCAAGTTCTTCGTCTAACATTGCTTTGGTTCTGTCCAGACTAGATTATGAAGATCAGCTGTATTCGTCTGCTTTAACCCTTATTCTTTATAAGGCTGATGTTCATTTTCAAGTATTGCATCTGTGTCTCGGTGCCTTTCATTTTGTCCTTGTTCAAAAGCCCACATAATGTTCATTACAAAACCGTCATTATCTCATTCCCTTGCTACTTTTAGACTAACCTCAGATGTTAATAAGGCTGACACTTTCAATCGTTGTCCTTTATTATTATGCCTTTTCAATCTCTCGTCAGACTCTAGTTTATTATAATCAGAAAGAAGTGCTAAACCCACTAGGGTCATACAGCACTGTAGACTCTAGTTGAATACCTCAGTTCAACCCCCATTTTTGTTTACCCTCTTCATTTTTCATTTTTTTTTTTTTTTTTTTTTTTTTTTTTTTTTTTTTTTTTTTTTTTTTTTTTTTTTTCAAAATACATATCAGGTTTTGAGGGGTCCCAGACTTGAGTGTTTGTTCCTGTAGTGATTTTACACCATTGTGAATTTCAGTTAGCATAAGAGTATTTTTTTTAACAAATTGGCCATTTCCTACCAAGTCAGGGCATATATACAGTATGTATAATTGCATAAAGAAAAGGTTAAAGAGTATAAGAAAAGGTGATTGTTTTCAAATGTTTATTTTCTATACCAATTATCTTTTAATTTATTTTGATAACTTATATGCTATTGCATTCTCGATTATACGTTGATCTTCATAAGATTACATTCATGGGTGGAGTGCTAAACCTGTAGGGGTCATAGAGTGCCTTGAGGAATGGGAGGCAGTTAGGTTCAATCCAGGGAAGAGGAGGATATGTTAACCCCTTAGCTTAAAAGTCCTCGTGCTGGCATTGAGGTCCCTCGAGGGGATCGTCATACAAAAACACTACTGTATATTTAATATATTAAAATCTATGTTTCAACCTTTAATAATAAAGATACATACACATACAGTACAGTATTTGCATTTATACTGTATCTACATTCAAATAAAACAATTATTAAATTTAATGTGCATTTTATGGGTAAATCAGGCTTTGTGTTGCCAATATTTGCTACTCTCAATAGACCATATATAAGATGAAAAGTTAATCTTGATAGCAGGAGATCCCTCAGCTTAGAAATACACCAAGTTACACACTTTTTTTTTTTTTAATATGTTGGCCATCTCCCACTGAGGCAGGGTGACCCAAAACAAGAAAAAAAAACTTTCACCATAAAAAAAAAAATACCACAAGCGGGGTTAGAACCTGCGATCAGAGAGTCACTTTCACCATCATTCAATACTTTCACTGTCAACACTTTCACCATCATTCAGTCAAAACTTTCACCATGATTTACACATAATCACTGTCTTTACAGAGGCACTCAGATAAGACAGTTTAGATGTCACACACATTTGCATGTAAAAACTGGCCAGTTAGGAAACAATGTTTTACAAGCTTCGTACTGCAGTACGAACATGTGAAACAACCATCATTTATACTTTTGTCTATACATTTTTTTGTGTGGGTTTAAATACCTGGAACGTAGCTCATGACACCCCTGCAACACAACTCATTTATAGAAATGCAACTCACTTGCAAATTGAAACACCAACAACACAACTTTCTAAGTTGGGGAGACCTCCTGTATAGATATTTTTCAAAATAAATTTTAAAATCACATCAACCAGCTCAATATACCTTTACTGTTCCGTCATTTGACATTACGGGTAAGTATTCATATATCACTGTCAGCGGTATTACTTAATGAACCTAATACTGTACTGTGTTATCAGTATTGAATAGGTTTTTGTCATGTGTATAGAGAAGAGCATCACTTGGTAGATTTTTACAAGTAGTACATAATAATCTACTTTAACAAAAGTTCAAACTGTTTTATTGTGTACACTGTATGTATTTATTTATTTATTTTTATCTCTTTCTGTAACTAATATTTTAAGAATAAATTTTTTTTATTTTAAGTGTGTGGTATATTTTAATCTTGTTTTCATTTTTTCGGTTTTGTTTTGAAGGAATACCAGTACTCTAATATCTAGCAATAATTTTTTTTAGATCATACAGGACTCTTATGTCAATCCTGTTTAAATAAAACTCTACTGTATCTACTTATTAAAACATATGACTTTATAAATCAAAATTAGCTGTAAGTAGTGTACACTGAAAGTACCCTTATCACAGTATACATACTGTGTTACACAGGTGGTGAAACCTGTTTGCCAGGGAAGAGAAATAACCAATTGGTTAATTGTCTTGACTTTTAACAGCTGTTATTATTATTATTGTTATTATTATAATCATAAATAAGCGCTAAACCAACAAGGGTCATACAGTGCTGAACTCTTTAATAGATGTGATTTCCATTAGTTTGGGTAATAGTGTCATAACATTGTTAACAAATTCAAAATAATCTGAAATTGTGCAATAATCACGTATAATCGAGAGCATTCCTTGTAGAAGAGGTGTATTCTCAAATTACTATATATACTTGGAGTATACCTGGAGGGTATTCTGGGGGTCAGCGCCCCCACGGCCTGGTCCATAAGCAGGCCTCGCATCTCATTACTTGGATGAATTACCATAGCAGTTACTTAAGATGCTTTGCAGTACTTGCTTTTATTGAGATAACATAAAACTCTGTCTGGAACCTTATCCAGTCATGACTATTAAGAGCTACACAAGAGCAGGGGAGGAGTTACTATGAAACTAATGAAGCTTAAGCTTCAGGGCCCTTAATCCCAGAGGGGCTCCAGAACGATTTTAGTCCACACTGCTTAAAATTTTTGGGTCTACTGTATGAGAAGGGGTTGCAAAGGGTTCCCTCCATAACAATTCAAGCTTCAGGGTCCCAAAATGTAGGTCCGCCACTGCACAAGAGTAATGTGTTGTTCCAATAAAAGCTTGCTTGGCAATGTTTTGTTTTTTACTTGTTAGCAGCATGCCATTTAAATTATTGCAACTGGTGTTGCTGAACAATGAATGTGCAATAACTGGTGTTATGACCTTGTTTACGAAAGAACTACGTACAGTGAACCCTCGATCTGCTAGACCTCAGTTCAACACATTTCAGAAATAGGAGACAGATTCCACTGGGTTGATTCGGAAATAATGAATAACACCCTCTGGTTACAGAATTGTTCATTATTTCTATGATCATGACAAGACATTTTCATCTCTATCCACCACCATCCCCACTACAGGCCATCCACTTCACCATTTCCCCCCAATAGCGTATTATTTTTTTCTTCAAAGAACCAGCCGTATCTCACAGTGGCAGGGAGACCTAAAAAGAAAAACAAAAGTTTCTTTTTTTATTAAATCAAAACTAAGTCCTAAACCCCTTGCCTATTAGTCTGCTAAATCGAAGGTTTACTGTACTATAAATTATTGTGTGTGTGATGATACCCATACAATGTTGTTACATCATATAATGTATATGGTATATAATAAATGGCATTTTTACTATAAATTTACCTTTTTTGTGTGTGACATGTTTTTGTTGTATATATTTTTACCTATTTATATCTAAAGGAAGTGCTAAGCCCATAGGAGTCATACAGTGCCTGGGAGAATGGGAGACTATCAGTTTCAGTCTTGGGAAAGGACAGGCCTAATTTAAGTTGATGGCAGTTAGAGTGCAGAGCAGTTACAAATTTTAAATAAAATCAAGTGGAATGTGTTGTAGGTCAATGACAAGCAACAGTAAAGAAAAAATATAATAAGCATTTTATAATTTTCCTGAATTTATGTAAAATGTATGCAGCACATTTTTTATTGTCACAAGAGTGTTATGCCCATGTGGGCCATTTAGCACTGTTGACATTAGAGGACAGAAGTGTGAAAAGACCGAGGATGAAACTAGAAAGACATGGTTTGTGAAGTAAATTAGTTAAGGAAGGTCCCTTGTATCTTAATGCTGGTGAAGGTTTGATCCAAGGAAAGAATGGGTACAGTTCCTTAGATCAGGAGCCCTACAGTATCTAGGCATCCACTCCCCTCATGAAGGTATGTTCAATTATAACATAGCTGTTTGTAAAGAATAAGGGGTTAGTTCTTTCCATGAGTGTATTAAGTACAGGAGGGTTCCACTCTACAGTGCTCCACTTTATGGTGTTTCGTTAATGCAGCAGTTTTCAATTATAGCCATTCTTCATTTATTCAGACTTCCTGCAATAAATATATCCACCACTCACTAATAGCTAAGGATGAATATATTTTAAGGTAAGTAAGTAATGAGTGTACTGTAAAAGGACACAATTGCAACTAATGTGACATTTATTGTGGCAACGTTTCGCTCTCCAGGAGCTTTATCAAGCCATTACAAACAATACATGGACACAGAGGGTATATAAAGGTTCAGTGAGGTGCAATACTAGTGAGGTACCATTTCGATGTTCACTAGTGGTAGTAGTAGTAGTGGTAGAGACAAAAGTAATACAATATGGTAGAGCAATTAATTCGTACATGAGTAAAAGGATGTAAAAGCTATTACTCATGTACGAATTAATTGCTCTACCATATTGTACAGTGGACCCCCGCATAACGATGGCATCACATAGCGATTATTTCGCATACCGCTTACTTTAATTGCAAAAATTTTGCCTCACATACCGCTTAAAAACCCGCTTACCGATTTTCTTCCGAGATGCGCTCACATGTTCCGCCGGTGGCATTGTTTACCAGCCAGCCTCCACGGTAACATCCAAGCATACAATCGGAATATTTCGTATTATTACAGTGTTTTCGGTGCTTTTTCTGGAAAATAAGTGACCATGGGCCCCAAGAAAGCTTCTAGTGCCAACCCTACAGCAATAAGGGTGAGAATTACAATAGAGATGAAGAAAAAGATCATTGATAAGTATGAAAGTGGAGTGCATGTCTCCGAGCTGGCCAGGTTGTATAATAAACCCCAATCAACCATCGCTACTATTGGTGGTACAGCTGCTGCTGCTGCTGCACTGTCAGCTGCTGCTGCTGCTGTAGCACCGTTGTTGGTGTGGGCTTATTGAGAATACCAAGAAACAATTAACCCCAGAGGATTTGCCACCCAGGATAACCCAAAAAAGTCAGTGTCATCGAAGACTGTCTAACTTATTTCCATTGGGGTCCTTAATCTTATCTCCCAGGATGCAACCCACACAAGTCGACTAACACCCAGGTGAACAGGGAAAAATGCCTGGAACTAGTGCTCTATTGGTGAATTTAAAGCCAGCAAAGGTTGGTTTGAGAGATTTAAGAATCGTAGTGGCATACACAGTGTGATAAGGCCTGTTCTGGAAGAAAATGCCAAACAGGACCTACAGTACTCAGGAGGAAAAGGCACTCCCAGGACACAGTGTCTCATCAGTCATTGCTGCATCTTCAATAAAGGTAAGTGTCATTTATTCTTCATTTAGTAGACTAGTACATGCACAATATATACTGTGCATGTACTACTCTACTATTGTGCATGTATCCTTCTCTTTGTGTGTGGGAAAATGTATATTTCATGTGGTAAAATTTTTTTTTTCATACTTTTGGGTGTCTTGCACGGATTAATTTTATTTCCATTATTTCTTATGGGGAAAATTCATTCACATAACGATTATTTCGCATAACAATTACCCCTCTTGCACGGATTAAAATCGTTAACCGGGGGTCCACTGTATTACTTTTGTCTCTACCACTACTACTACTACCATTAGTGAACATCGAAATGGTACCTCACTAGTATTGCACCTCACTCTGAACCTTTATATACCCTCTGTGTCCATGTATTGTTTGTAATGGCTTGATAAAGCTCCTGGAGAGCGAAACGTTGCCACAATAAATGTCACATTAGTTGCAATTGTGTCCTTTTACTTTACGTATTGTCAGTAATTCTACCAACTTTATTACAATGAGTGTACTGTATATGCATATTTTTAGGCCTAGCTCTATTGCTCAGTAGCCTGGAACCTAACCTGCTGTATAAGTTGTGTTTGCCTGTACTATACAATAAATGTGCTAGGTCAACACACTTAACCAAGGACCCCTCAAGGAAGGTTCCTTGATGCTAATAAGCAGCTCTTGACTTAAGAAGTTGGACTTGCCCTCCCCTTCCTTTGGTAAAACAAGACTGCCTCCCATTCTCAGACTCTGCATGTCCTCAACAGGTTTAGTGCTCCCCAATATAATAATAATAATCATTGATAGTAATATAATAATTGTGTGGACAACATATATGAAAGTAATAGTAAAAACAGAAAACATTTTCAATATTAATTATAACATGTACTTAAAGACAGGACTGCAAGTGAGAGCTATAGTAAACTATTCACAACTTACCCTCTGAGGTGCATGCCTTGAACATAAAGGACTCTTGATCCAAAGAATTGGAGCTAGCCACTTCCTTGGATCAAGCCTGATTACATTAACAACTGCTGTATCACACCTACTGGTTTGCAGCTTCCTTCATCAATATCATGATAATTACCCCCCCCAAAAAAATTAAGATAAAATGTTTTCTGTTTGCTTTCAATTTGTGGGTTAGTTGTGAATTGTTCCACAGTGTTGTGACTTGTATTTTACAGCACAGAAATTTACAGATATGTGAGGCATTGTCCAACAGAAAATAATAAGTGCCACCATGGCCAAAATCTGGGTTAGTCAATGAATTGATTAGTTAAGTGTTTTGTCTGACTGAGGGAATATGTATTATTATTATTATTATTATAATTAAAACTATGAGCTAAACCCACAAGGATCATGCAGGAGGTAATGTATGGATATTGTCTTCTTCATCTGTAAGTTAGATTCTAACTCCCATGACAACTTATTGTAGCATGAGCTTTATAGCCCTGAACCCCTCCCACCCATGTTTGCATATTTCTCCACTTTTAAAATTTGGCTCATTCATTTCTACTGTGCAACACGTCATATATAATGACTAGTGGTCTGCCACGTATGCAGTATTTTATATTATAACATCGGGGTAGGGGTCGGCCTAGGAAAAGTTGGAGGGAGGGGGTAAAGGAGGTTTTGTGTGCGAGGGGCTTGGACTTCCAGCAGGCATGCGTGAGCATGTTTGATAGGAGTGAATGGAGACAAATGGTTTTTAATACTTGACGTGCTGTTGGAGTGTGAGCAAAGTAACACTTATGAAGGGGTTCAGGGAAACCGGCAGGCCGGACTTGAGTCCTGAAGATGGGAAGTACAGTGCCTGCACTCTGAAGGAGGGGTGTTAATGTTGCAGTTTAAAAACTGTAGTGTAAAGCACCCTTCTGGCAAGACAGTGATGGAGTGAATGATGGTGAAAGTTTTTCTTTTTCGGGCCACCCTGCCTTGGTGGGAATCGGCCAGTGTGGTAATAAAAAAAAAATAATATCGTATAACAATGACCTTAGAGTAAGGGAGAACAAAAATTCTACAGAAAATGCCAATAAAACATGTTAAATAAGCCAACAGCAATAAACCCTCCACAGATAGCGTATCTGTAATGTTGTTCTAGATCTTTCATGCTGCAATTGCCAATGCTTCTTCATGAGCAATGCAATGGATAGAATGTAATTTGGGAGAGGTCAAGCAGGTGTGTCCTAAGACACACACACATTATAATTATAAATATTTTTTTTTTTTTATTATCACACCGGCCGATTCCCACCAAGGCAGGGTGGCCCGAAAAAGAAAAACTTTCACCATCTTTCACTCCATCACTGTCTTGCCAGAAGGGTGCTTTACACTACAGTTTTTAAACTGCAACATTAACACCCCTCCTTCAGAGTGCAGGCACTGTACTTCCCATCTCCAGGACTCAAGTCCGGCCTGCCGGTTTCCCTGAATCCCTTCATAAATGTTACTTTGCTCACACTCCAACAGCACGTCAAGTATTAAAAACCATTTGTCTCCATTCACTCCTATCAAACACGCTCACGCATGCCTGCTGGAAGTCCAAGCCCCTCACACACAAAACCTCCTTTACCCCCTCCCTCCAACCCTTCCTAGGCCGACCCCTACCCCGCCTTCCTTCCACTACAGACTGATACACTCTTGAAGTCATTCTGTTTCGCTCCATTCTCTCTACATGTCCGAACCACCTCAACAACCCTTCCTCAGCCCTCTGGACAACAGTTTTGGTAATCCCGCACCTCCTCCTAACTTCCAAACTACGAATTCTCTGCATTATATTCACACCACACATTGCCCTCAGACATGACATCTCCACTGCCTCCAGCCTTCTCCTCGCTGCAACATTCATCACCCACGCTTCACACCCATATAAGAGCGTTGGTAAAACTATACTCTCATACATTCCCCTCTTTGCCTCCAAGGACAAAGTTCTTTGTCTCCACAGACTCCTAAGTGCACCACTCACTCTTTTTCCCTCATCAATTCTATGATTCACCTCATCTTTCATAGACCCATCCGCTGACACGTCCACTCCCAAATATCTGAATACGTTCACCTCCTCCATACTCTCTCCCTCCAATCTGATATTCAATCTTTCATCACCTAATCTTTTTGTTATCCTCATAACCTTACTCTTTCCTGTATTCACCTTTAATTTTCTTCTTTTGCACACCCTACCAAATTCATCCACCAATCTCTGCAACTTCTCTTCAGAATCTCCCAAGAGCACAGTGTCATCAGCAAAGAGCAGCTGTGACAACTCCCACTTTGTGTGTGATTCTTTATCTTTTAACTCCACGCCTCTTGCCAAGACCCTCGCATTTACTTCTCTTACAACCCCATCTATAAATATATTAAACAACCACGGTGACATCACACATCCTTGTCTAAGGCCTACTTTTACTGGGAAAAAAATTCCCTCTTTCCTACATACTCTAACTTGAACCTCACTATCCTCGTAAAAACTCTTCACTGCTTTCAGTAACCTACCTCCTACACCATACACTTGCAACATCTGCCACATTGCCCCCCTATCCACCCTGTTATACGCCTTTTCCAAATCCATAAATGCCACAAAGACCTCTTTAGCCTTATCTAAATACTGTTCACTTATATGTTTCACTGTAAACACCTGGTCCACACACCCCCTACCTTTCCTAAAGCCTCCTTGTTCATCTGCTATCCTATTCTCCGTCTTACTCTTAATTCTTTCAATTATAACTCTACCATACACTTTACCAGGTACACTCAACAGACTTATCCCCCTATAATTTTTGCACTCTCTTTTATCCCCTTTGCCTTTATACAAAGGAACTATGCATGCTCTCTGCCAATCCCTAGGTACCTTACCCTCTTCCATACATTTATTAAATAATTGCACCAACCACTCCAAAACTACATCCCCACCTGCTTTTAACATTTCTATCTTTATCCCATCAATCCCGGCTGCCTTACCCCCTTTCATTTTACCTACTGCCTCACGAACTTCCCCCACACTCACAACTGGCTCTTCCTCACTCCTACAAGATGTTATTCCTCCTTGCCCTATACACGAAATCACAGCTTCCCTATCTTCATCAACATTTAACAATTCCTCAAAATATTCCTTCCATCTTCCCAATACCTCTAACTCTCCATTTAATAACTCTCCTCTCCTATTTTTAACAGACAAATCCATTTGTTCTCTAGGCTTTCTTAACTTGTTAATCTCACTCCAAAACTTTTTCTTATTTTCAACAAAATTTGTTGATAACATCTCACCCACTCTCTCATTTGCTCTCTTTTTACATTGCTTCACCACTCTCTTAACTTCTCTCTTTTTCTCCATATACTCTTCCCTCCTTGCATCACTTCTACTTTGTAAAAACTTCTCATATGCTAACTTTTTCTCCCTTACTACTCTCTTTACATCATCATTCCACCAATCGCTCCTCTTCCCTCCTGCACCCACTTTCCTGTAACCACAAACTTCTGCTGAACACTCTAACACTACATTTTTAAACCTACCCCATACCTCTTCGACCCCATTGCCTATGCTCTCATTAGCCCATCTATCCTCCAATAGCTGTTTATATCTTACCCTAACTGCCTCCTCTTTTAGTTTATAAACCTTTACCTCTCTCTTCCCTGATGCTTCTATTCTCCTTGTATCCCATCTACCTTTTACTCTCAGTGTAGCTACAACTAGAAAGTGATCTGATATATCTGTGGCCCCTCTATAAACATGTACATCCTGAAGTCTACTCAACAGTCTTTTATCTACCAATACATAATCCAACAAACTACTGTCATTTCGCCCTACATCATATCGTGTATACTTATTTATCCTCTTTTTCTTAAAATATGTATTACCTATAACTAAACCCCTTTCTATACAAAGTTCAATCAAAGGGCTCCCATTATCATTTACACCTGGCACCCCAAACTTACCTACCACACCCTCTCTAAAAGTTTCTCCTACTTTAGCATTCAAGTCCCCTACCACAATTACTCTCTCACTTGGTTCAAAGGCTCCTATACATTCACTTAACATCTCCCAAAATCTCTCTCTCTCCTCTGCATTCCTCTCTTCTCCAGGTGCATACACGCTTATTATGACCCACTTCTCGCATCCAACCTTTACTTTAATCCACATAATTCTTGAATTTACACATTCATATTCTCTTTTCTCCTTCCATAACTGATCATTTAACATTACTGCTACCCCTTCCTTTGCTCTAACTCTCTCAGATACTCCAGATTTAATCCCATTTATTTCCCCCCACTGAAACTCTCCTACCCCCTTCAGCTTTGTTTCGCTTAGGGCCAGGACATCCAACTTCTTTTCATTCATAACATCAGCAATCATCTGTTTCTTGTCATCCGCACTACATCCACGCACATTTAAGCAACCCAGTTTTATAAAGTTTTTTCTTCTTCTCTTTTTTAGTAATTGTATACAGGAGAAGGGTTACTAGCCCATTGCTCCCGGCATTTTAGTCGCCTCATACGACACGCATGGCTTACGGAGGAAAGATTCTTTTCCACTTCCCCATGGACAATAGAAGAAATAAAAAAGAACAAGAGCTATTTAGAAAAAGGAGAAAAACCTAGATGTATGTATATATATATATGCATGTGCGTGTCTATGAAGTGTGACCAAAGTGTAAGTAGGAGTAGCAAGATATCCCTGTTATCTTAGCGTGTTTATGAGACAGAAAAAGAAACCAGCAATCCTACCATCATGCAAAACAGTTACAGGTTTTTGTTTCACAGTCATCTGGCAGGACGGTAGTACTTCCCTGGGTGGTTGCTGTCTACCAACCTACTACCTACAATTATAAATAATACATACATATATGCATTATGCAATAATTGCAAACAAGAGACACAACATACAAAACAACCACAGGGAGAGCTGAATGACAGCTCTAGGCCTTTCATGTGCAATCATCACATCAGGAGCTGCCATTGCTGCAGAAAAGAGGAAGTCCAAGCAAATTTGTTCAAGGGAACATATTTTGCTCAAATGAGGTATGGAGGCAGAAGACACCTAAGTGTGCCAGGCATGCCAGTGCCTAGTGCCAGAAAGAATGAATATTAAAGCATTAGAAGACAGCCAGCCCACAAGCACTGATATTGTAGTAATGGCCTAACGAACATAACATTAGTGACATGGCAATTATCAAAAATTCGGTCAGGCTTCGTTATGATATAAAAGACTTTACATTCTGAATATAGATATATCTGGCAATTGTCTTAATAATTTTCCATACATTTTGAAAACAGGTCCACAGCCAACTCACTTAAAACTAGAGGGAGATATCTAGTTTATCCACAGGAAGGCCATAGTTTATATATACATAGTTTTAACACTGGCTGTCTCCAACGGAGGCAGGATGACCCGAAAAAGAAATGCTTTTACCATCATTCACACCATCACTGTCTGAAATGTCGTATCCGCACTCCTCCGGCACGACAGTGATAGTGTGAATGATGCCGAAAGCGTTTCTTTTTCAGGTCACCTTGCTTCAGTGAGAGATGGCCAGCGAGTTAAAAAATCACACACACACATACAGTATATACAGTATCAAGTTAAATAATTCCTATTACATCCTTCAGTAGTGCAGCAGTGTGCACTGTACTGTATTAGAATGTCTCAAGTTAGTGTGTCACTATCTTGCACAACATTACTGTTCTTGCAGATTTACTTCCTTCATTAACAAACAAGTGTAAATCTGAGCTTTCCTCTGAAACAACAATTTCTGTACTTTCTTCTGACAGAAGAATTTCTGTATTTCCATCAGATACAACTATTTCAGTACTTCCTTCAGATAAAACAATCTCTTTACTACCTTCTAAAGTTGAAATATTTGCATTTGCTCTGGATAAGACGATACTTTTGGTGCCATCTACCTTGACAGCTTCCTGGGGTAATTTCTCTGGCACCTCGTAGGAAAACTGCACAGTTGCATTGTGTTTACTCCAGCAGTGATTTTCTAACTCGTCTGCTTTTAGATCCTCAACATTACACAATGGACAATTATATTTATACAATAAAGGCACATCTTTACTTTTCTGTTTTGGAGTTTGACTATGAACCACCCTCATGTGAGATTTATAAGTAGCCTTGGCAGCAAAAGCGACACTGCATATACCACATTCAAATGGCTTCTCTCCTGTGTGAGTTCTCATGTGTTCTACTAATTTTGCATTACATATGAATACTTTTTCGCACACTTCACATGGGTAACGATAATTGTACTTCTCATGAACTTGCTTTGTGTGACAATATAAAGCTTGGCTGGTCAAAAATCCTTTTTTACACTTTTGACATTCATGCTTTTTTTCATCAGAGTGTTGAGCCACGTGATTGAGGTAATGGTGTCTATAATTAAATGTCTTATTACACTGAGTACACTTTAAACGGCCTTCTTTAGTTACACTAACTTGATCGTGGACTTGCAACACGTGGTCTCGCAAGCTCGTTCTGCAAGGCAATTTTACATTGCATTTCACACAAGTGTGTAACTGTGCCTGATGGTATTGCAAAGCTGTCTTAGTAGACATGTATTTCTTGCATACATGACACTGGTGATTTGTTGGGGTTTGTTTGTTTGAGGACATCTGATTATGTTCCATTGCTAAATGTTCTCGCAGCAAGTAACGTCCTGTAAATCCTTTCCCACACATCTCACATGTGAAAGGCTTTCCCGTGTGAATCATCATGTGGCGACGCAAGTTGACATGTGACGAAAGCATCTTGCCACAAACTTTACAAGTAACTGAGTGTTTCCCTTCAGCAATTTCATGATTTAACATATGCTTACTGTAAATTGAAATTAGTTTAAAATCAATCTGACACTGCTGACAAGTGTAAGGCCCACTCCCTGCACATTTTCGTTTTCTTTTACTTCCAGAGTAATTTACTGTTCTCTTTCTTTTACAAGTTGGTATAGCTTCCTCCTCAGCAGCAGCATTTTTCATGACATTCACTTTGTGTAATATTCCATGTGTTGTATGTTCACCTTCACCTGTTTTTTCTTTGTCTGATTCCTCATGGTAAGCATTATCTGTCCTATTATTTTGAGGGTATCTAATGGTTGTGCTCTTTTCCGCAGCATCCGAGATCTGTAAGATTGTCTCGGTGCTGTCTTCATGTGAGTTGTATGTTTTGTTAGTGGAAATCTCCTCATCTGTCCAGTCGCTGTCAGAATCGAAGAGCTTATTATTTTCATTAATGGTCTCGATTTCCTCCATTTCGGAATTCAGTTTGAATTCCGAAGCTGGTATGCTTGTAGCTGTTGTTTTGAAGATATCACTGGGATCAAACTTCACTGGGACTTTCCTTTCTCTCTTAATTCTGGTGTGAACAAATTCATCTGGAAAAATGAAAGTGCATCATTACTTACTGCAGCATATAAAAGTACACTGCCAAACTTTATATAACATTGGTAAGGCTTACTTAGGTGAATGGTTTTCTCCTTTTGCAATACTGGGTGCCTTCCAATTAATATAACTCTTTCCACCTCACTCCCTGTATCTCGTTTTAATACAACATCTGTCATCCTCTCCTGTCCAAACCAGCGAAAGAATCTCCTAACCCATAATGATACCACACAAAATATACTAAGTATCAAGCTTATTTCAACTGCATCAATTCTATCCATTTATTTTATTCTATATTAAAGTCTTCCTGCTACAGATCAAAGCCGAGAGCATCAAAGGGATGATGCAAAACTTGGTCTTCTACACTTTCCATACAGTCCCTGTTACTTTATCATTAATATTCTCTCATTCAATAAGAACAGCATGTAATTTTCTCGGCCTCCTATAACCATTCCTGTTATCCTCTTAACAGATCAATGGAAATGAAAATCTGCTAAATCATCAAATTTTTATAAAGATACTTTCTTTGTTGGGAAGTACAATGCCTGCACTTTAAAGGAAGGGTTTGGGATACTGGCAGTTTGGAGGGGTATGTTATATATGCTTCTAGACTGTTGTATCTGGGGGCCTCTGCAAAGACAGTGATTATGTGTGAGTGAGGTGAAAGTGTTGAACGATGATGAAAGTATTTTCTTTTTGGGGATTTTCTTTCTTTTTGGGTCACCCTGCCTCGGTGGGAGACGGTCAACTTGTTGAAAAAAAAAAAACACCTTCATTGTGTGAACTGACAGATAAGTCTCATATCAATATATCATTTTTCAAAATTATTATGGTATCTTTAACCAATCAACAATATTATCAAATTTACATTCCCTAATCAAAAATGAAACTGACAATACCTCATCATGACTTTCCAATCTTTTCTTCTCTACATAGGAAGCATTCCATTTGCCATATTTAAAGCAATGTTTATCAAGGCATGAAACCATTAATAGAATGCTATATTCATAGAAAGTGTTAAACCCATAAAGGATTTGCAACATTACATGGCTTAGATGAAAGAGATGGTAGAGGGTGGAAAATAGTGAAGTTTAGGAAAGGACTCTGGCAGAAAAAAAGGAAAGGGGAAGGTTGGAATCACAGTAACTAAAGTAAACTGAAGTCAGCTAAGAAAGCAAGATACATTATTATATTCATGGGAAGAGGACGAGGAAGAGGTGAGGTAGTGTTGAGGAAAGATCACTGGCTAAAAGACTGGTGGTTACAGTTTAGGAAAGTAAAGAGTGTCAGCAGCAAAAGCAGGACTGTCAAAGAGAAGGGAGGGCAAAGTATAAAATATCAGGTACTGAAGGTACAGACGTCCAAAATGAAGATGGCATGCTTTCTGGTGAATGGGACAATCTATTGAAAGGTGTTGGACTATCAGTACAACCTCACAATTCTTGCAATAGATAAATACAGGAAAAGTATAGCTATTCTGTATTAGGTGTAGTTATTCTATATTAGGTAATATGTACAGTATGTTTTAGCTTTTTTAATACATATGATTTACTAAAGTTAATTATTCTAAAGATGAAGATGCTAACTATTGCTAAATACTATATTGCGTGTACATACAATGCTTCTTTGGGCAAAAGGATGTAAAGTTTAATCAATTTAGCCCATTACTATAAATGGATGAAATATAACAGAAGTACTCTTTGCATAATTCCATTTAGCTGAAATACACATACCATGGGTTTCTATTTTTTGTTCCTCAGATGAAACATTGCCATGTTTAGCTTCAGAACCAACTTCAGTAGATACAGGATGTTTTCTAGGGCGTCCACGCCTTTTTCTCACACTAGGTGAATGGCAATTTGTTTTGCTTGCTGAAAATAAGTTTAGTAAAATACTATACAGTACTATAGTTGAAAATCAAAATATTATATAGATTACAAATTTTAATAAAAATACCAAACTGAAGTTGGTGCTTCTTTTCAAATGCCTTAAGACTGGAACTATTTTTTTAACAGTAAGAAAAAATTATTTTTAATAAAATTTTCATGGATATTAGCCGGCACAGAAAGCTAACCTACCCATAAAACTTTCCACACATATTGCTGATTCATCCGTTGAAGTACTGGCATCGTTTTTCAGTGGCAAGCAACACTGTGTGCATGCATCTTCATTCTTAATTGTGGAGATAAATACAAAAGATCCGAAACTTACAGGTACAAAGCCTGCTGTCTGAGTGCCGATACTCCCCATCACAACAACCTTTAAGAGATAAGAATAATGTACTGTAATTCAAATACACTTTAAGCAGAGAGAACTTTTATTTTACATGGGTGACATGTTGCAAAATATAGGTTCTCATTGCCACACTTTTCTGAATTACCACTTGCAGGGTTATGACTTAAGATGAAAGATATCATCAAAAGCAAATATTACCTACAATACTATAGGTCTATTTTAAACAAATTCAAATCTGTAGTGCTGTACAATGAATCTATTTTTTAGTCTATTAAGTTTATTTAGGCACAGGTACACATAGGAACAATTATCATACAGTGTAAATTACCTAGGATAACACCTCTTGTATTAACTATGAAAATACAATTACTGTAACTTTTATGATATTTTAGCGATAGTAAAGTAATTTAAACTAAATGTCACCTTTTATACCCATGTGATCAGTTCCTTCAACTACTGAGTAAAGATTACAAATTTTTATCTGATGGATGGAAAAAGTGGAAAATAATGATATAAAATTCTAAGCAGGCAAATACATTCAATCTTCTCAAGGTAATATTTTACACTTTTTTTGTGTTAATAGTGAAGGTACACTATTATTATATTCATGGGGAGAGCGCTAGACCCATAGGTGTCATAGAGCACCTAGGGAAATGGAAGGCATTTAGGTTCAGTGCAAGGAAGGGGCATATAGGTTCAATTCTTAAGATCAAAAGCCCCTCACTGGCATCAAGGAACCTCCCTTGAAAGGTTCCTCCCCTTCAGATAACTGAACATGTTAGTGTCAGGTAGCTCTAGGTTCATTAAGTATGTGAGCAAGTTTATTTAGGAACAGGTACACATAAGTACAATAATTTACATGGTGTAAATTACCCGTGGCCTGGAGGGTGTCCCGTGGCCTGGTAGGCAATGCTCTCGCCTCACACACTGAGTGTCCGTGGTTCAATCCCCGGTACAGGTGGAAACATTAGGCGTGTTTCCTTACACCTGCTGTCCCTGTTCACTTAACAGTAGTAAGTACCTGGGTGTTAGTCGACCGGTGTGGGTGGCATCCTGGGGAACAAAATTAGCCTAAGTTGCAGGAAATGCTCTACATAACCAGGAACTTTCTATGTAGTATGTCAGTGATGTCAGCTATGGTCTGTATAAGTTATATCATGTACTGGTAGACATAATTATTATTATTATTACTACTATTATTATTATTATATGATTGATGTCAGCTATGGTCTGTATAAATTGTATAAGATAAGAGAGATAAGATAAGATTTCGTTCGGATTTTTAACCCCGGAGGGTTAGCCACCCAGGATAACCCAAGAAAGTCAGTGCGTCATCGAGGACTGTCTAACTTATTTCCATTGGGGTCCTTAATCTTGTCCCCCAGGATGCGACCCACACCAGTCGACTAACACCCAGGTACCTATTTGCTGCTAGGTGAACAGGACAACAGGTGTAAGGAAACGTGTCGAAATGTTTCCACCCGCCGGAAACCGAACCCAGGCCCTCTGTGTGTGAAGCGGGAGCTTTAGCTACCGGGCCACCAGGCCACTATCATGTAGCTGTAGAGATAAAGATTATTATTATTATTATTATTATTATTATTATTATTATTATTAATGATGCCTGTTATCACTGGAGTTTCTCGTAAGAATCAACGAAAAAAAAAAAAGTTCAACATGTTACAGGCGACATAAATTAAACTTCCAGTTACTAAGTTTATTCAGGTCCATCTACACATAAATACACATACACAAATTATCACACACACTAACATACATGTAAATTATCCTCCAGGATAACCCCAAAAAAAGTGACTTATTTCCACTGGGATCCTTGTGTTTTTTGAGGACCTTTGAGTTTTTTGGGGGTTATCCTAGGTAATTTATATATATATTTGTACTTATGAGTACCTGTGCCTAAATAAACTTACTGACTTATTAAGCTGACTGACTGACTGACTGACACCAAAGATGTAAACAACTGTTTGTTGTTGAAATATAGGGACTCGTACGGTCACCAACCTTATTTAAGCTCAAGATTACTAAATTTTTGGGTAATTACAGTTTTTTGCACAGTTATATATGTGCAAATTACTTAGGATAACCCAAAATTGCTTAGGATAACCCAAAATTACTTAGGATAACCCAAAATTACTTAGGATAACCCAAAAGAATATCTTACCAAGAGTATTTCAATAATTACAATTGGTTCGATCCCCTGGTAGGGTGGAAACTCTGTACATGTTTCCTTACACCTGCTGTCACTGTTCACCTAGTAGTAATTAGGTATCTGGGTGTTAGTCACCTTACACCTGCTGTCCCTGTTCACCTAGCAGTAATTAGGTACCTGGGTGTTAGTCACCTTACACCTGCTGTCCCTGTTCACCTAGCAGTAATTAGGTACCTGGGTGTTAGTCACCTTACACCTGCTGTCCCTGCTCACCTAGCAGTAAGTAGGTACCTGGGTGTTAGTCACCTTACACCTGCTGTTACTGTTCACCTAGTAGTAAGTAGGTACCTGGGTGTTAGTCACCTTACACCTGCTGTTACTGTTCACCTAGTAGTAAGTAGGTACCTGGGTGTTAGTCACCTTACACCTGCTGTCCCTGTTCACCTAGCAGTAATTAGGTACCTGGGTGTTAGTCACCTTACACCTGCTGTCCCTGTTCACCTAGCAGTAAGTAGGTACCTGGGTGTTAGTTGACTAATGTGGGTGGCATCCTGGGGGACAAAACTAAAATACCATAATGGAAATAAGTCACTTTGTCTGACTTTTTTGGGTTATCCTAATTTCTCTACACATGTTAATATGTATTATAGTCTATGTAACTGTATCTGTGTATGTGATAGATGGTTGAAAAATCGACAAGTTGAAGATTGAGAGTGAACACAGCAACTTCAGGCTGAGGGACTGATTACTTCAAATTACTCCTCTCCTTACGCCTTTTTGATTTGTATTGGACTGATGAAACCAATGTATGGGCGAAATGTATCTATGTATACCTGAATAAACTTAAACTGCTTAATAATATCCATTTTGTTTATGCCTAAATGGCCATTTTTTTTTTTTTGTGTGTGTGTGTGGAAAGATTGACATTTTTTACATAGTTTTATCCCGGGTTGAAGTTCGAAGATGATGATTTAGACCCATGTGCAACACTTTGGTATCTTTATTTAGGAAACGTTTCGCCCCACAGCGGCTTCATCAGTCCTATACGAAAGTGAATATCAGGAGTTTGAGGTAATCAGTCCCTCAACCTGGAGTCAATGTAACCAATCCATCAATATTTTCAAGATTGATGGGCTGGATAAAGGGTTCATAGAACCATTTATCTATTTATCTATTTATCCGGATAAATGTTTCGGAGAACCATTTATCCGGATTTAAAATTGGCGGGGGCGCCAGATGGCGCCAAAAGTCCGTCAAGTTTTCCCGGGAAAAAGCATCAGGCTGACTTTGAGTGTTTATAATGGTGCAAAAGACCATTTTGTGAGTACATTATTGCACCTGCTGCCCATTACTGACTTAATGGCGCCTCCGGGAACCTCTAGTTCTGGGTTGTGCCTCTAAAGTTCAGTGGAAGTTGATTTAGGACCATTAAACCCTGTGGTGGTTAATTCTTGGGAATGTCTCTTTATATTTTGGTTGATAAAATTGTCGTCAGTCAGGGAACTGCAGTTATCTTGACTATTATGATGATTCCTTCACATTCCCCAGGCACTGAGTGGCCCGCCCATACGGGTGTAGCGCTTCCCCCATGAGTCGTAATAGTGGTGCAATAAGTCGTCTTCAGTCATGTTTATAATTACACATATGTTTATGTTATATAATTATGGGTTATCCTGGGTGGCTAACACTCCTTACCCTGGGTTATCCTGGGTGGCTAACACTCCTTACCCTGGGTTATCCTGGGTGGCTAACACTCCTTACCCTGGGTTATCCTTGGTGGCTAACACTCCTTACCCTGGGTTATCCAGGGTGGCTAACACTCCTTACCCTGGGTTATCCTGGGTGGCTAACACTCATTACCCTGGGTTATCCTGGGTGGCTAACACTCCTTACCCTGGGTTATCCTGGGTGGCTAACACTCCTTACCCTGGGTTATCCGGAGTGGCTAACACTCCTTACCCTGGGTTATCCTGGGTGGCTAACACTCCTTACCCTGGGTTATCCTGGGTGGCTAACACTCCTTACCCTGGGTTATCCTGGGTGGCTAACACTCCTTACCCTGGGTTATCCAGGGTGGCTAACACTCCTTACCCTGGGTTATCCTGGGTGGCTAACACTCCTTACCCTGGGTTATCCTGGGTGGCTAACACTCCTTACCCTGGGTTATCCTGGGTGGCTAACACTCCTTACCCTGGGTTATCCTGGGTGGCTAACACTCCTTACCCTGGGTTATCCTGGGTGGCTAACACTCCTTACCCTGGGTTATCCTGGTTGGCTAACACTCCTTACCCTGGGTTATCCTGGGTGGCTAACACTCCTTACCCTGGGTGGCTAACACTCCTTACCCTGGGTTATCCTGGGTGGCTAACACTCCTTACCCTGGGTTATCCTGGGTGGCTAACACTCCTTACCCTGGGTTATCCTGGGTGGCTAACACTCCTTACACTGGGTTATCCTGGGTGGCTAACACTCCTTACCCTGGGTTATCCTTGGTGGCTAACACTCCTTACCCTGGGTTATCCTGGGTGGCTAACACTCCTTACCCTGGGTTATCCTGGGTGGCTAACACTCCTTACCCTGGGTTATCCTTGGTGGCTAACACTCCTTACCCTGGGTTATCCTTGGTGGCTAACACTCCTTACCCTGGGTTATCCTGGGTGGCTAACACTCCTTACCCTGGGTTATCCTTGGTGGCTAACACTCCTTACCCTGGGTTATCCTGGGTGGCTAACACTCCTTACCCTGGGTTATCCTTGGTGGCTAACACTCCTTACCCTGGGTTATCCTTGGTGGCTAACACTCCCTATTCCAGAATAGAAATCTTAACAAGTCTCACTTTGTGTTATACTACACATTTCCCAGACACTGACCTCCATGGGTTACTTCCCTTTGAGTATTCTATAATCATAATGTTAATCCTCAAGATTTATCTTAAGATAGTAAGCTGTGATTTTTGATGTGATCAACGGCAAGACTGACCACTGACAGGGCTTCAATAAATGGTTCGAGCCTCCACCATTTCTTGAGCTCACTGACCACATGGGTTTAAGACTTATTGGGAAAACAAGCATTGCTAGTGTGATTTATGAAAATGCTGAAGATTAAGTTTATTGGCATTTCCTACCTGTGGATCTACACATTATCATATATTTATGCAATGGTTGAAATAATATACATACATTGGTGGTATATTATATAATTTATAATATATAACCCATAAAATTTAGTGTGACATTTTCACATTTTCAACAGATCGTTCTTCTCGGCTCCGAAGGCAAAAAAGGAGGAGCTTTCATCTGAGGGAAGTTCACAAGGAACAAGCAATGAAACGTTAGTACAGTTTATATATCTCATATCCTTTACCCCCTCCCTCCAACCTTTCCTAGGCCGACCCCTACCCCGCCTTCCTTCCACTACAGAGTGTATCAGTCTGTAGTGGAAGGAAGGCGGGATAGGGGTCAGCCTAGGAAAGGTTGGAGGGAGGGGGTAAAGGAGGTTTTGTGTGCGAGGGGCTTGGACTTCCAGCAGGCATGCGTGAGCGTGTTTGATAAGAGTGAATGGAGACAAATGGTTTTTAATACTTGACGTGCTGTTGGAGTGTGACCAAAGTAACATTTATGAAGGGGTTCAGGGAAACCGGCAGGCCGGACTTGAGTCCTGGAGATGGGAAGTACAGTGCCTGCACTCTGAAGGAGGGGTGTTAATGTTGCAGTTTAAAAACTGTAGTGTAAAGCACCCTTCTGGCAAGACAGTGATGGAGTGAATGATGGTGAAAGTTTTTCTTTTTCGGGCCACCCTGCCTTGGTGGGAATCGGCCAGTGTGATAATAATAATAATAAAAAAATGCATGATAATGTTAGTTAAGCATTACTATATTTGTCAGACTTTGCAAAAAGTAAATGGGCCATTCAGCACTAAAGTTAGATAATTGTTTTGAAGTTGAGTTGACTATTTTTTTGTAGGTTGCCATTTTTTTTTTTTAACACACAGGCCTTCTCCCACTGAGGTCAGGTGACCCAATAAAGAAAAAAAAATTTACCATCACTATCACTGTCTTGTCAGAGGTGTGCCAATACTACAGCTCAGATGCCCCCCCTCAGACTGCAAATATCCCTACCCCTCCAAAGTGGGGGGGGGGGGGCTGGTGATGCCTTGCTGCTGGTGAAGGGCTCTTAATCCAAGAGATAGTAGTTACCCTCCTCTTCCTTGGATCAAACCTGATTACCATTCCCCAAGTTCTGAAAAACATTAGTCACTGCTGTTTCCTCAAGCAAGGGAAATGACCAGTAAGAACAAAGCAAATATATAGAAAAAAATAACCATTTCTTAAATTTTTTAAATTTTTTTTCAGGATGACTTCGAAGAAGGGCAAAGAGTCACTTACCAAGAAAGTGCCACATAAAGTACGAGTAATTGAGAGTGACAGTGAAGAGGAGGCAGCAGAGGAGGAAGTTGCTTCTATAAGGTACCCTGGCTAAGAGTAGTGACCACAGACACGCATTAGAAATACGTACGGTATTGTAATAAAAGTTTTCTAGTGAGGAATTGGTTTTAAAAAATGTTTGGAAGTGAAACATGAGTCAAATATATGTAGAAGTCAGAGAGAGAGGTGTCAAAGGTTCATAATGAGAAAGGTACCCATGAGAAATGTGAACAAGAGAGAGATGTCAAAAGTGCATAATAAGAAAGGTATCCATCAGAAATGTGAAGCAAGAGATGTGTATCAAAGGAATGCAGAAGTGAGAAGTGTGTGTGAAATGAAAATTGGCAGGATAGGAAGATCGCCATAGACACCATTAAAATACAGTATTAGTTTGAATGTTTCTTTGTTTTACATGCTCCTTGTATGTTTCCTAATTTCAGTTCTCCACACAAGTCCGATGAGGAGAAGGAAAACAAGACAAAAAGACCACAAAATGCTCTGAGTAAGGGGAAGGAAAAAATTGCCAAGGGTAAGAATGGAAAGAAGTCTGTTGGCAGGCCACAGATGAAAAAAGATACTACCCCAGAACAGAAGACTGATAAAGAAGATATAAAAAAATCTAAAAGGAATCAAACCACAAAAAAATCAATAACAAAAGTGCCCAAGGAAAGAAAATCCCAAAAAGATTGTCCACCATCGAAAAAAAGGAAAAGTACCGGCACAGATGAAAATGAGGAAGGTAACAGAGAGGAAAAAATGAAGACAGACGCAGGTGGAGATGGGGAAGAAGACCTTGAGGCAGATTCCAATGATGATGATACATTTGTTGCAGAAAAGGATTCAGAAGTAGAAAGTCTTAATGAAACATTGGAGACAGAAGATGTAGATGGAGATTCAGCAGATGATAAGGTACGTGAAAGTAATAAAGACCACTTGACAAAAAAAGATGGGAATAAGGTTAAGATAGAAGATAAACTTGCAAAATTTAAGAAAACATGTGAAAATATAAAAGAGACTACACCAGAGAAGAGTGAAAATAAAGATGAGGAAGATGGGGATGATGAAAAGGCTGATAAGAAGACGTGTAAAGGTAAAAAAGATCTTACACCAAAAAAAGATAAAAGCAGGGATAAGGAAGATGGCGATAAAGATGCAAAGATTGATAAGGAAGCACCTGAAGGTAAAGAAGGTCATAAAACAGGGAAAGGTGAAAATAAAGAGAAGGAAGCTAAAACAAAAACAAGTTTCGGAGAAACGAACCTCGCATCCCCAAATAAATCATCGACCTTGTCACAGAGAAGTTCACCTGGCTTTACACCTGACACTGTCCCACCTATAAGAAAGACTGGTAAGTGTGATTATTTTTGATGTCTCCTGAGAATTAATAATAATATTTTATTTCAGCATGGTAGTGTTTGTATAGAGATGAGCGACATTTAGTTGTGCATGGAAAAAACCCATAGTTGAGATGAGCATTTCGGGCAAGTGTTGTGCAGAATTGGCCATTAAACTCCTATACATGTATAAAAATGGGAATATTAAAGTATAATTTCCTATATTGAAACTTTTTTATTGGTATTGTATTATTCATATTACCTTTTTCATATAGATAAAAATGTTTAGGTATCCTCACTTAAGTATGATACTAGGAAGACATATAGTAGACTGGTTTTTCTCACTCACAAGAAACCCCATCAGGAAAGAGTTAGCCAGTCTTCTGTTAGTTTTTCTTGGGACAGGAGACAGAGGCAAGAGCTTCTTAATTCATCTATTAAATTTGTTTGTACCTCAGTGTTGCTCTTTTAAAGAATACTTTTGTCCTGATTTTCTCATACCTGTGTCTTGTCTTTATTTTTGTCTTTCCTGCTGCTTTCCCTTTAGCATATAGATGGTAGACCAGACATTTGATTTATACAACCATTTGGTATCTGATTCACTTACGTAAATCTCTGCCCATTGCCTTAAGGGCTTCTATCGCCTGTTAACACTTGAAAGAAACTAAAATGTCTGGGCAACCATCTAAAAGAGGCTACATTCCCCATCAAAGTAAATAATTGTCCAGAGGGAATCTTATTGAAGCTCTAGATCCATAGAAGCTAGTAATTGATTTGGTCCCAACTGCAGATGGTACTTTGGTAATATTTCAAGAAAGCTCCTTATATAGAGAACAGTAGGTGGATAACCATAAGGCCGTCAGCTATCACCTAATTGAACTCCTGGTAATAGTCTTGTTGATGGTGAATGTTAAGAAGTAAGATGCAATAGTTGGGTGTCTTCGTTCTGAAATGTTTCCTCTACACAGTAGGCTTCAGTCATATACAAAGGCAGTAGAAGCAGTAGATATGGAAAAATTATGTGTTTTCTTTGGTTTGCTCTTTGTTATTGGAGAAAATGGTCAGCGTGGTAAAAAAAAAAAGTAGGCTGTTTTTCAGGCTAGTAGTGTGTAAAGTAAGCATGTGTGCATGCAGGTGTTGTACATTTTTGTAACTCTCTTTTCAACAAAAGAGGCGACTAAAATGTCGGGAGCAAGGGGCTAGTAACCCCTTCTCCCATATAAATTACTAAATTTAAAAGAGAAACTTTCGTTTTTCTTTTTGGGCCACCCTGCCTTGGTGGGATACGGCCGGTGTGTTGAATGAAAGAAAGAATAATTTATAGTGCAATAATTAATTTGATTTTATTGAGGATTAAATTTTTCATTAATTGTTAAATGAAAAATATCTTTTATAAGATTTTAAAGGCAAATTCATTTTTCCCAGCTCGTAAGCAATTGAAACGTAAAAGTGACAGCCTTGAAAGCAAGCAAATGAGTATAATAAAGAAGTTAAAAGGGGAAGATGATGGTGACATTGCATCAAAGACCAGTAATGAAGATGATATTAAACCAAAAGATGAAGATGTGGAGAGTGTGAAGGATGAAGAGAGAGAAATGACAGATGATGCTGACAGCCTTGAAAGTGAGGAAAAATGTTTGGTGAAGGAAGATGAAGATGGTGTCAGATCAGAAACAGTAATGATGGGGAGTTTGAAGAATGAAGTAAAAAAGGAGAAGACAGAAGATAAAGAGGAGCCAATGGAGGTTGACAGTAATGACAGCAAGAATGAAGACCAAAGTTCAGCCTCCAGCAGACCCAAGCCAATGGCTATACACAGCTTTTTCTGTAAGTATCATAAAATTAACCACAGCGTTAATCGCTTGCACTTGTAGTCACAGCAGTGGCTCATGCTAACCTCCCTTTGGTGTATAAATATACCCAGTTGGATGAATCTTATTGCAGCCAGTTGACCCAGTGGCTTACGACTCACATGACATGGGTTGGAACTCCACCTGTTCCATAGTTCACAATTATGTTAATTTTAAGTATCAGGGCTGACTTGTAACGCAGTATTTAGCCAAAAAAAAAAAAAACTTCCTGCGAATATTCGGTGTTTTATGTTTTGTTTACCCATTTAAAGGTTTTGCATTGCACATAAGTTTGTGTGTACTGGAGGTCCTCAACTTACAGACGAGTTGCATTTCTGATGTTTCTACTTTCAAACAAGTTAATTAAAAGCAGTATAATTAAAGGTTTAATTATGTTTTATTTTATTTTATTTTTAAATAATTCATGCACCATTATTTTAGTACAGAATACAGTAATGCTGTATTTTGGAAGATGGAGCACTAGAGAAATTATTAAACTTTCACAAATGCCTGGATGCAGTACAAATGTGTGAAATGTAAGCATCTCTTGTATTATTGTTCACCATAAAAATGACTTGTGTTTAAGTTGAAATGCCGAACACAACTCACTTGTACACTGTGGACCTCCTATATAGTGCTGTACTAAACTACCTGTGCAGGTAAATTACATGGCATTCAGGCATTTTTCACTCAAAATTATTTTATCTTTTGGAATTTAACATAAAACTTTACCTTCTATTGAAATTAGTACCATAATGTGAATAAATACATTTCCTGTATATTGTATAAATTATTATATTACTCATAATGATTCTTGATAAGACAAATAATTCCAATTTTTTATATGAAAATTATACTTTGTCTACAGTATAATCATAGTTCTTATAGATGCTCAAAAATACAAAATGAATAAAACGAAATTATGAAGAAAGTTATTGTTGTGCTTATTTTGTAGCACTGTTTAGTGTCACAAGATATGCTACGGAGGTTAGGGTGTCACCCTTGATTGCTTTGTGATTAAACCATGCCAAATGGAACGATACCATGATTAAAACAATACTCGCATAACCCTGCATGTAAGAAAAAGAAATAACAATGTTTTGGTCTGACTTGGGCCTATGTGCGGGTTATTTGTGTATGAACTGTACAAGTATTTCATGTCTAAGCATAATTTTTCTCCATAGCTCCCAGATCAACAGCAACTCCAAAGAAATCTGCCACATATACCAAAAACTCTCCAAAGGGAAAGAAGGTGTCTCCATCCAAGGAATCTTCTAATTTGCTTAAGAAAGCTGGGCCAAGTAGTGCATCTTCACCCTCAAAGAACCGTATAGACGAAAACACATCAGAAGAGGAACACGATTCCTCTCCACAGAAGAGAGATCGATCCCACAAGAATGAGTCGCCCCTAAAGAGCAATTCTTCAGAGAAGTCTGAGAAAAAAAATATCATAAATCCCTTTGCTCCTAAAATTTCTGGCACTGGTGATGTGGGTGCCAGCTATAACCCAGGCAAGAGTAAATATCACCCAATCAAAGATGCTTTCTGGAGCAGACTAGAAAAGTAAGTCACAAACTAACATATTTTGTTAACATTGTATGTACATAGAGGATATTTAATTACAGTAGTCTCCCCCATATTCATGGGAGATTTGGTCCAAGACCTACCATGGATAGTAGCAAACCCTGTAATTCGTTTTTTGTTTACATACTTGTAACAGTTTAACTGATAATTTGCGCACAGTAAGTTAAGAATTAGCACATTTTTACTGATGGGAAGTACTTCATGACTTTTTAGGCTTTGAAGAACTGCCAACATCACTACTTTTGTGCACTTTGGTATCGTTAAGCAAAACTGAGGATTATTTTCAGGCCACAGTAAACTGCAGTTAACTGAAACTACGGAAACCGAATCCACGGATACGGGGGTTCTACTGTATAAGCAAATACGGCAGATACAAAGGCATACTGCCAATGATAATGATTAGACAGACACAATTCAGATTTGTTATAAATATTTTGTTGTATGTCAAGCTTTATCAAGTTTGTCAAAGTGCAAGCTTGTGCTGCACCTGTGTCTTCGGTAAATAAAATGTGGTTTTATTTGTTACCAGACTTTGAAGAGGAAGCTCAGCACTGTTTTGAAAAGAAATCAAGATACGTACTTAATTTTATTCATAAAACATTGCTGCTCATATGCCAAGACAAATATTTAAGTGTTAAGAACTTTTTATACGTATATTGTTACCTTGTGGAACAAAGATAGTAAACAATCTTGTCCTGTTTGTTATTAAATATATTGCATCATTCGTTTGCATCATTCTAAAATGTGCAAAGATTGTGGAAATACAGCATTTTGAAACATGGAGCCATGAAATTTTTTAGGCAGTTACTCAGAGTTGATGAGAGATGGACAGTGTGTTACCAAAAATATTTTCACTAATGGTTTACTTAGATAAGAATTGCTGTTAATTTATTTTATATCTCTAATACCGTATGCTTGTCATCCTCTCATTATGCAGAGTCCCATATCTTGCTTTAGCGAAGACGATGGAGATTATAGAGAACACCAGTGGGAGACTTAAGACCATTGAGATTCTGGCCAATTTCTTTCGTTCGGTGATAATCTTAACTCCCGATGATCTCTTGCTGTGTGTGTACCTGTGTCTCAACAAAGTTGCCCCATCATTTGAAGGTATTATCTTTGCTCTGATTATTATCTGAGCTGTTTGCCTCACTATTTTTTTTTTCAGCTTGATGTTACAATTCATATATCTTGTAATGAAGCCATCCATTTAAAAATAGCATCACATGACTTCTGTTTTTGGTTACTTTTATACATATATTGTATTGATGAAAATCACAAGAAAGCTGATCTTTTTAATATATTTCCAGCTTCATTATTGTCATAATAAGCAAATATATCTGATTCAAACTTCTTTTTTTAATGTGTGAAAATTCATAACGAATAAGTGCGACAAATTAATGGTGTAATCGAGATTGAAACTCTTGGTCAGGGATTACTAGTGTGTTGTATTAGTCTACTGTGCCATAGAGGGGTCATGACCCACTGTGCTACAGTGTATGTACTACTATAATGTACTGGTAATGCCATACCGAAGGTTCAAATCCTGATCACTTCATGCCAATATTATTTAATGTGGTGGCTCATATGTAACTTTTACCTGTTCAGGTATTGAGTTGGGCATAGGAGAAACGATATTAATGCGTGCCATAGCTCAGGCATCAGGAAGAACTGTGGAAAAGATCAAACAAGATGCTGAACAGAAGGGAGACTTAGGAATTGTAGCCGAGCATTCGAGATCCAACCAGAGGATAATGTTCCAGCCCGCCAAGCTCACTGTCCGAGGGGTGTTCGACAAACTGAAGGAGATTGCTCTCATGACTGGCAATGCTGTAGGTTACTTGTAATTACGGGTGCTCTTCGACCTATGATGGGGTTATGTTCCAATGAATCCATCGTAAGTTGAAAATATCATAAATCGAATATGAATGATAGGATAAATAAGTAAATAGTAATTAGTCACTGAATAAGTTAATTAACAAATAATAACTGTAACTAAATACCAGTATTGAAAAGCAAATAAATGAATGCAAGTTATCCTATCATATATACAATACTGTACGATGGTGAAATTTCAACTTTAAAATGGTGCTATAGCACCATCATAAAGTCAGAATGTCATGAGTTGAACCACCATAACGCAAGGGGCATCTGTAGTACCTATTTTTTTTAGATAATGCATTTTTTGATATATTGATTTGTATGTGTGTTCAATTACCTTCAGTTAATTTTGAATGTTTCTTTGTTGATGGTTTATTATAATTCTTAAAAATTGTGTTCTTATTTTACATATCTGATGGTTTTATTTCAGTCACAAAATAAGAAAATAGATAAGATAAAAGGAATGTTTGTAGCTTGTCGGTTTTCCGAAGCACGATACCTCATTCGTTCCCTGGGTGGGAAGTTGCGTATTGGTCTGGCTGAGCAGTCAGTGCTTCAGGTAAGCACTGATGAAGCTTTTCTACAGTAGTAATTTTTGTATAGGCTCTTTAGAAATAGTGGAAACAAATAAAAATGTTTGTAAGATGAATAACTTTTGAAAAAAAAAAAGTACATTCACATTGCTTTATTTATGTAGTGGCCTGCCTCATATCATGGTTAATCTTGTATGTTTGGTTTGCTTTAACTATTAATTTATTACTGATTGAATTTTTACTGATTTTCTTACTGACAAGCCTAGCCCATGTCCGTGATAAAAAACTTACCAAAGGTTTCATTTTTATTTTATAGGATTCAACTTTAATTACTTTAAAACTGAATGATGCTGAAATAATGCTGGCTTGAAAAGATTAAAGAATGCTGGAGTACTTATCACTTTCTCTCAATACGTGGTTCACAGGCTGTAGCTCAGGCTTGCTTCCTCACCCCGCCAGGCCAGGAGTATCCCCCAGAGGTTATTGATGCTGGTGAGGGCATTTCTGCTGATAAGTTGAAGGCAAAGATTGACAACTATGGGTTGATTCTAAAGACAACCTATTGGTAAGTATTTTACACACTACATTCTTTAATGTTTTTGTTTACCTGTTCTCTGTTACTTTTGTCCTGACAGTGTCATCCAAAATCATTTTGTTCCTCCTGTATGCCAGCCACATGTGGTACATTTTGTTCCTACTGTCTGCCATCCACATGTACATTTTGTTCCTACTGTCTGCCATCCACATATGGTACATTTTGTTCCTACTGTCTGCCATCCACATATGGTACATTTTGTTCCTACTGTCTGCCATCCACATGTGATACATTTTGTTCCTACTGTCTGCCATCCACATATGGTACATTTTGTTCCTACTGTCTGCCATCCACATGTGGTACATTTTGTTCCTACTGTCTGCCATCCACATGTGGTACATTTTGTTCCTACTGTTTGCCATCCACATGTGGTACATTTTGTTCCTACTGTCTGCCATCCACGTGTGGCACATTTTGTTCCTACTGTCTGCTATCCACATGTACATTTTGTTCCTACTGTCTGCCATCCACATGTACATTTTGTTGTTACTGTCTGCCATCCACATGTGGTACATTTTGTTGCTACTGTCTGCCATCCACATGTGGTACATTTTGTTGCTACTGTCTGCCATCCACATGTGGTACATTTTGTTGCTACTGTCTGCCATCCACATGTACATTTTGTTCCTACTGTCTGCCATCCACATATGGTACATTTTGTTCCTACTGTCTGCCATCCACATGTACATTTTGTTCCTACTGTCTGCCATCCACATGTGATACATTTTGTTCCTACTGTCTGCCATCCACATATGGTACATTTTGTTCCTACTGTCTGCCATCCACATGTGGTACATTTTGTTCCTACTGTTTGCCATCCACATGTGGTACATTTTGTTCCTACTGTCTGCCATCCACGTGTGGCACATTTTGTTCCTACTGTCTGCTATCCACATGTACATTTTGTTCCTACTGTCTGCCATCCACATGTACATTTTGTTGTTACTGTCTGCCATCCACATGTGGTACATTTTGTTGCTACTGTCTGCCATCCACATGTGGTACATTTTGTTGCTACTGTCTGCCATCCACATGTGGTACATTTTGTTGCTACTGTCTGCCATCCACATGTACATTTTGTTCCTACTGTCTGCCATCCACATGTGGTACATATTCTATAATTAATTAATATTTCCATGCATAATAGCTGTAATGTCACATTTGAAATTTTTCAGTGAGTTTCCTTCATATGATAAAATCATTCCGGTGATTCTAAGCGAAGGCCTCGAGGAGCTCCCTAACCACTGTCGCTTGACACCAGGCATCCCACTGAAGCCCATGTTAGCGCACCCTACCTCAGGGGTGTCGGAAGTTTTGAAACGCTTTGAAAAGGCCAAGTTCACATGCGAATTCAAGTATGATGGAGAAAGGGCTCAGGTTAGTTACTCTAAGGTCACTTATAAAGTAAAAAATAAGTTTTGGAATGGCTATCTGGCCAAGGAGAAATTTCATCAGTCAATGTTTTAATATAGAAATTGGTTTTGTTTTAATCTAATGGATTATGAAATCTGTATTTTGAAATTTTCATTGCTGTTTATTTATGGAAAAAAGGCATATAAAATAATGTTTTAACTAGGTAATGTGATTAAAGCTAATTTCCCTTTGCTCATCTAATGTTGAGACTGAAATTATCAAGTCAGTCAGAAAGACTGAAGAAAACTGTACTGTCTTGTACGAAATTTACACAACGCGTTCAGTATGCAATGTTGTGTTAGAGCCGTTCATGAGCATTATCAGTTGTTTGGGATGATGAGAGGCTGTATTGACCTTGGATTATCTGTTGCATAAGTATTAAGACAATAATACTAGTTACAATAATGATCCTTGCTTTTCACTATTCATCATCCACCTTCATTTTCTGAATTTTCCCTCTACTGTACTGCATAATTTTTTTAATTTTAGGTTAGGTTACATATACTTATTAAAACTTCTATTAACCACAAATAAGTAAATTTAAAAAAATATATGAAGCATCTGGCTGCAGGGTATATTAGCGAGCATGGGCAGCTTTCACAGCTTCCCTCATATATCGTGATGAAAGAAGTGATTGTATTTGAAGAATAGTATATAGCATTTAATCCTTACATTGTAACTGCCATATTTTAATATGTGCATTTCACAGTATTATTAATTTCATGAATCTTGCAGATCCATTTAAAGGAGGATGGTACTATAAATATTTACAGCAGGAACCAGGAAGACAACACCAGCAAGTATCCTGACATTATTGCCCGCCTCAAGAGTGCAGTTGGAGATGAAGTAAAATCTTGTGTGATTGACTCAGAAGCTGTAGCTTGGGACCGGGAGAAAAAACAGATCCTTCCCTTCCAAGTTCTAAGCACTCGAAAAAGAAAAGTAAGTACGGGTGTGTTGTGCAAGACAGGTATACAATACTGACAAGATGAAAGTTAAGACACGTGCAACATCTGATTATCTTTATTGTAGACGTTTCGCCATCCAGTGGCTTTATCAATACAGATTCTAGGACATAATTAGAAAACAGAAGAACTATATACAAAAGATGAGGTAATCAGACCCTCAGCCTTGGAGATGGTGTTGAGAGCACCGTGGTTGTAGAGATTCTCTACAACCACCATCTCCAAGGCTGAGGGACTGATTACCTCGTCTTTTGTATATAGTTCTTCTGTTTTCTAATTATGTCCTAGAATCTGTATTGATAAAGCCACTGGATGGCGAAACGTCTACAATAAAGATAACCAGATGTTGCACAACTTTCTTTATTTTCATCAAGTATGGGTGTATCTTGTGACGAGTGTTTTCAGAAGTAGCACCAACTACCAAGGGTGGATGGTGAGGGGGGTAGTAAATAATTCCATTAGATTTTCTCTTATGTTTATTATGTTTTTACAAATTATTGGGTTTTAGAACTGGGGCTTGGGGTACGAAATAATAACCAAGAAAACAAATGCAATGTGGGATGTGACAGCAGCCAGTGTACAGCTGGCATTGACCACAGAAGTCGGGTTGTAAAAATTTTCCTTTTTGTTACTACTTTGGCATGAATTTTTTAGTCCAAGTCCATTCTTGTTTTATTGGGGGGGCTGATTCAGTTTTCCCCTAAAATCTGATGTGGTGTTTGTGCACTTGGGAAAAACAGACGAGAATGCTTTAAAAACTATTCCTTTTACAATTTACAGAAATTCGTAATTATAATCGTGGTGGGGCCCGTAATTTTTATATATATATATTATATATTATATATATTATATATATATGGAGAGTTAGAGGTTTGGGAAAGGAAGGAAAATTTTTAGGAATTTTTAAATGTTGTGAAGATGGGAAGTGTGATTTGTGTAAGGGCAAGGAGGGGAAAAACATCTTGTAGGGTGAGGAAGAAGTTTGTGGTGTGGGGGAAGTTCTGAGGCATAGGGAAAATGAAAAGGGGGTAAGGCAGCGGGGGGTTGTGGGGATAAAGTAGAAATTTAAAAGAGGGGGGGATATAGTTTTTGGGGGGTTGGTGCAATTTTTTAATAAATGTATGGAAGAGGGTAAGGTACTGGGATTGGAGGAGCACATAGTTTTTTAAAAGGCAAAGGGGGTAAAAAAGAGTGCAAAAATTAAGGGGGTTAATCGTTTAGTGTACTGGAAAGTGTATGGTGAGTTATAAAATTTAAAGAATAAGAGAAGCGGGGAATAGGATAGCAGATGAAAAGGGGCTTTTTGGAAAGGTAGGGGGTGTGTGGACCGGTGTTTACAGTGAAACTATAAGTAAAAAGTATTTAGAAAAGGAAAGAGGTCTTTGTGGATTTATGGGTTTGGAAAAGGCGTATGAAGGGTGGAAGGGGGCAATGTGGCGATGTTCAATGTATGGGGTTTGGGGGTAGGTTATGAAAGCATGAAGGTTTTACGAGGATAGTGAGGGTCAAGTTAAGTATGTAGGAAAGAGGGAAAATTTTTCCCCGTAAAAGTAGGCCCTTTAAAAGGGGTGGATGTCACGTGGGTTTTTTAAATACCTTATTTTGATTTTTATGTAGGAAATAAATGGAGGGTCTTCAAAACTATTAAAAAATAAAAATTTTAAAAATAATGAGTGGGTAGTCACAGGGGGCTCTTTGTGTGACACTGAGCTTTAGAATTCTGAAAAGAAGTTGAGAATTTGGAAGAATTTGGTAATTGCAAAACAGAAGAAAATTAAAGGGGATACAGTAAAATATAATTTGAGGATCACAAAAAGATTGGTATAAAATTATACAGAGGAAGGAAGGAAAATGAAGTATTCCGAATTTTGACGTGGGGTGCAGGGAGGGATAAAATAGGTGAATTACTAGAATTGATGGACGGGAAAAACAGGGGTTTCCTTAAGTTTTGTCGAAAAAGAAATTGTCTTGGGGCAAGACGGGGATATATGAAGTAAAGTTTTAAAAACCCAAAACGTTTTTTTATTTTGGGTTTTGAACGTGGGTTTAAATACAGAACTGGAACTTAATTAGAAAAAAAGGGGAAAAATTTTGGGTGAATTTAAAAGAGACCTAGTTTTGGGGAAGGGGTTAGAGGGGTTTTGGGGGTTCCAAACCCTTTTTCCCGAGGGTGAGGAAGTTTTTTTAAGGTTTTTTTTTCAAATGTTAGAAGAGAATGGGAGCGAAACGAAATGATTCCAAAAGTGTATCATTTTTGTATGGGGAATTGGCGGGGTTTAGGTCGCCTAAAGGGTGGAGGGGAGGGGGTAAAATATTTGTTCCAGGGTTGGGTTTTACAATTTTAGGGTTTGATAGGATGAGGGCAGAATGGTTTAAAAAAACTTGATGTGGTTTGGAGCTTGTAGCAAAGTTTACCTTTAAAAGAAGGTGGTTGAAACCGGTCCGGAACTTGGATCATGGGAGGGAAGTCATCCTTGCCTCTAATGGAGGGTGTTAACTTTTGTTAAAAAACTGTGTTGGGTTTTTGCACCCCTTTTGGAAAAACAGGGGGAAAAGGGAAAGTTTAAAATTTTTCCTTTTTCGAACTGTTCTGTCTGAATGGCCGTTATAATATAAAAAAAAAAAAAAAAAAAAATATATAATATATATATATATATATATATATATATATATATATATATATATATATATATATATATTATATATATACTATATATATATTTTTTTTTTTTTTTTTTTTTTTTTTTTTTTTCAACAAGTCGGCCATCTCCCACCGAGGCAGGGTGACCCAAAAAAGAAAGAAAATCTGCAAAAAGAAAATACTTAAATCATCATTCAACACTTTCACCACACTCACACATTATCACTGCTTTTGCAGAGGTGCTCAGAATACAACAGCTTAGAAGCATATACGTATAAAGATACACAGCATATCCCTCCAAACTGCCAATATCCCAAACCCCTCCTTCAAAGTGCAGGCATTGTACTTCCCATTTCCAGGAGTTAAGTCCTACTATATGAAAATAACTGGTTTCCCTGAATCTCTTCACTAAATATTACCCTGCTCACACTCCAACAGATCGTCAGGTCCCAAGTACCATTCGTCTCCATTCACTCCTATCTAACACGCTCACGCACACTTGCTGGAAGTCCAAGCCCCTCGCCCACAAAACCTCCTTTACCCCCTCTCTCCAACCCTTTCGAGGACGACCCCTACCCTGCCTTCCTTCCCCTATAGATTTATGTGCTTTCCATGTCATTCTACTTTGATCCATTCTCTCTAAATGACCAAACCACCTCAACAACCCCTCTTCTGCCCTCTGACTAATACTTTTATTAACTCCACACCTTTTCCTAATTTCCACACTCCGAATTTTCTGCATAATATTTACACCACACATTGCCCTTAGACAGGACATCTCCACTGCCTCCACCCATCTCCTCGCTACTGCATTTACCACCCAAGCTTCACACCCATATAAGAGTGTTGGTACTACTATACTTTCATACATTCCCTTCTTTGCCTCCCTAGATAACGCTTTTTGACTCCACATATACCTCAATGCACCACTCATCTTTTTTCCCTCATCAATTCTATGATTAACCTCATACACACATACATATACATACACATACATATACATACACACATACATATACACACACACATACACACACATACACACACACACATATACACACACACATATACACACACACATATACACACACACATATACACACATATACACACATACATACACACATACATACACACACACACACACACACACACACATACACACACACACACATACACACACACACACACCATACACACACACATACACACACATACACACACACAAGTACCTACCTACACACCTACCTACCTACCTACCTACCTACACACCTACCTACCTACACACCTACCTACCTACACACCCACCTACCTACCTACACACCCACCTACCTACCTACACACCCACCTACCTACCTACACACCCACCTACCTACCTACACACCCACCTACCTACCTACACACCTACCTACCTACACACCTACACGCCTACCTACCTACACACCTACCTACCTACCTACACCTACCTACCTACCTACCTACCTACACCTACCTACCTACCTACCTACACCTACGTACCTACCTACACACCTACCTACCTACCTACTTCTCTGCCTTGTATTGAAAGAAGCTAATTGGATTAGTATTTTTTTCAGGATGTTAATGAAAGTGACATCAAGGTACAAGTTTGTCTGTTTCCTTTTGACTTACTCTACCTGAATGGCGAAGCTCTAGTGCGTGAACCTTTTGAGCGTCGTAGAGCTCTTTTACGTGAAAACTTCAAGGAAGTTGAAGGAGAGTTTGTGTTTGCCAAAAGCATGGATTCAACCAACACTGAAGACATAGAAGAATTCCTGGAGGAATCTATTAAAGGTAAGCTGGAAAATTTGAGACATGGTTGGTGAGAGCTCTATTGAATGAGCGATGGTGAATGTGCTTCCTTGGACTTCTGCGCCAGCCTTCGTCGAGTGTGGATGTCTCTCTCTTGCCTGAGTATCAGTGACAGATTTCCCCCATTCTTACTGGGATGCTTGTCCTCATCTATTTTGTCCGCCGGGCACTCTACAGGAGGGGCACCTGTTCATCGGCTTACTTTAGCCAGCTCCATTTTTTCCGCTCTGCGGGAAATTCTTTAATGGTCTTTGGTGGGAAGCCGGTTACTGAACTCAGGTGGGAGTGTGGGCGTCCCTCTCTGCTGGGGCTTGGCAAGGGGGTCCACCAGATCTAATTGGGAACTTCAAGTTTCTATCTCTATTTACAAAGGAACTTTTGTTCCTTTTCTCTCATCACCCAGCCTTGGGCAAAAAAAAAATTTTCTCGTACCATCAAGAAACTGGGCTCGATACGGCTTATGCTGTCAGTGGCCCTGATAAACCCAGCAAAGAAGAAGAAATGTGCTTCCTCCTTTAGGTCATCCTACCTTGATGGGAAACTGCCATCACATTTCAAGAAGCATCAATGTTACTGCAGGTTCTACCATATTATGAATAGATCCTAAAGTATAACTGGAGAAATAGAGAAGAATCCTTCTTCCATAAGCCATACCTGTTGTAAGAGGCAACTAAAATGTTGGGAGCAATGGGCTAGTAACCCATTCTCCTGTGTAAATTACAAATGTGAAAAAAAAAAATCTCTTGTGGGCCACTCTGCCTCGGTGTGATACAGCTGGTTCGTTGAAAGTAATAGTAGTAGTAGAGGTTAACTTAGTTATATTTTAATACCTGCTCAAAATATGGTAGAACCTGGAATAACATTGCTGCTTCTTGGAGTGTATGCCCTTAATAAAATAAATGAGAGGTTTTATGTATTTGTGATATAAATTGAGATATTTAGGAAAGATTAAGTAGAATTAAAAAGGATGTGCAGGGAAATAGTAAGGTCAGACTAATACTTTACCATTAAGCTTGTACCATGATTTATGGTAATCAAATCTTCAACCTTAATTTGAATGCTTGTTGGTTTCCATAAGTTTTCACTGATTTTTACCTTTTTAATAAGATTTTTTTTATTGTTCATATATTCTTAATCAGTAGTTTATTCATGGCAGTGCATCTTGAAGCATACTTAAAACTTTTATTAACTCACCTTAGGAAACTGTGAAGGTCTCATGGTGAAGACCCTGGAGGTGGATGCCACGTATGAGATCGCAAAACGCTCGCATAACTGGCTCAAGCTGAAAAAGGACTACCTTGATGGGGTTTGTTTTAGAGGTGTTTTGGTACAGACAGCAGAGGAATTTGTGAAACCACACACACTAGAGGCATAGACTTGTTCAGTCAGTGACTGAAGCAGCCTATTCCCCAGGCAAAACATTCCGATAAAGATCCTCTCTGATGATTGTCTTCCACCACTTGTCTTTGTGCCATTTATCTCCAATTTGTAAGCCTATTTATGCTTGTGAAAATGAATTACGTGCATATGTGTGTGTTTGAAGGTATCGGCACCAATCTGAAAATTATACATTTGCAGGTGGGAGATACAATAGATGTTGTAGTGATTGGTGGCTACATGGGAAGAGGCAAACGCGGAGGCCATTATGGCGGCTTCCTCTTAGCTTGTTATGACCCAGATAATGAGGAATATCAGACACTTTGTAAGGTAAGCTGGTATGGCTGCATGGAAAAGGAGTAAAGTTTTTAAAAGATTAGTTAATGGGTAAAGATTAAAAAAAAAAAAAATTCATGTTTTGGCCTTCAGAAAAATTCAGTACAGTGGACCCCCGAGTTTTGTGATTAATCCATTCCAGAGAGCCTGCCGAAAGTCGAAATTCACAAAACTTGAAACCATTTTCCCCATAAGAAATAATGGAAATAAAATTAATCCGTTCCAGACACCCAAAAATATTAAAATAATTTTTTTTTTTTAAATTAAATAAAGATTTATATAGTAGGTTGGTAGGCAGCAACCACCCAGGGAAGTACTACCGTCCTGCCAGATGACTGTGAAACAAAAACCTGTAACTGTTTTGCATGATGGTAGGATTGCTGGTTTCTTTTTCTGTCTCATAAACACGCTAAGATAACAGGGATATCTTGCTACTCCTACTTACACTTTGGTCACACTTCACAGACATGCACATGCATATATATATATACATACATCTAGGTTTTTCTCCTTTTTCTAAATAGCTCTTGTTCTTTTTTATTTCTTCTATTGTCCATGGGGAAGTGGAAAAGAATCTTTCCTCCGTAAGCCATGCGTGTCGTATGAGGCGACTAAAATGCCGGGAGCAATGGGCTAGTAACCCCTTCTCCTGTATACATTTACTAAAAAAGAGAAGAAGAAAAACTTTATAAAACTGGGATGCTTAAATGTGCGTGGATGTAGTGCGGATGACAAGAAACAGATGATTGCTGATGTTATGAATGAAAAGAAGTTGGATGTCCTGGCTCTAAGCGAAACAAAGCTGAAGGGGGTAGGAGAGTTTCAGTGGGGGGAAATAAATGGGATTAAATCTGGAGTATCTGAGAGAGTTAGAGCAAAGGAAGGGGTAGCAGTAATGTTAAATGATCAGTTATGGAAGGAGAAAAGAGAATATGAGTGTGTAAATTCAAGAATTATGTGGATTAAAGTAAAGGTTGGATGCGAGAAGTGGGTCATAATAAGCGTGTATGCACCTGGAGAAGAGAGGAATGCAGAGGAGAGAGAGAGATTTTGGGAGATGTTAAGTGAATGTATAGGAGCCTTTGAACCAAGTGAGAGAGTAATTGTGGTAGGGGACCTGAATGCTAAAGTAGGAGAAACTTTTAGAGAGGGTGTGGTAGGTAAGTTTGGGGTGCCAGGTGTAAATGATAATGGGAGCCCTTTGATTGAACTTTGTATAGAAAGGGGTTTAGTTATAGGTAATACATATTTTAAGAAAAAGAGGATAAATAAGTATACACGATATGATGTAGGGCGAAATGACAGTAGTTTGTTGGATTATGTATTGGTAGATAAAAGACTGTTGAGTAGACTTCAGGATGTACATGTTTATAGAAGGGCCACAGATATATCAGATCACTTTCTAGTTGTAGCTACACTGAGTAAAAGGTAGATGGGATACAAGGAGAATAGAAGCATCAGGGAAGAGAGAGGTGAAGGTTTATAAACTAAAAGAGGAGGCAGTTAGGGTAAGATATAAACAGCTATTGGAGGATAGATGGGCTAATGAGAGCATAGGCAATGGGGTCGAAGAGGTATGGGGTAGGTTTAAAAATGTAGTGTTAGAGTGTTCAGCAGAAGTTTGTGGTTACAGGAAAGTGGGTGCAGGAGGGAAGAGGAGCGATTGGTGGAATGATGATGTAAAGAGAGTAGTAAGGGAGAAAAAGTTAGCATATGAGAAGTTTTTACAAAGTAGAAGTGATGCAAGGAGGGAAGAGTATATGGAGAAAAAGAGAGAGGTTAAGAGAGTGGTGAAGCAATGTAAAAAGAGAACAAATGAGAGAGTGGGTGAGATGTTATCAACAAATTTTGTTGAAAATAAGAAAAAGTTTTGGAGTGAGATTAACAAGTTAAGAAAGCCTAGAGAATAAATGGATTTGTCAGTTAAAAATAGGAGAGGAGAGTTATTAAATGGAGAGTTAGAGGTATTGGGAAGATGGAGGGAATATTTTGAGGAATTGTTAAATGTTGATGAAGATAGGGAAGCTGTGATTTCGTGTATAGGGCAAGGAGGAATAACATCTTGTAGGAGTGAGGAAGAGCCAGTTGTGAGTGTGGGGGAAGTTTTGTGAGGCAGTAGGTAAAATGAAAGGGGGTAAGGCAGCCAGGATTGATGGGATAAAGATATTAATAGTTAAAAGCAGGTGGCGATATAGTTTTGGAAGTGGTTGGTTCAAATTATTTAATAAATGTATGGGAAAGGAGGTTGTTTAAAAAGTGCCTGGGGATTGGCGGGAGAGAGCATGCATAGTTCCTTTGTATAAAGGCAAAGGGGATAAAAGAGAGTGCAAAAATTATAGGGGGATAAGTCTGTTGAGTGTACCTGGTAAAGTGTATGGTAGAGTTATTATTGAAAGAATTAAGAGTAAGACGGAGAATAGGATAGCAGATGAACAAGGAGGCTTTAGGAAAGGTAGGGGGTGTGTGGACCAGTGTTTACAGTGAAACATATAAGTGAACAGTATTTAGATAAGGCTAAAGAGGTCTTTGTGGCATTTATGGATTTGGAAAAGGCGTATAACAGGGTGGATAGGGGGGCAATGTGGCAGATGTTGCAAGTGTATGGTGTAGGAGGTAGGTTACTGAAAGCAGTGAAGAGTTTTTAGAGGATAGTGAGGCTCAAGTTAGAGTATGTAGGAAAGAGGGAAATTTTTTCCCAGTAAAAGTAGGCCTTAGACAAGGATGTGTGATGTCACCATGGTTGTTTAATATATTTATAGATGGGGTTGTAAGAGAAGTAAATGCGAGGGTCTTGGCAAGAGGCGTGGAGTTAAAAGATAAAGAATCACACACAAAGTGGGAGTTGTCACAGCTGCTCTTTGCTGATGACACTGTGCTCTTGGGAGATTCTGAAGAGAAGTTGCAGAGATTGGTGGATGAATTTGGTAGGGGTGTGCAAAGAAGAAAATTAAAGGTGAATACAGGAAAGAGTAAGGTTATGAGGATAACAAAAAGATTAGGTGATGAAAGATTGAATATCAGATTGGAGGGAGAGAGTATGGAGGAGGTGAACGTATTCAGATATTTGGGAGTGGACGTGTCGGCGGATGGGTCTATGAAAGATGAGGTGAATCATAGAATTGATGAGGGAAAAAGAGTGAGTGGTGCACTTAGGAGTCTGTGGAGACAAAGAACTTTGTCCTTGGAGGCAAAGAGGGGAATGTATGAGAGTATAGTTTTACCAACGCTCTTATATGGGTGTGAAGCGTGGGTGATGAATGTTGCAGCGAGGAGAAGGCTGGAGGCAGTGGAGATGTCATGTTTGAGGGCAATGTGTGGTGTGAATATAATGCAGAGAATTCGTAGTTTGGAAGTTAGGAGGAGGTGCGGGATTACCAAAACTGTTGTCCAGAGGGCTGAGGAAGGGTTGTTGAGGTGGTTCGGACATGTAGAGAGAATGGAGCGAAACAGAATGACTTCAAGAGTGTATCAGTCTGTAGTGGAAGGAAGGCGGGGTAGGGGTCGGCCTAGGAAGGGTTGGAGGGAGGGGGTAAAGGAGGTTTTGTGTGCGAGGGGCTTGGACTTCCAGCAGGCATGCGTGAGCGTGTTTGATAGGAGTGAATGGAGACAAATGGTTTTTAATACTTGATGTGCTGTTGAAGTGTGAGCAAAGTAACATTTATGAAGGGATTCAGGGAAACCGGCAGGCCGGACTTGAGTCCTGGAGATGGGAAGTACAGTGCCTGCACTCTGAAGGAGGGGTGTTAATGTTGCAGTTTAAAAACTGTAGTGTAAAGCACCCTTCTGGCAAGACAGTGATGGAGTGAATGATGGTGAAAGTTTTTCTTTTTCGGGCCACCCTGCCTTGGTGGGAATCGGCCAGTGTGATAATAAAAAAAAAAAAAAAATAATACTGAAATGAATGAGAAATCAAATACATGCATATAAAAAATCATAATAACATTACACTTACCTTTACTGAAGACTTCTGGGTGGATGGAAGATGGGAGGAGGGGATAGGAGGAAGGTGTACACTATTGTTTGGAAGGAGAATCTCCTTCCATTAGGACTTTAGGTAGCAAGTCCTTATCTGGGGCTACTTCCCTTCTTCTTTTAATGCCACTGGGAATAACTTGAGAGTCACTGGACCCTTGTCACACAAAATATCTGTCCAGAGAGGTCTTTTTCTGGGATTTCTTTAACCCTTTCAGGGTCCGTCCCGTAGATCTACGGCTTTACGTTCAGGGTCCAAACCGTAGATCTACGCCATGAGCTCAGCTCACTCTGATAAACTGTGAGTGGTACATTTGGGCCTAGATATGAGAGAATACATCTATGTGGTATGTGTGCACCACATAAAACAGATCCTGCAGCACACTGTGTATAATGAGAGAAAAAAAATGAAATCATGATTTTTCGATTAAAACAGCAACTTTGCAGTGTTTTTTCGTATGTTTTTTATGGTTGTATTTGCGATTTCTTGGTCTCATTTGATAGAATGGAAGACATATTACAGAAATAGAGATGATTTTGATTGGTTTTAGCACTGGAAATGGCTTGAAACTGAGCTCAAAGTAGCGGAAATGTTAAATTTTTGCCGATGTTCAAGAGTAAACAAACGACCTCACACGTCTAATACACGCCAGCTGGTGGTTCTAATATACATTCACAAATATGGTGATGATATTTATACAATTATTACAGTATTGCATAACAGTAAATCTTCTATTTTTTGGTGTGAATAAAAATTCATTATGTGAATAAAAAATCAAAATGGAATTTATTTGTAAAGCCTCAAAACATAACTAATGAACAGAGGAAATGTTAGTTTAGTGCCAGGAATGCCTACAGTGTTCATTCTGGACCCTATTTTGAAATTGGAATATTTTGAACTTTGTGTTAAATTGGCCAAATTAACAATTTCCGATCACTTTATTTTGTAGTTGAAACAGTTGACTTGGCGATTTCTTGTGCTCAATCGATAGAATAGAAGTAATACTAGTGAAATAGCTAAGAATTTGGTTGATTGGAATAATGTAATTGGCCTAAAATGGGAGTCAAAGTCGGAAAAATCGCCGATTCGTAAATATCACTGACACATCAAAATTCGCAAGAGCATAATTTCGTCAATTTTCCACCAAATTTCGTACTTTTTGTTTTATTACCTTCACAAAAAGATTCTCTACAATTTCATAAGAAAAAATAACAATTTTTTTTTTTTTAAATTCTTGGACACTGGTGCGTGACTCCAGATTTGGGCCTTGGACCCTGAAAGGGTTAAGATTTTCCTGAAGTGGGACACAACACTGTCATTGTACATGTTGCAGATATGGCTTGTTTCAGCTTGGTCAGGGTGATACTTTTCAACAAAGCTTTGCAACTCATTCCACTTGGCACAAATTTCCTTAATCTTTGAAGAAGGCACCTCATCCACTCCCTCTTCCTCCTCCTCTGAAGCAAGTTCCTCAGCTGTGGTCTGATGCTGTTCCAGTTGAAGCTCTTGCAGTTCGTCAGTGGTTAGCTTTTCCCTGTGGTCCTCCACCAGCTCTTCCACATCCCCGTCACTCGCCTCCAACCCCATGGACTTGCCCAGTGCCACAACACCTTCCACAACAGGCAGAGGGTCGGCAGGGACAGGGTCTGCCTCAAACCCTTCAAAATCCCTTTGGATCGTGTTCCTCACTTTATTTACCAATGGGCTTGCAGTAGCTTTCCTTGGGTCCATGATGACTTATTTAGCAGTTGCAAGCACAAAAAACAATGGATTATTATGAAATGTATTGTATGAACTCGCGGGGTGATGGTCACGTGTTGGTAAACAATGGCACACTGAGCGTGAATGGCGTGGGAGACTGGCTTGGTGTGTGCGGTGACGGGCGGACGGGTACCAGACGGTCGCCGAAACACGAGTCTAATCACGAAACTCGAGGCCAAATTTTTCCAAAAAAAAAAACTCGCCGAAGGTCAAATTTCACGAAAGTTGAGGCTGCCGAAACTCGAGGGTCCACTGTACAGTGGACCCCCGGTTCCCGATATTAATCCGTTCCTGAGAGCTCATCGTAAACCAAAAATATCGGAAAGCGAATCAATTTTCCCCATAAGAAATAATGGAAATCAAATTAATCCGTGCAAGACACCCAAAAGTATGAAAAAAAAAACTTTTACCACATGAAATATTAAGTTTAATGCAATAGAATAATTACAATAACAATGTATTAATAACAATAGAATATAATTGACACTTACCTTTAATGAAGATCTGGTGATGATTGATGGGATGGGAGGAGTGTGTGTTGAGCCCATTGCATAGAAGGGGAATCCCCCTCCAGTAGCACTGGAGGTATCAAGTCTTTTTCCGGGGTTACTTCCCTTCTTCTTTTAATGCCACTAGGACCAGCTTGAGAATCACTGGACTTCTGTCGCACAACATATCTGTCCATAGAGACCTGTACCTCCCGTTCCTTTATGACTTGACTAAAGTGGTTCATAACAGTGTCATTGTACAGGTTGCCAACACGGGTTGCAGTAGCTGTCTGAGGGTGATTTTCATCAAAAAAGCTTTTCACTTCAAGCCATTTTGCACACATTTCCCTAATCTTTGAAGTAGGCAACTGCTTCACTTTCTCTATCCCCTCCTCCGAAGCAGTTTCCTCAGGTCTGGCCTCTTGCTGTTGAAGATGATCTAGCAGTTCATCAGTGGTTAGTTCATCATTGTCCTCCTCCACCAACTCTTCCACATCCTCCCCACTAACCTCCAACCCCAAGGACTTCCCCAATGCCACTTTCGTACTTTGCAATTACCTCTTTCTTCATTTCAATAGTCAGTAGCACCCTTGGTCTGGAAGGGTTGGGGGAGTTCAGGTCACAATTGGACACATCTCGTATGAATCGTATCGCATACCGGGTTTTGTATCGGGAAGCGAGGCAAAATTTTTTCGATCAAATGCATCAGCAATCGAATTTATCGGATACCGGTAACATCAGGAACCAGGGGTCCACTGTATATTGTTTCTTTGTATTAATGCCAAGCATTATTTTTATAAATTTATTTTTGCAAGAATTCTTCATAAATCTGTATTAGGTGAATTTGCTACAGTAACTAGAGCTTTCAGTATAGAAAAATAATTTTCATTTACCACTCGCATGTCTTGGTTTTTATTATCCTACCTCTATTCACGTCAGTATTTTCATCAACATATGAATACATCTCCATGGGGAAGTGGAGAAGAATCCTTCCTCTGTAAGCCATGCATGTCGTAAGAGGCTACTAGAATGCTGGGAATAAGGTGCTGGTAACCCCTTCTGTATAAATTACTAAATGTGAAATACTTTTCTTCTTTTATGGGTCACCCTGCCTTGGCGGGAAATGGCTGGCATGTTAAAAAAAAAAATGAATACGTGCACTGTTTTGTAGTGTTTAACCCGTAAACGGTCCAAGCAGATCTACGTTCACATGTGTAGTGCTACAAAAGTAGATCTATGTTTTTTTTACACATTTTCAAATGTAAAAAAAACAAAAAGAAGATCTACTTTTTTTACATACTTTCAAATTATGAAAAAACGTATATATACGTTTGGACAGTTTACGGGTTAATAGTCTGAAGAAGGTTAGTGGAAATTTATTTTTTAAATGTTGTCCAAGGTACTTTAGAAAGGTGAGGGACGACAGGTATAAATGGATACGTCGACTTGGCTCAAAATTTTTTTTTTCCAGATTGGGACTGGTTTCTCGGATGAAGATTTGCTGACTCATTCTACTTTCTTCAAATGTCATGTTATAGAGAAACCAAAGTCTTACTATAGGTAAGTTGCCTGATATGTTGTATTCATGGTAAATACAGTAGGTCAATTGCTTATGTATTTTACGTGGTTTACTGTGATATATGCGAGTTTACTGCAGTCTGAGGTGACAATGCCACTTCCATTACTCTCTTTTGTATAATTTATACATGTAATGGACTAATGTATAGGAACACAGTATTTCAAGGGGTGATACTGAAAGGGAGTATTTCAGGGCCCCAAAGCAAATGGTAGATTGCCTGGTCAGTGGTGGCATAAATTGTTAAGAGGAAATGAAAACATTGGTAGCCTAGAAACATATGATATTTCACTGTATGTTGGGATTTTCCAGTGAAATCTTGATTTATTTGATTTTGAGCATTACCAGTCATCTGCTCTGTGTCCATTAAAGTAATAAGATACTTTAATGGACACACAGCAGCAGTGGACAGTTTTGAAATTGGTTTACCCAGAGAATCATAAACAATTTTGGAACCTTGTGGACTTTGAACATTCTCCAGAATTGGAGCTAAACCCCCCCACCCCCCTTTTTCTTTTTTTCCTCTCTACTTTGACTGTTCTTCAGAATTAACCCTTAAACTGTTCAAACGTAGATCTACGTTTGCGCGCGTAGCGCTCTGACCTTGATTTTCTCCATAAGAAACCATTTTAAAAAAAGTAGATCTACGTTCGGAGTGCTATGCGAGCAAACGTAGATCTACGTTTGGACAGTTTAAGGGTTAACAAATTCACAATTGCTCATTCAGTAGCTTATGCGAGAAGTGTGCAGATATCAGAATGTTATTAATTTTGTTTGTCATTATTATAATCAATACCAAGATGCTCAGACTGCCTTGTTATTGCCATTATAGCCATGACTTCGCTGAATAACTTGGTAGGCACAAATCTTTTGGTCACTTTGTTACACATTTATCCTCTTCTGCCACCTTCGGTTGCAAATGGCTGTTGCATATGTAATAAACAACTCATCAGGGCTCTGTTATACTCTGAAGGATGGGTGTGGATGTTAGGGTTTGGAGGGCCCTTGCACTTCTGACAAGGCAACTGTTGAGTTTGCATCATCCTGCCTTGGTTAAACACTGAAATATAGTAAAAAATATTTACTTCCAGCATATGTAGCTTTCATTTGAGAATAAAAACTGCATACTTAAATTCTTTTATCATTTTATTTTTTATGTTTACAGATACGACAATAGCATCGCTCCAGACAATTGGTTTGAACCTGTGCAAGTGTGGGAGATAAAGTGTGCTGACCTCTCCATATCGCCAGTACACAAGGCTGCCGCAGGGGTTGTAAGTTCACGATATGCTCTCGAATGCATGGAAAGAGTATTTTGATAGTTTTTTGTGGATGCTACTTTTTACATTATAAGTTTTTACACAACTAATTAGTTTAATAAATTATTATATCATTCACTGATAATCTCATCATAGATGGCATAGATAAACCTTTGTGGAGATAATAAAAATTGAAGATTAATGTTTTAGAGAAAAGTATGCATTTTTTCTTGATAGAAACTGGAAAGGTTAATATAATGTAAGTCTGAACCTTCTGTTGGTTTACCAGTGTGCCTCATTAAAAATTAAACATCACAGCGTCAAGTATGTATATGCGAATGCTGTAAATTTATTCTTTGCACCGAAGATTTCTCAGTGTGCATTGATTTGTATCACAGAATAGATTAAATGCAGGAAATACTGAAGGGTTCTGTACTGTAAAACTTTTCGGTGATTTTTTTTTCATTGTTTTGAATTTTGTTCAGTATTATGCGTACTGACCTTCATGGAGCAAATTAGTAGCAATCCAGAACTATGCTTAATAAAATCTTATATCTTCAGGTTGATCCAGAAAGGGGCATCTCTCTTAGATTCCCCAGATTTTTACGTATTAGGGAAGACAAGACACCAGAGGATGCTACAAGTTCAGCCCAGGTGAGCACACAGTTGGCAAAAAGTGAAAGAAATTTGATTTAGTTTAACAATTTATTAAATCTTTCAACAAACTGGCCATATCCCACCGAGGCAGGGTGACCCAAAAAAAAAAAAAGTTTTTCTCTTTAACTCTAGTAACGTATACAGGAGAAGGGGTTATTAGCTCCTTGTTCCCAGCATTTTAGTCACCTCTTATGACGTGTGGCTTATGGAGGAAGAATTCTGTTCCACTTCCCCATGGAGATAAGAGGAAATAAACAAGAACTAGTAAGAAAATAGAAGAAAACCCAGAGGGGTGTGTGTATATATATGCTTGTACATGCATGTGTAGTGTGACCTAAGTGTAAGTAGAAGTAGGAAGATGTACTGAATGGTGAATGCGTTATTCATTTTTTGGAATGCCTTACGTCAGTGGGAGACAGGTGGCATCTAAAAGAAAAAAAAAAGAAAATCCAAGTTTGTGATTGCTGCTTCTACTTTTTTTTTCAGATTGCTGATCTTTATAATAGCCAAGAACAGATAAAGAATAAAAAGACTTCAGGAAAAGCAGTTGAAGAAGACTTTTATTAACTACACTGCTTTAAGTAGATCTACATTTAGTTAAGACACAACACAACAATAAAGAAAAGCCAAGGCAGTCGTACCTGCATATAGACATTTGTTTACTTATACACTGTATATATATATATATTTGAAGTATGCTGTGGTGAATGCTGTGTGTTTGTATGTTGTTGGTTTAAGGAAGAATACTTGTAAATACTTTCATTTGTAAGGCTAGTACAATGATATTATAATCAAAGACACAAGAATTATAGATTATTATTAACTGTGATTTTTAATTTTTGATATATGGCATTTAGGAATTACCCACTAACATAATTTTAAATAAAAACTACATCGCCATGTTGGGCGAGTAAGAGTATAATTAATAAATAACCTTTAATGTTGCCTGCACCAAATTTGTTTTATGTCCATTGTATTCAGAAAAGTGCCAGTGAAGGGTTCTTAATCCAAGGATTTGGGGCTACTCACCCCTTGGGCCAAATTTTAATTTCCTATCCCTGAGCCAGTGTCTGACTCCTATGGGTTTAATACTCCCAAATATAATAGTCCTCTGTATTGGCCAGTGACCATGAGTGTTCGCTATTTTGCCTTAAAATTTCTTAAATGCCTTGTTGCTGATGAAGGGCTCTTGATCCTGGGAATTGGATGTGCTCCAGTTTCCTGAATGCCTTCCATCTATTTTCCCTCCCATAGGTGCTGTGTAATCCCTATGGGTTTAGCACTTCTCCATAATACTTAAGCAAAGGACTGAGTTAACCTTCCCTTCTTGGGATTGAACCTGATTGCCTCCTAGTACCCAGGCACTCTGAACCTGATGGGTTTTGCACTTTCCAGTTTTTAATTGGGAAGTGTTCAAGCCATATGGATCATACAGTGCCTGGGGACTGCAAGACAATCAGGTTCAATCCAAAGAAAGGAAGAGCAAGTCCAGATTGCTGGATTCAGAGTCCCTCACCAGTGTCAGGTTACCTCCTTTGGGGAAGGAAGGTGATATATCCTAATGAATATAATTACAATATATGTATTTTGTTCTGTAAGGTAAGAATGCAATGAAGACATTGAGTGCTCTTGGATCAAGGCCTAATTGCCACCCATTTTCCTAAGCACTGTATATTACCTTCATGGATTTAGTGCTCGCCCCATTACTGCAATTCTAATAATTTGACAAAATGCTACACCCGGGGTATATTTATGAAAACGTTTTACCTGCATAGCAAACTTTCTCAGTTTCATGCAAAGGTGACTATTCTGGAGATAGTGGGAAGGTAATATTAAGGTGTACCATCCCTTAGATTTAATATTAGGCCAAGGGACTGAACACCTTAAAATTACCTCCCTACTACTTTCATCGTTTCCAGTATAATAGTCACTTCTATATTAGACTGAAAAAGTCTGCTGTGCAGGCAAAACATCCCATGAATAAAGATACCCAGGTGTTGCACGTGTCTCATTCATCAATCTCTTAAGTCATATTAATGGTATGTGATACTGATACAGTTTTTTAGTTTTTCAAGTCGGCCGTCTCCTACCGATATGTTACATTATGTTATGTTACGTTAACTATTTCCCTTTTTTTCTGTCCTTTCTGCAATGTTCTCTTGACAGCATCTTTGGCTAGAGAAAAGGTATGGTGATACTGACACTGTGGGTAAGATGCACATGCACAGTTCAAGACAATGAGGAAACATTTCTCCAGAAGAGGCCTTTTCAGTCCTGGTACAGAGAAACTGGAACAAGCAGTACTTACAGTGCAAGACATCAGCTGAGTATAAGCTAAATGTGGGATAATGTATTGGAGGTAACATACCGTGTAATCTTGAACAGTTGTTTAGACATATACAAACATGAGGGCAATGGGGTTGCTGCATTGCTCTATGGTGCATCTTCATTGATCTAATGTTGCAGATCCTGCTGCTGCCCAATGAAGCCAGCAACCATGACGTTTGTGGCTGGTGTCCTATATTTGCCATATCCAGGTTTAGTAGTAATCAGTTTGTCAAGATACTTTAAATATAACTACCATATTCTTGTGGGATGATGAGTGCTATCATGGCAGCCTCTTAAATACTTATGATGATGTAGGTCACTTTTTATGTACAATCACCTTGGCTTCTCCATCCTCATATAGTGGCCCTGCTTGCTTCTGTGTTAGACACGAGCATTGTTCTGGGTATCATGGTTGCAAGCAATTTTTGTGCTCACATATTCTTTTTCCCTCATGAAGTGGAGAAGCTAAGTTAATTACACAAGAATATAACCTACACCATCGAGAATGTTTAGAGGCTGCCATGATAGTCACTACCATCATCTCATAAAAATTTGTTAGTTATAGCATTCCCAAAGTCTTGGCAAACTGATTGCTACCCAACCTGGATACTGCATTAGATGACACCAGCTAGCAACATTATTCCTGCTACCTCCATTGGATAGGATCAAGAGGACACATTAGGTGACACAAAGCTGTACCACAGACCACTGCAGCAAGCCTACTGGCCTTGCTCATATATTTGTCTAACATATTTGTAAAGTTCATCCAGTAAATCTAATAGTATGTTACTCTATTTTTTGTCTATGCTCACCTGACCTCTACATGAGGACGTCATCCTCATAATGTAACTGTGACACTGATGGGATGATGTTGGTGAAGTGTTCAGCTTTGCCAACATCACATGATTGTTATGTGGATGACGTCCTTATAATAACTCCCAAATGTTTTGATGTGCGGAATCTTCACGGAAGGCTTAACACAGATGAACTGGCAATACAGTTTACACTTGAAGAGTCCAGTGACAGGCTACTTTTTCTGTATGTCCTCATTCACAAAGTAGATAACACTAAGGTTTCAAGTTTACAGGAAGCCTACAAACAAAAACAGTCTCTCACACTTATATTCCAGTCAAGATACTAAAACCAAAAGAGGCATCATCAAGAGATTTTTCCTAAGAGCATACTGAATTTGCAGTCCTGAGTTTCTTGATGAGGAATATACATACATAAACCAAACCTTCGCTGAGCTACATTTTCCTTACCCTTTCATCAAAGACTGCAAGAAAAGAGCCCTTCAGATCATCAATTCTCCACACATTAACACCACTCCTACAAAGTTATAATGCTTCCCAACAGCCAGGTTGCAATGGACATCCCTAAAGTACTCGCACAAGCTAACACCATTAAAGATCTGACTAGGACCAAATTGAAGAACCCTGAACCTCTCAATGCAGGGGTTTATACAGTCCCCTGTGGGGATTGTGACAGAATACTATATGTAGGTGCAGCAGTAAGAAATCTTGAAACATGTCGGTGAACACATTAATGCATATAGGAACGATAACTTGAACAGTGCTTGTGTACATCACCTGAATTTTGTCAACCACCTTATGAAATTCAACGACGCCCAGCTAACGATTAAAGAATTAAATTTCCATAGACGTAAATGCCTTGAATTATCATTAATTGCTATTTCTAACACAAAATAAAAGTAGCTTCATCATCTCTGAAGAATTCTCCTCAAAACAATAAACCTTGCCATTACAAAGCTACTACAACTACCACTATTACTACTACACAGTGCTAAATGACCCTAGTGGGTTTAGCACTTGGTTTTGATTATAATCACCACCATAAGTACTACTACCTGTAACGATTATGCTTTGCACCTCACTATACCTATATGTATACACCCTGTGTGTCCCTGTATTGTTCACTTCTGTCAGATGTCAGGTGTTCAACACACCTCCAGAGAATCTCCCGAGTTGTTCTGGCCGAATGCCAGGAATGGCTCAAATGGAGTTGAATCACCCCATCCATGTCATAGGGCTGCCCCTGCCATAGGGCTGTAAACTGTACTTAAACGAAGACAGCTCACTGTGCCCTTGTAATAGGCAGGGACAGATCTACTATGAAGCTTAAGCTTCAGGGCCCCTGATCCCGGAGGGGCCCAGAAGCCACTTTAGTCCACATTGCTTAACAATTTTGGGTTTACTGTATGAGAAAGGGTTGTGAAGGGGCCCCCATAACTGTTCAAGCTTCAGGGCCCCAAAACTGTAGGTCCGCCACTGGTCATAGGGCTGTAAACAGTACATCACTTATACAAACTCCGACATTCCTTCGGGAGTCACTACCAGGCCACCACGTGGAGGACCTGTCCTGGCAAACCTACATGAACGTGTATTATTTGTAACGACTTTACAAAGCTCCTCGAGAGCAAAACATTGCCACAATAAAATGTCACATTAGTTGCATTTGTGTACTTTTACTGCAGCGCTGTATAGTCCTTGTGGCTTAGCGCTTCTTTTTGATTATAATAATAATAATGTGTACTTTTACCTAATATATACATTGTCGGTAATTCTACTAACATTATTACACTTTCATCATGCAACTTCCATCTATCTTACCACCTCCCTCTATCACAGTACATGTACCCCCATCTTCATACCACCTCCACATTGCCACCATCCATTTTACCACCACCCTCTATCATCTCTTGCACTACCGGCGTCTACCTTACCTCCACACAACCACCATCTATTTTACCACCATCACCCTCTATCTATCATACCACCTACCTCCCTCACACTACCTCCATCTGGCTTACCATCTCGGGTTACGACAATGTTCCCAGCAGGAATTTTGCAGTGTCGTTCTGAATAATAATGTCACCTCAACACCATCACGCCCTCCACCACCCTTCTACCATCCCTCCACTCCTCCATCCCTCCACCACTCCATCTTCAGTGGATCGTTCACTTTTCTCCTTATCAGATTTTCTGAGTTCTAAGGGAGATTAAGTGGGATGCGGGAGGGCAATGGATGGTAGCTTATGTGGGATGTGAGGGGGCAATGCATGGCAGCTTTAGCGTTAAGCTGGATGAATGAAGGAAAGTCTGTGGTAGTGAGAAGGAACTATCAATCTTAGGTCTGTGTGACGTACATAGTCAACACCCACCTGCCTCTCCCACCACCCACCTGCCTCTCTCACCACCCTCCTGCCTCTCCCACCACCCTCCTGCCTCTCCCACCACCCTCCTGCCTCTCCCACCACCCTCCTGCCACTCCACCACCCTCCTGCCACTCCCACCAACATCCTGCCTCTCCCACCACCCTCCTGCCTCTCCCACTATCTTCCTGCCTCTCCCACCACCCTCCTGCCACTCCCACCACCCTCCTGCCTCTCCCACCACCCTCCTGCCTCTCCCACTATCTTCCTGCCTCTCCCACCACCCTCCTGCCACTCTCACCACTCCTACCACTCCCACACCTTCCTCTCCCACCACCCTCCTGCCTCTCCCACCACCCACCTGACTCTCCCACCACCCTCCTGCCACTCTCACCACTCTCCTACCACCCTCCTGCCACTCCCACCACCCTCCTGCCACTCTCACCACTCTCCTACCACCCTCCTGCCTCTCCCACCACCCTCCTGCC